ACGACATTAATGTGTTCCGCCAATGTCAACATAGTCCTTATAATTGATTTTAGTTTGCAGAAGCCCACGATCGAAATCATGAATATTACTTCTTGTGTCCTTTTTTGTATCAACGCTCGTCATTTCCATACTCGAGTGATTTATCCTTATCCTTGAAAAAAACACGCGCCGCAGTTTCAAGGATCGGCTCTTTAAAATTCCACAGAGAGAAATAAATTCCGCTTTAATTAAACTATTTTTCTAGCACAAAGTACGCCGATTCTGATTCTCGTTTCTTCTTTTAGACGAGCAAGAACGCGTACAGAAGAAAACCTTCATAAATTGGATCAACTCTCATTTATCGAAGGTGAGTGCATCAGGAAGGTATTTTTGTCAACTTCGAGAAACGCAGCGAGGCGAGGGTTCGCGAGCGGCGAACTGCGCCGTAAGCGATATCGCGCTCCGTTTCACCGACAGGTACTTGATAACGATATCGCGCCGGGAGCTCTCGATGGGCTGACTTTGTATTTTTTTTTTTTTTTTTTCTTGTCTGAAGTTACGTAATATGGCCTGGATCCTTACGTGACGCGTAATAAAACATGAAGCGAGCTGCCTCTCGTATATCGTGCCGTCGAAACTTGAACGGCCGCTGATCTAGCCCGTACCTGGCTCTCGAGTGCCCGGCTCGCTTCGATGCTCCCCTACTTCCGTATCCTTCAGAACTTGGTTCGCCGTCGAAATTCCGCTCGTCGTGACATGCATGCATCGAAAGTAGCAAAGTCATTAAAGCGAGCGTCTCGCTCGAAGAGCCGCGCATCGATACAAGATTAGTCGTGTATATTTAACATCTGAGTCGTATTTTACTATTTTAACGTTTATGCTAAAAAAATTCCGTTATTTGTATATTTGACAAAAGCACGGTATAATTCATTACAATAACAATTGATGAATATTTATTTCGCACAGAGAGTTCCACCGCTTCGTGTCGACGACTTGATCGAAGATCTGAAAGACGGCACGCGCCTTCTCGCCTTACTTGAAGTTCTTTCAGGAGAAAAATTGGTAATGTGGATATTTTTTGCGCTGTCACGTTCGAAAGAAGTATTGTCAGAATTAATTGTCACCTAAATCATGCGTAACTTTTCAGCCCGTGGAGAGAGGTCGTAATTTAAAGAGACCGCATTTCCTCAGTAATGCCAATACCGCGTTACAGTTTTTACAAAGCAAAAAAGTGAGTATTCGTCATTCTGCGCGGCAAATCGTGCAAATCGATGCTCAATTTCTGATCTAATATTTTCGCAGATCAAATTAGTGAATATAAATTCGTCCGATTTGGTCGACGGACGACCGCCGGTAGTGTTGGGCCTGATATGGACTATCATCCTGTACTTCCAGGTACTTATTGTCGCCTTTGGATATTATATAATCTTGTCATACGTAATAATAGTCATGCAAAATAGCACCATTATACTTATGTAGTATGCGGTAGCTGCTTAAATATAGCGCTCGTATCACGTAATAAAAAGTACCTTGATAAATACGCAGCAGCACCATATTTTTTTATACCGCAACGAGTATTAATTTGTACTTTCTAAAATTGCAAGTTAGACTCACGAATTAATATCGTCAGGATTAAATCAAACAGAAACATGAAAACACAAAAGTTTTAATCGGATTGCGTAATTCGCTATTTTATTAATAAATTAACTCTTAAATGTTGCTTAGTAAAGTTAACATCATTTGCTGCGGGCAATCCGAAATAAATTAATTCTCGTTGCGAATGAAGTAATTTATATCACTCTATGCTAACCGTATGTATTCCATTTCAATTCAATGAACAAGCTACGATCAAAGGATCGCAGGCGGGTGAGTAGATAAAGAATAAAAGCAAAAGAAGATCGTGAATTACACGATGAATGATGTTGATCGCAAGAGAGTAAGACAGAATGCACTTGCATGACATTGCGCATTCCATTATGCACGCTAGATCGTTTTCTAAGCTCGAAGCAACGACAGGAAATATCGCACTCGTAACAGCAATCTTAGCTGATCGATCGCTTTCTTTTTAGATCGAGGAGAATACGAGAGCTCTCGAGTACCTTGGACACACCTGGGGCAGCCAGAGCAGCCTCGAAAGCCTCGGCACTCAGGGCTCGGCGGCGAGCGAGAGGAAACGCATCAGCAGCGAAAGATGGAAGCAAAGTGCAAGGAAAACCTTGCTGCAATGGGTCACCAATGCCTTGCCCAAGTCAGTATCGGATTGCATTTTGGCGTGATAAATTCAACCAATATCGAGTAACATTGCAACTGATCACATTGCATCGGAACTGATTCTTTAGGAACGTTGGTATCCAAGTGCGAGACTTCGGAGAAAGTTGGAGAGACGGAAATGCCTTCTTAGCTATAATCGATGCTATAAGAGCCAATTTGGTGAACATAGCAGCCATGAGAGAAGCGTCGAACAAAGCCCGGCTGGAGACAGCCTTCCAGGTTGCCGAGATCGAACTGGGTATCGCGCGTCTGTTGGATCCCGAGGATGTGGACGTGCCGCAGCCGGATGAGAAATCGATCATGACATATGTCGCCCAATTCTTGCACAAATATCCCGAGCCAGGAAACACGGGTCCTGATTCCTTTGCGGCCATACAAGAGGAATACGACGGCCTTCTTAACTGGCTGAACGAAAGAGTCAGGCATTTAGAACAGCTTGACAGAACCAATGCCTTCCCACGAAGCTATCCGGTACTTTCATAATCAGACTTTAATTCTCAACAAACAACACATAAATTTCACTGAGTTTTTAAACTTTGATAATAATTTTTATATGACGCTAAAAAAACATCAAAATTGAAAGATTTATAAAAAATAATTTGAGTTATTTGAATTATTTTATTTATAAATATTTATTTTTTATATTTTGCTACTAATTATTTTGCGAAATTTATAAAAGATTATATAATATCTTGAAATTTTTCGAATGAATGTAATGATAAAAATATCTCATCACTTCGACATCAAGTAACGTGAGGATTTATTTTAGGAATATATGCTGTTTAGAGCGGAAACAGATGAAAAATCAATTATATACAAAAAAATGCAAAGTTTGGTCGATACACCCAGCATGATAAGTATCACACGGGATTCCTGGAGACATATACAAATGTTATGGCAGCAAATGGAGCTCTTAGTAGGTTTTCTTCTACAGTCCGTCGAAACAAGCAGACTTTTGCGTCGTACAAATTTCTTTCAATATAACGTCTTTTCTCTTTTAGATGCTGCATTGGCTCTGGTTATTGGATTCGGCATTGCCAGGCGAATTAGGCGAAGCTGGCAGATGGCTGGCGAGAGCCGAAGCTCTCTTGCACTCGGACAACGATATACCGGCGGAAATGACGGAGGGTACCGCGAATATAATTTCGAACAAATTAGAAGACCACAAGAAGTTCTTCCTCGACTTGTCAGCCATGACGGAAAAGTTTCAGCACGCCAAGAATTCGCCGTTGGCGCGGCAAGTTCAGCCTGAACAATTGGAGAACATGTCCGCGCGCTTCGACAGCTTACCCGATCGCGCGGCTAAGAGGAGGATAAAGTTGAAGTTCCTAGAGCACAAATGCTGCCTGATCGCTTTCCTGTACCTCGTCGAGACCAAGTTGAAAAGCTGGAACGTCAAATACGGCACGGAGGAGAAAGTGCATCAGATGCTGGAGCAGTATCGCAATTTTGTTTCCCGAAATAGAATATTCCAAGAGTTTCAAAAGGCTTATTTGGATATGCAGAATGTCGCTGACGAGTACAAGCGCGACGGCGACATTGGTAAATAAAGACGTTTTAATTGATTATTAATTAATATTTATTTTACACGGAATTTATATAAATAATATAAAGAAAAAGATATCTATTCATAAATATGTGTCCACAATTTATAAATATTAATTTTAATTTATATAAATATAAATTAAATTTATATAAATATAAATTAAAAATAATTAAGTAATGAGTAATTAATTTAATAGAATACTTTAGATGAAAAACAGCATCGTCTCTGTCGTCGTAGTAATATCGTGAATTCGCGCGCTTCAGATCGGGAAGAAAGCTTCAACATCGACCGCTTCTTGCGCGAAACCGCCGACAAGTGGAAGAACGTGTCAATGGACTTGCGCTGCGTCCAGAGCATGCTCGAGGAAGTCGTCGCTTATTGGCGTCGCTGGACCATCGTCTCGGACGAGTTCGAGGCGTGGTTACTTCGCGCCGAGCCCGCTCTAAGTCTGCCGGAGGACGAGAGAATGGAGTTCTTCCAGGACATCAGCGTGTGGAAGGACAAGCATCAGCAACTGTCGGACACTGTGAGCTTCCTGATCGCCACGTCCGACGAGTCGGTCGCGTATCGCCTGAAGGAGCGCTACGCGAACCTGACGGCGAGATGGGAGCAGCTCTTCCAGGAGGCCAAGCAGTACATGCACGCGGGCGATCTTATTCGAACGCGGAAGGATTACAAAGCAGGAGTGGAGACTCTGCAGAAATGGCTGAGAAACTCCGAGGCGGCCTTGTCAACCACCGGACTGAGCTCGACGGAGCGAATCAAGGCTTACGGCGAGAAACTGCAGGCTCTCACAACGAGGTCGAGGGCATCGAGGACCTCTTCAAGAACATCAGCAAAAAATTCCAAACACTTATCCAGGATTTGTCCCGCGACGAAGTCGACAGGATGATGAACACGCTGAAGAAGGAAAAGGAGGCGCTCGTCAAGGTGCGCGCTTTGATACCCATGCAACTGCACTTGTACCACCAACTATTAGTGCAACAGGAATCTCTGGAAGCGGGGCAAAAAGAGATATCCGCGTGGCTGGACGAGGCTGAAAATTTTCTGGCCAGCATCAACCTCGCGGGCGGCAGAGACGCCGCGCTAGCGCAGTTGGATCGCCACAAGGCCTTCTTCTCGAGAACGCTTTATTACAAATCCATGTTGGAATCTAAGAACAAGGTGTTCGCCAGTATTGTCAAGGCTGTGGACAGTCACGCCGACGTGGAGACGGCCGAGGGTGGCGCTACCCTGCGAGAGCTGAACAATCGATTCGCCAGAGTCTCTCAGGCGGCGCAAGTCTGGGAACAGCGTTTGCAGGAGTCCGTGCGACGCTGGACGAAGTTCAAGGAGTGCGAACGACAGATCTCCGAGTGGCTCTCGGTCGCGGAGACGATGATCAACGACAAGCACATCGACAATCGCCAATCCGTCGAGCATCACAAGAACTTCTTCGGCAAGATCAACGAGAAATGGATACAGGACCTGGTGAAGGCCGGCCAGGATCTCCGAAACGTGTTGCCGGCTGATCAGCAGCTGCCCATCGCGAGCACGGTGGAGGCCCTACAGAATCGCTGGCGGGAAGTTCTCACGTTCGCGCCGCTCCATCTCATGAGACTCGAGTTTCGCTTGGACGAAGCCAGCTTCCTTCAGTATCTCAAGGAAATCGAGATGGAGATCAGTTCCGAACAGCAGGCGCTCATCAACAACGACGACGTGGACGGCATTCAGCAGCGCAACCGGGAGTTCTTCGTGAATCGCGGCACCGTGCTCGAGGTCGAGCGCTGCTTGCAGACCCTGAAGAAGATCAGCGACGCCTACAGCAAGCACAAGCCGAGGGACACCACTCTGGCCGACGCCGCGCAGAATGCGGAGCGCATGTGGGAGGAGACCGCGCAGAAGGTGGAAAATCTGAGAGAGCAGTTGCGCGAAGTTCCACAGCAATGGGCGGCTTACAGACAGAAGTAAGAATACTGATTTCTGAGACGAATCGACGTGACAATTCTTTTTTTTTTTCGACACAATGCGTATTTGCTTGCAGATTCGATGAGATGGTGCACTGGATGGACCACGTCGACAGCACTTTGAGAACGATCTTACGCGAGGTGAACACTCTGGAAGAATTCGAAAAGGAAAAGGCTATATTCCAGGTAAGCGTCGACTGATTTCGCGCCTCGCAAAATTCTCTATCACGTCACTGGAATATTTAAATCACTCTGCTTCACCTTTTCTGCGTTTCCTCCGGATAGATCCAGACCTTGACGGTAAATATGTGCGCCTGCGCTTTCCTATCCCTCGTAGTATCGCTATGCGGTCAAGAATTTAACAGGCTCTCAGAATAAAATTTCTAGTAAATTTCGGTTTCATTTGTTTCATTTAATTTATCAGTGCAAATTGATTGGCGTTTTAAAATTTTATTCTGAGAAGTGATATCTTAATTCATCGTCAAGACAGAAATAAGCATAACGAGAATCTTAAAACGCTTGTCGATTGTTCGCAGAAAATCTGCCGCGAGGCCGACAGCAAGCGCGAAGAGATGAAGTGGCTGGTTCAAACTCTCGACAATCTAACGTTGAATCGTTCAGATCGCGAGGCGCTTACGGCGCAGCAGAATTTGGAGCACCTAATAACTCGCTATAAGAATCTAATACCGACAATCGAGATCACAATGACGAAAACGGACATCTACTCGAAGAGTTACACCTATCGAAAGGAGGTGCGCGAAGTGTGTACTTTGTTGCGCAAGGTTCGCGAACAGTCGAAGGTCGAGGTCACGCCTGAAGTACCCGAAAAGCTGCAAAGCGCAGTGGCTCATCAGGAATCGCGCCTCAATCAGTTGGAGCAACAGCGAGCGACCATTGTCAGTATGTTGCAACGCGGCAAGGATCTGCTGAAGGATCAGCACGCGCCGCCTTTCGTCTCTTCCGAGGTCCAGCAGCTAGAGTCCAACTGGAACGACACATACGGCCAAAGCATGGAGACGCTGAAGTCTCTGAAGGACTCGCAGAAGCTCTGGAGCACCTATCACGAGCAGAGGGACGAAATCTTGAGATTGATCGAGCAAGCGGAACAAGAACTGCGGCAAATAGAATCGACATCTTATTACGACGCCGGTCAGGTGACTTCCGATCTGCAGAAGAAACAAGAGTTCAATGCGAATCTGAGGAAATCGGCCGAGGAGATGATGAGGAAACTGCGCGAAACGTACACTAATCTCGCGCAGACGCTCACACCGCCGAGTAAAAAAGACAGTCTGGAGAAGGAAGTGACGGAAACCGAGAAGAAACTGGAACACACGCTGAAAACCGTGCGAGAGAAGGTCGTTTATCTTCAAGAGCACAGTACTCGATGGAACAAATTTCAATCGAAGTTTATAGAACTCCGATCCTGGATTCAACAGGCCGCGCCTCAATCGATCGCGGATATCGAAGATTCCGCGGCCTCGCCTGAGGAAAGAGTTCGTAAAACGGAGAATCTGCAGAAGGAAATAAAAGAGAAGGCATCGATTCTAAACATTCTAGAGGACGAGTCTCGAAAACTCGTAAAACGTGAGTATTAAATTTTCAATTTATAGAACTTCTATAATTTCTTTTACATAATTACAATATAATTTTTAATATAAACTTTCTATTATCCGTTGTTAAATTTTATTTGAAATAAAGTAACTTCGATTATTAATCAGTTTAATAAAACTCTGAATAGAAATATAAAAATATTTCTTTTTTTTTTTATCAATTAGTAGACAGTGATGACGCTCCGGCGAAACAACTCCGCGCCGACTTTGAAAATCTTCACAAGGCAGTCGAATTGTTGAATAAAAGTATAGTAACGCAGCGCGAATTAGCCACGAAAAATCTTGCCACGTGGAAAGAGTACGAAGAGGGCATTCAGAAGATAAAACCTTGGATCGAGCAAGCCGAATCTAAGGCCGCTACGATGGGCAGCAAGCCCACGACTCTGGCGCAAGCGACGCAAATGTTAGAATCGGCCAAAGCGTTCGAAATTCAGTGCCAGCAGCATCTTCCGAAAGTTCAGACTCTGTCGACGATCAGCCAGCAAATAGCCGGAAGAACAGTGGCGCCCGACGAAGTCGACGCGGTGTACACGCGATGGAACGCGGTTCACGACGTGGCGGTGCAAACGACGACCAAGCTGGACAAACTCGTCTTGTCGTGGAACACCTTCGAGTCGGAAGCGAAAGAGTTTAACGAGTGGCTGCAGAACAGCGAGCGGGAAGCTCTGAAGGAACCAAACGTTCAAACGCCCGAAGCCGCCAAGCTGGAGAAGGAATTGGCGCGGTTGAAGGAGTTCAACAAGAGCATATCGAATCACCAGGCGCAATTGATATCGCTCACTCAAGTGAGCGATCACATCAGCCACGGTCTGTCGCTGGAGGGCGCCTCCGCGTTGAAGGGCCGCGTCGCCGAGATGAAGGCCAGAGTGAGCAAACTCGCGGACACGGTTCGCCATCACATCAATCGCGTCTCCGATTCTCTACTGGCGCGGCAAGAATTCCAGATAAAGATCACCGACTTCGAGAACTGGATGACGAGGCTGAGGTCCAACATCAACGAGATCGGCGACGTGGGCGTGGATAACGTGGACGCAAATCTGCAAGCGGTGCACGCTTACCTGCAGGAACATTCGGAGAAGCAACCGACGTTCGCTGCAATCTACGACGAAGTGAAACAACTGTCGTCGCGAGGTTCCGTGCCGGAGGTCGCGGCGTTAGACGAGACTTATACGTCCTTGGCGAAGAAATACAAGGCGCTCGAGGATGACTTGAGAGAGAAGAAGAAGGGCCTGGAGAAGTGGATCGAACTCTTGAGCTGGCACAATGACGCCAATGCGCAGCTGAGTCACTACAAGTACGAAACCGAGGCTAGAAAGCCGACTATCGCAGATCTTAACAGACTCTCCTCGGACCTCGAGGCTGTGTACGCGAAGATCAACACCTGGAAGGAACATGTGCCGTTGATGGACAGCACTCTGGGAATACATGTTCGCGACAAGCAAGAGAGACCAGTTACCGCGACAACATTGCTGAACGATCTCGAATCGAAAGCCGCGGTGCTGAAGACAGAATTATCCGCCAAGCGCGATAAATTGGAGAATCTCGGCGCAAAGTGGGACAACTTCAGGAAGCTGCAGCAGAAAATCACGGAGGAAATCGTCAACACTCAAACGTGCCTGCAAGACATCACGTACGCCGTCGACACCTGCGAGAAGCTCGCGCCTGCGATTGAAAAGATCGACGATCTGATCGAGGACCATCAGAGACGCGAGCCGGAAAAGGAAGTGCTTCATCGGGAAGGTGATAATTTGATGAAGGAGGATCAGCGCGCGATCACGAACATTCAGGTGGTGGTTTCTTCGGTGGACGGCAACTGGGAGAAAGTGAACGAGCTTCTGCGCGAGCAGAGAAAGAAGTACGCCGAAATGGATGCCGATTGGAAGCAATACAAAGAAGCTCGGGAGAAACTGAACAAATTTATCGACGAGGCGAAGAGCCTCTGCCAGTCGGTTAGAGATGTATCGACCGATATTACCCAGGCGAACGTGGCTCTGGAGAAACATAAAAGAGCCTCCGACATCTTGAAGAAAGGCAAACAGTTTCTGGACAAGATGGATGCTAAAGCGCAGCAGTTGGCGAAGGAGGCGTCATTAATGCCGAATTTCAAGACCAATCTGATCGAGTCGGATCTGTCCGACGCGCGGAAAAAATATCAGAAAATTTACGCCAAGGTAATCGATCGCACACAAATGCACGAAACGCAGGTCATTATTTGGAAGCAGATCGAGGAGGCGAAATGTAATCTGACAAGATGGCTGAGCGACACGAACGAGGCGCTCACCGCGGCGTGCGAGCGTCTGCTCGACGCCGAGAACGGACAGGCGCGGTTGACCAGATATCGCGAGGAGTTGCCGGCGCATCAGCAGCTCCGTCGAGGCATCGCCACAAAAACCGAGCAACTCGTCAAGCTGAACGACGACACGGACATACCGACTTTGAGATCTCTCAATAATTTGTTGGACGATCAGTTCAAGGTTGTCAAAGAAGCCGCGGACAAGCTTGCGTCGCTCACGTCAACTCTTAACGAGAAGGAGAAAGGCATCAAGCAAGAATTGAAAAAGTGCAGCGACGCGATATCGAAAGTCCGCGAGGAGATAATCAAATGCGACGATCTGACCGGCGAGAACACCAAGATCCTGCACAGGATTAACAAATGTCAAGAGCTGAAGACCGAATTGGAGAAGTGCGATTACGCGCTTTCGGAAATCGACGAGAAGTTGACGAACATGGCGTCGGAGTATCCAGCCATCTCCAAGTCAAGCTTGCCGAAGGAGCTTCAGGCGTTGCAGCTTCGTCGAGACGGCGTGGCTAGCCACGCCGACAAAGTGAATGCCACGTTAGTGGCCTTCTTGACGAAGCTCTACCACGAGAAGTTCGGCGCTCTGCAGCGCATGGTAGCGACGCACAAGGAAAAGGTGGCTTGGTGCGAGCCCGAGCAAAGCAGCGATCGTTACAATCTCGAGGTGAAGATGGCCTCGCTGGCCGACGTGGAAACCGGCATCGCCGATTGCGAGACGCGAAAGGTGGACACGGACAATTCGCTGAAGCTTCTGGGCACCGTCGAGAGCGGTAAAACCACCGCCGCTCTCAAAAGCGAGCGCGACAAAGTCGCTGCCGACTTGGAGGCTCTAAAAATCAGCTATCGGAAAATCAAGTCTGTGCTGGAGCAGAACATCGCTCTGTGGCAGAGATACGAGCTCACGTCGGAGAACGTGATTTCCTGGCTGAAAGAAAACGAGAGCAAGATCAGAGTGGAAGCCACGACGCTGCTGAATCTGGACGAGATCAACGCGAAGATCGCCGAAATGACGCAGCTCGAGAAGGAAGTCAAAAACTACGAAGGCGAGGTGAAGGACTTGATGGCGCTCGGCGAGGAAATTACGAAAGTCAGCCCGGAGTCGCGCGTGGCGCAGTATGTGGGACACTTGAGCACGCGTTATCATTCGGTGCTCAAGTTCCTGGCGCAGCATCTGAACAGGCTTGGAGAGCTGAAGCAGATCAGAGGTCAGTACGCCGACAACGTGAAGGAACTGGAATCGTGGCTGCAGAAGGCGGAGCAGAAACTGAGAGTATACGACGAAATCAGCGGCCCGAAGCCGATTACTTTTTATCAATCCCGATTAAAAGAATTGAAGGCGTTCGCGGAGGAGCGCGAGATCGGACAAGGCATCCTGAATCGCACGGCGGAAGCGGGCGAGACGCTATTCGCGAGGATAACGCCGGATCACAGGGAACTGATTAGAGGCGAATTGAGAAACCTGCGCAGTCGCGTGGAGGCCCTGGCCGATCGCGCAAACGTGATCTACAAGAAGATCGAGAGCGACATGATGCACCGATCATCGTTCGAGGACAAGTATTCTCAGGTGAAGCAGTGGGTGATCGAGGCGCGGAAGAAGCTGGGCGACAAACAGGATCTGCTGCCGACGCTTCAGGAGAAGAAACTCGCCTTGCACCTGTACAAAGCCATCGCGCAGGACGTCGGAGTTCACCGAAACATCCTGCAGCAGCTTCAAGGCAGACTCGGCGCGATGCCGGACGACGAGGCGAGCGAGATGCTCAACAGCGTGATCGAGGCGCACGAGAAGCTGTCGGAAGACGTGGAGAACAGAATCAACGTGGCGGAGAAGCACGTCGCCAATCACGAGGCTTACCTCCAGACGTTCGAGAAAACGCGCGACTGGATCAACACGGTGGTGAACGAGACGGCGTCCGTCAGCGAGGATCTCTCGATAGACCGAGACGCGGCGAAGTCTAGAATCGCCTTGATCGAAAACGTGTTGCAGCAGAAGCCCGAGGGCGATAGAGTTCTAGCCGACTGCAATCAGCAATTGAACATCATTCTGGAGCAAACCTCGATAGCGGGCCATCCCGCGTTGCTGAAGGGCTTCGAGCAGCAGGAGAAGATTTGGGAGGACTTCCTCAAGCGATGCATCGCGAGTAGAGAAAAGCTGAACCGTTTGTTCGACCAATGGTCCGAGTTCGAGAAGATGGTCGAGCGCCTGGAGTCCTGGCTCAAGCAGATCGAGGCGCAAGTGAAGGATCAGAGCTTGAAAAGCACCGAGGAAACGAAACGCGCTCACTTGCAGAAGCTGAAATCGCTCGAGGAAGCGATCGTGGCGAAAGGCGCCGAGTTAAACGCGGCGGTCGAGAAGAGCCAAGGCATAGAAGCGGAGTCCGATCTGGCTACCAGAGTGTCGCGTCAAGCCACCAAGTATCAAGCGATTAGAAATCAAGCGAAGGAGGCCGTGGCGCGCTACGAGCAGTACGTGAAAGAGCACAGTCTGTTCAACGAGAGATACAATCAATTCCTGGATTGGATCACGGAAGTTCAAGGCGAGCTGAACAAGCACAGCGAGATCGTCGGCGATCTTGCGGTGCTGCAAAGCAGGCAGAAGCATATTCGAGACCTCGGCGACGTGAGGACACGCGAGAACGCGCGTTTCGAGTCCGTCATCGATCTCGGCGAGAAACTCTACGTGCACACGTCGCCGGACGGACGGGAGATAATTCGACAGCAGCTGCGAAACCTGCGTACTATGTGGGACGGATTCTCCGAGGATCTGCAACACTCGACGCAGAAGTTGGATCAGTGTCTGATGCAGTTCGCCGAGTTCTCGCTGTCGCAGGAGCAACTGACCGCCTGGCTGCGAGACGTCGAGCGCGCGATGCACCAACACACGGAGCTCAAGTCCTCGCTCGAGGAGAAACGCGCGCAGCTGCAAAATCACAGGATCATGCATCAAGAGATCATGTCGCATCAGGCACTAGTCGAGTCGGTTTGCGACAAGGCGCAACAGTTGGTCGATCAAACCAAGGACACTTCTCTAAACGTCTATCTACAGTCCATCAAGCAGCTCTTCCAGAACATTGTCGCCAAGTCGCGAGATTTGCTGGAGAATTTAGAAGATTGCTGCGACAAGCATCATCGCTTCAATCTCCAATGTAAATGCTTCTCCGACTGGCTGAACGGAGAACGAGAGAAGCTGGCCGAGTGCAACGACGTGACGGGCGAACGATCCGACATCTCTCGCAGATTGACGAGCCTGGCGGTGTTAAAGGACGGCCAGGCGCAGGGAGCGCAGCATCTCGCGAAATTGAAGGAGCTTAGCGAGGCGGTGGCTAATAGCACCGCGCCGAAGGGTAGAGAAGTCATCAAGAAGGAAGTGATCGCCTTAGAAAGCAATCTGCATCAATTCCTGAGCGAAATCGGTAAATACACATTGCAAATCGTATTTTCCACCCGAAAGAAATTTTCTTCGCGCAAACTTATATAATTTTAATCTTTAATTTAATTTGTTCTATTTATCGCATCTTTATTTAGTCAAATTTAACTTTTCAGTGTCCGTGGAGGAACGACTGAAAGCGGCGCTGGAGAGATGGCAGAACTTTGAAAATCAATTGGAAGCTCACACGAAATGGTTCCGTTCCATGGAGGCGATTTTCCGGGATCAGCAACTTCAACCCACATTAAAGGACAAAGAAGCGAGACTTCGCGCTGTTAAGGAGAAACGCGAGATTATCGCGCGGCAGGAACGAGAAATAGACGAATTTGTGGATAAGTCTCACAGTTTACTGCACGCAAGTGGTATCGAACGCATCAAGCCGCTGATTTCCCAAGTCAGCAACAGGTACATTGAATTAATTCCAACAAGAGAGCTACTATTCTCATGTCTATCATAGCTATTTGATGCATGTGCAATAAAATTCTGTCATGATTAGATAAGTGACATTTGAAAGATTTAATCGCGTAGAATGCGGAATTGTGTTATTGTGAAATTGAAGTAGACATCAATATCTTTAAATGTTTTAGCTAGTGTGATATTCTTTTATTTATTAAAATAATTATAGCAAATAAATAATTTACACGATTTTATTTACACTATTTTAATGCTAACATGTAAGTAAATAATAATATAAAAATTATGAAAACTTAAATTTATTAATTAATTTTTTGGTAATAAATAATAATTAATAAAAAATAATTAAAAATTACATTAGATATTAGATATACACTATTCCACAAAAATAGGAAACAGTTTTCAAACACTCAAAATTAAGCAATTTTTAAACCGCTTAAACGCGGCAAAAAATCATTGCAGACAAAAAATTCTAAAAGCATTATAAAGCTTGTAGTTTGTATTTTTATTTGATTTCGGTCGTTTTTGAAAGTTATTTATTTTCACAGTTCTGAGCCCGAAAAAAGGGACACATTGTTTTGTTCTTAAAATTACGTTCAATACTCTGCAGCTTAATAAAAAAAATTTTCTTGCAAAATTTATGACAAGTATCAAAAACTATAACATTTTACTTACAAAATGCGCTTCTTTAAATTTTGATATGATTTTTTTTTGGCCGAGTTACACTAATTTGAAGTTAAACTTATATTTTTTACACTAATGCTATTGTCGATTTAAAGTCGCGTAACTCGGGCAAAAAATATCGTAACAAAATTTAAAAAACGCGTTTTGTACGTAAAATATTGTAGTTTTGTCACTTGGCATAAATTTTGCAAAAAAAATTTTTTTATTGACAACAAAATAATGTGTTTTTTTCTCGGGCTTAGGACTGTAAAAATAAAAAATTTTGAAAAGCAATTAACAGCATGTAAAAGTACAAGTTTCAAGCTTTAAAATGCTTTTTTATTTTTTTATCTACGATGATTTTTCGCCGAGTTACAGCGGTTTGAAAATTAGTCAATTTTAAGCGTCTGAACGTCTCGACGCGACGGAGCAATGCTGTCGAGAACGGCGACGTGCGCGCCATTACTACGGCGTCGTGCGTATTAATGGCGTGCACTCACCGTTCATGTCCGCATTGCTCTGCTGCGTCGAGACGTTCAGCCGCTTAAAATTAACCAATTTTCAAATCGCTGTAACTCGGCAAAAAATCATCCTAAACAAAAAATTAAAAAAACATTTTAAAGCTTGAAACTTGCACTTTTACGTGCTGTTAATTGTTTTAAAAAATTTTTTATTTTTACAGTTCTAAACTCGAAAAAAGAACACAATACTTTCAATAGTCTGTAGCTTGATAGAACAATTTTTTTCGCAAAATTTATGACAAGTTTATGTCAAAAATTATACCTGCAAAATATGCTGTTTTAAATTTTGCTACGATTTTTTAGTCCAAGTCCGAAAAGTGTTTTCTATTTTTTTTTATGAAGAATAGATAAAAGGAATAATATTACAAAAAATATGATTTAGGTATCAGCTGCTGCACGTGTTGAGTAAAGAAGTGATAAACCGTTGCCAGAGTATCGTGGATGATCATCGCGCTTATGAAGAGAAACTAAAAGCTATCGACGTTTGGCTTACCCCTCTCGAGCAAAATCTAGCAATCTTGAAAAAGGAAGAGCTCGGTGGTGATCTCGAAGCGAGGAATTCGCGTTTGCAAGTCTTGCTAACCGAAAAAGAACAAGCTGAACATCGCTTAGCCAGTTTGACATCTCTCGGAGAGAGAATTCTCCCCGACACTTCCGCTCAGGGGCGCGAAGTAATTAGACACGAATTGCGACACGCTCGCGAACGATGGGATCGTCTGGCCGAAGGCATTACCGAACAGCAGAAGAAGCAAGACGCTCAATCCTTACAATGGACCAGCTATCAAGAGACTCTACAACAAATTCTGGCATGGTTGAACACGATGGAACGTGCGATTAAGCAAGATTCCTCGACTGTGTGGTCCTCCTTGCAAGAGATAAGATCGAAACTACTCAAACTAAAGGTTTGTCAGAATGCTTACTTCTAATATTTTTTATTGTACGAAAGAAAAATAACATAAACAAAATCATTGATCGCATAATTTGGAAAATTTTACTTCAGACATTGCATCAAGAGATCTTGGCTCACAAACGCATCATCGAGGGCATTTCCGAGAAAGCCAACGCTCTGGTTCAAGTCACTCAAGTACCGTCGGACGTTCAGGAGAGGGTTGTTTCGGTATCGAAGAGATATGAAAATCTAGTAGACGCGTCGCAGAAGGGAATATCCAGCTTGGAAGCACTGCTCGACATCTTCCAGCAGTTTCACGATCTTCAGAAAGCTTATCAAGATTATCAGAAACGTCAATGGGAACGTTTGGCGAATTACAGCGACTACACGGGGAATAAAGCCGCTCTTCAGGCCAGATTAGCCAAAGTTGTAGAAATACAAGACAGCCAAAGCGAAGGCGAGATAAAGCTGAACGTTCTCGGAGAACACGTGGCGCAAAGTGCGCGCACTCTGCCACCTCGATCGCAGGAATCTATGGAAAGAGATTTAGCCAATCTCAGGTAATTGTTTTACAAAGCAAAAAACAATCGAAAATTAATTTATCTATCTAAAAAGTATTAAAAATTGAAAATAGGGCTCCGCCGTCAAATAAATAAATGCACACCTATTTGTTTTCAGATTCGAATATAAGAAATTTGCCACAGCCGTAAACGACGTGGCGCGTTGCATCGAGGAGAGAATACAGCAGTGGAGCGAGTACGAAAATTCGTTGGAACGTTTGCTCGCCTGGCTCACCGACGCCGAAACGTTGTTGAAAAATTATTGCCTGAAGAACACGCTCGAGGAGAAGCAGGAGCAGCTCGAAAGATATCAAGTAAGCTCGAGATGATTGAAACAGAAATTACAGATGCAGAAATGCAGTTTTCTTTTGGCTTTATGTACGTTAAATGTGGCAAATGCCCTAATTGATAAATATCGATTACATAGAAAAAGCGCTTGTTTGTTTATCCCTTGTCGCAGAATGCCCCCCTTACTGAAATAAGCAGCATAATTTGTACAGTGTGCACATTTAAAGTGTCCCATTTTAATTTCGATTAGATGTAGCTGTTTTTTATTTCGACCACTCACATCGCATACATCACGAATATGAATCTTGTTAATGCTGTTCCACGCCCCACGTAATAGATCATGCGAGCACTTTTCAATCAACGAATAAGAGAGAAGAAAACGCCCCCGTCTGCGCAAATTTTTATCTTCACTCGTAGAGCGTAATTATTCCCCCGTGATTGTATGTAATAAAATTTCCTAGGAACTGCAAAAGGTCGCCGATTCGCAGAACACGGATGTGACAGAACTGGTTGCGCTCGGTGACCATCTCGAACAAGTAAGAGAGTGATATGCGAATATTATCTTGCAAAAAAAAAAGGCGAAATTGCGAGAGAGGCGGATGATTGCAACGGCTTTACGAGGAGTCTCTCCGACACGATTGCTCTTTTCTCGTATTATCTTTCAGCTTCTCGTAGCTTTTGTCAGAGCCGATGAAGGATGCCAACGCTTCGTCTTGCGATTTTATTGGCGTTTAATGACACGCGCGATATGAGATATGATGATTTATCTGGCCATTTGATTGAATAAATCTAATATTTGTTTTTTTTTTTTTTTTAATATTAGATCTTGCTGTAAAATTGGAGAAAAAGCTAAATAGTCATAAAAATATTATTGTCGAGCTGAGCACTTCATAACATTGAACAATTATTTGTTCTTGCATCGGCAAGATAAATTTTTGTTAAACTCTTGGCAGCCTGTCGATTTATATTCAGCGAATATTGCGCTTTCAGCTTCAAATCTCGCAGTAAGGGAGTTCTGTTTGTTGCTGCACGAATGGAAGTAGAGCTTCTTTGACGCTGAGATTTACATCGACGAACAAAGCTGATATCTCAGGATGGAACATTGAGCTCTAATTTTTTTTTTTCTATTATACTTAACGCATATTTCTTCGTTTAACACTTAAGTAATAATAGTCTAACTCTTACTTAAACAGGCTTCTGCTCGCTCACACAGGAAAAGAGAAAATCTTCTATTTCCCTTTTCGCATAAATTGCGCGGAAACAGCTCTTTAACGAACCTTATTCACAAATAGTTGCAGAATATTGTAAAAGTGATTTTTTTCACAGTCACTCATCGTGAACCTGCGGCAAAACGAGGCCGATTTCGACAAAATGAGCGACGATTCGTCGGAACTGATGCAGATCAGCGGTGAGACCAGATTTTCTGTCAGCGTTCAACAAGTCACGTCACGTTTCCAATCGATTCAAACAACCGCTAAAGTAAGTTTGTCGACAAAATAAAAACATTTTGTTAAATAAATTAATTTTTAAAAGTGAAACTGTTTCGCTACTAAAATAAAATCAATTTATTTCATGCAAATACGTTTTGTTGTTGCAAAAATCAGTTTCTAGCAATATAAATTACAAAAACTCTTAACAGAATTATTTTTAATAAATAAAATTATTCTTGTTATTCTAATAAATTTTTTAAAACAATTTTTTTTGCTATCAATATAATAACTGATAAAATTTCATACCATAGCATGAAATATTTCAACAAATTCTTGTATTTTTCTGCGTATAAAAATAGATATATATTTCTGTTTCAGGAATTAGTAAAGAAATGCGAACAAGCGGTTGTGGATCACGCCAGCTACTTAGAACGCTATAAGCAATGCTCCGAATGGCTCGCAAACACGAGGGCGCGCTATCATTCCACCAGAGAGAATGCCACTCGTCAAGAACTGATCTCGAACGTGGACACGTTAAAAGAGCTCTTAGGTCGTCAGTCTTCGTCGACACTCTTGATAAACAGCACCGTCGAGGCTGGAGAACGATTATATCCGACGACCGGCACCGAAGGCCGAGAAATTATTCGTCAGCAACTGCTGGATCTCCAGCAAGCCTTCGAAGAGCTTTACGACGGCGTCGCGCTGACCGAACGCGAGCTGCAGGCGAAGATTTCGCGATGGTCCGGCTTCGACGAGTGCAGCGAGGCCTTCGAGCGATGGCTGAAGACCGTGGAAGCTCAATTAAAACCGGAAATCGAATTGAAAACCACTCTGGATGAAAAGCGCGCTCAGCTGCACATCTACCGCAACATCCTGCACGACGCTCAGACGCATCAGCAGGATCTGCTGGACCTTCGCGACAAGGCGGACAATCTGCCCGAACGTACAAACAAAATTGACCAGACACTGAACAGTTTGACGAACAGGTACAACGTGCTGCTGAAACGCGCGACCAAGTTCGTGGAGAAGTACGAGGGTATAGTGAGCGATCATCAGCAGTACAGCAAGGCCGTCCTCGACACGCACGAGTGGTTGGACGCCACGCACAACGCCGTGAGTCTCTGGGGCGACGTGGAGCTGGAGAGAGTGTCGCTGCACACGAATCTGGACCGTCTGAAGAATCTGCTGAACAGCTTGCCGGAGGACGAGCCGCGGGTGCAGCAGATCAGGTCGCTGGGCGAGAAGGTGATACCCGGCACTCTCGAGTCGGGCCAGGTGAACATCCGCGCGCAGATCGACTCCTCGCAGCAGGAGTGGGAGGGCCTGATCTCCGCCGTCAAGTCCACCATCGAGGCGCTGGAGAACAAGCTTCAGCAGTGGAGCGAATTCGAGACGTCGAAAGAGCGATGTCTGGCGTGGATGCGCGACACCGATACAATATTGCACGCCGTCGATCTCAAGTCCACTCTGGCGGAGAAGAAGAACCAGCTGGAGAAGCTGCGCGCTCTCCAAGGCGAGATTCGCGCGAAAGAGCTGGAAATCGACGCCGTCGCCGAACGAGCGCAGCAGCTTCACAAGAACGCCACATCTCGCACTTCGCACATGTCGGAGCTGAGTATCAAGTACCAGCAGATCTCCAGCAAGGTGAAGGATCTTAACAACCGGTGGCATCAGTACGTCGCCACGCATCAGGACTTCGACAACCAATTAGCCGAGTGCACCACATGGCTGGAGGATATTAAAAATAAACTGGCATACTGCTGCGATTTGAGCGCGACCTCGCAGAAAGATCTGGAGCAGAAGATGGACATCGTGCAAGATTTGTTGTTATACAAGGAGGACGGATTCGCGAAAGTTCAGAGTATCGTCGAACTGGCGCAAGCTGTCCTGGCGAACACAGCTCCGGCCGGTCATCAGACGATCAACGACGCTTTGGCGAGGCTTCAGGAACAATGGAGCGCCCTGGCGTCGAAGATGCTGGAAACTAAGACGAATTTGGACGACTCGATAAACAAGTGGGCCGGCTTGCTGGAACAAATTCAGTCTGTCAACAAGACAGTCGAGTACATGCAGATGTCGATCGACGAAATCTCGCAGTTCCAGACGACGATGTCGGAGAAGAGAAATCAGCTGGAGCGAATCAAAACGCTCGAGGAGAAGGTTCGCTGCGAAAACATCGAAGTCGACAGTCTGAAATGCAAGGTCGCCGAGATGATCGCGAGCGGTCAGCAGGGACTGGCCGCCTCGCAAGCTCAAGACATACTGAATCGCTTCGACGAGCTTTTCGAAAAGATCAAATCCTTGCTGGCCGAACGGGAGGAGCAGTACAAGGATCATCGGCTTTACAAAGAAGCGCACGACGATCTTATCGGCTGGCTTAGCCGAGCGCGCGAAAAGATACCGTCCATGAAGCAACGATCGCTCAGCGACAAGCTGGCGATCGAGAACGCGGTGGTGCCGCTCGAGAGTTTGTTGAATAAAAAGGCTCAGGGCGAACTGTTGGTGGAGCATTTGCAGCATACTGGAAAAGTCGTTTGCGCCAGCACGAGCCCCGCCGGACAGGAAGTCATCAGAAATGAAATACGAGCGCTTACGGAAAGTTTCGAGGGCCTGTTCAAAGGTTAGAATTATTATTCAAATAATGTTACAATATAAATATAATTTCAATATTCTCTTCAATTAATATAACAATTCGAAAAAATTTTTAGCGCTAAGAGCCAGAATCAAATCGTGACGCTCAACATTCCAATTTATTATTTAGATATACATAAATAATAAATTAGAACGTTGAGACCTAGCTTTGGCTTTTATTAGCTCTTAAAACTCTTTCGAATTATTGTATTTAAATAATGTTCACCAAAATAGTTAGTAATTTTTTGGCGATGCATTGATTAATAAACTTGTGCTCCGTTGTAGAAATTCAACAGCAGAAGAATCAACTGGAGGCTACCGTGAGCCAATGGCGCGACTACAAGGATGAATACGAGAGGCTGAGCGATTGGTTGCAGCAGTTCGACATTCTCATCAAGGCCCAGAAAAATGCTCTTTTGCCGAATCTGAAGGAGAAGGAGAAGCAAGTGCAGGAAGTGAAAGAGTTACTCGATAATCTGATAAAAGGCCAAGAGCAGATCGATAAATTCAACAAAACGGCTGCCGGCCTGCTCTCGTCTCACCTGGACACTTACGTCAACAACCAGCTGCGGCATTTGAATTCGCGCTATCAGGTGCAGGTGAACCTCGCGAAGGACGTACTGAACAAGGTTGAGACTAATCGGGCTCAGCATCAGGAATACGAGAGCAATCTTGAAAAGGCTCGCGACTGGATCAAGAACGCGAAACAAATCATACGGCAAGGAACAGAGGCGGCTTCGAGCAGCAGTCGCGAGGAGTTGCAGAGCCGACTCGATAAGATCCAGGAGTTGTTGAGGAAGCGCGAGGAGGGCCAGAATCTGGTGCATCTGACCGTGAACTGCGGCGAGAAGGTGATGAGAAACACGCGATCGGACGGCCGCGAGGAGATCAACGCGCAATTGAAGGAGATTCAAAACGACTGGGAGCGCCTGGTGAAGAAGATTTCGACCACAAAAGTGCAGCTTGAGACAAGCCTGTTGCAGTGGGCCGACTACAGCTCGTCGTATTCTCAGCTGCAGCAGTGGATCAACGATCGCGAGGCCAAGCTGCAGCAGGTGTGCGAGCAGAAGGTCTCGAAAGCGCGAAAGGGTCTGGCCGGACTCAGCTCCTTGGCGATCGGAGAAAGGAAGGCGAATCTGCGGCAGACAAACAGCATCGTCCAGGATATCGTAGCGTTCGAACCTATGATTCATTCGGTCACCACGAAAGCCGAAGATCTGCAGCAAGCGACGCCGGCCACGGAGATCTCGATCAAGTACGAGACTCTGAGCAAGCAGGCTCAAGAGTTGTACGCGAAGCAGAAGGAGACCGTCGAGCAGCATCAGGCTTTCATCGACAGCGGCAATGAATTTGTCCAGTGGATACGAGCGGCTAAGGAGAGACTCGGGAAGTGCTCAGAGCCTACGGGAGACAAAGAGTCCCTGGCCAGCAAAATTACGCAGCTCAAAGTTTTACAGAGCGAATTGCCCGAAGGTCAAAAGAAATTGGAGAAAGCTCTGGAACAAGGCAACGCTGCCTGTCAGATCGCGGATGCCGAGGATAAAGAGATAATCGAGGAAGAAGTCGCACTGTTGCAGGAAGAATACGATAACTATGTGTGAGTAGAAAAGTTACATTAAGTTTAATTTTTAATTACAGAACTCGTTATTGTAAAAATTTATAAAAATCAAATCTATTTTTTTAATGTGATAAAAAATCGGACTCTACTTTTTCGTTTTTTATATCTTTAATATTTTATATCCGAAACATTTTAAATCAACTTTATGTAAATGCATTAGATATATTTTTCGATTTTTAAAATGCTCTTTATTACATGAAATCATAAATTTCTAACTCAAATTCTGTCATAAAATCTAAAGCGAATTTAATATCTGACATACATGTTTTACGATTTATTGCAGAGAATCGTTAAATAACACAAAGAGTTTACTAGAGATTGGTATAGTAAAGTGGACCGAATATGAGGATCAATTTTCCGAAGCTACAGAATGGCTCACGCAAACTGAGCAGCTGGTTCAGACGTTTAACAAATTACAAGACAGTCTGGAAGAGAAGAAGAACGTTCTAGAGCAATTCCAAGTTCATTTACAAACATTGTTCGACTGGCAGAAGGAACTGGATTGCTTGAACATGAAAGCTCAGATGCTGCTGGAGACATGCGCCGACACGAGAATTTCGAACGCCATAACGCAACTGACTACCAAATACAACACACTCCTGTCCCTTGCTAAAGAAATTATGCGGCGATTGGAGTTGCATTATCAGGTAATTGACTATTTATTATTATCTGATCTATCAATATTTATTAACTTAAATTAGAAATTCAAATTCACGATTTATTTAGATTCTCATTTTGATTTTATTTACATTAATATTTTGTGACTATAAAATTACAGTCTCATATTATTGTTTGTAAACAATTAATTAGGAGCATCAGCAACACAATACCTTATATCAAGAATGTCAAGATTGGATCGAGCGTACGCGAGACAAACTGAACGAATGCAAGGAGATTCCTAGCACGCTGACCGAAGTTAACAATAAATTACACACATGTAAAGCCATTCGGCAGACATTGGAACAAGGGCAGAACAAACTGCGTTACGCTTTGGAATTAAAAGAGAAAGTTATCATGAACACCGAACAAAATGGCGCGGCAAAGATACAAGAGGACACCGAGAATCTGAAGAGCGAATTCGATAAGTTGCTGGCCGACGTCGAAGATGTCAGGCAGAGACTCTCGGCAAGAGCGGGCATGTTGGAGGAGCTCAACAAGATTCACCGACTTATCTCAGATTGGTTGGAGGAAGTGGAAGGCAAGGTTCAACCGGCAGACGTATGTAGGAACGATCTTAGCGAGAAACGCGCTCTGCTGGAAAAATGTAAGGTTTTGCAAAGAGACATTCACGGTCATAGCGAGACGGTGGATCGCTTAAAAACTCGCCTCAGTGAGAACCCCAGCATATCGACGAGTCCTTACGAATCGACTATCGACAAGTACGAAAGCTTAAAGAAGCTGATTTCCGAAAAGATTCGTGTGAGTAAAGTTTTTTCAAAAATTTCCACCCAAAAGTATAATATTTTTACATCATTACTTTTATCATTTCAGAATCTAGAAGATCAAGTCAAGGATCACGAAAGATTCCAGCAGGCTCTGAACGAGGCAGGCGACTGGGTGCGTCGCACGAAAGTCGAGCTTCAGCAGTACAGCGACACGCACGGCGAAAAGGAGCGGATCGTCGAGAGGGAAAATAAAATCAATCAGATCATTTCGTCGTTGCCGAAGGGCGATACGTTGATTTCAAAGGTGATCGAGTTGAGCGACGTCGTGATCGCCAAGACCGGCCCCGAGGGTCAAGATTCCATCAAGCAGGACATGAAACAGATACAGGCCGACTGGAAGTCCCTGCAGGCTCAATGCCACGATTCGCAGCGCACGCTCGCCAATTGCATCTTGAGCTGGTCTCAATTCACGAACGCGCTGGACGCCATGAAGCGGTGGATAGATCACTTCCAGAAGAAGATCGCGGACGAGCAGACGAAAGAGAACAAGACCCCGGAAGATCTGGAGCGCTGCAAGCGTTTGGTGGAGGAGACGATTAAGCAGAAGCCAGTTCTGGAAGATTTGAACGACAAGTGCGAGGCTCTGTTGGAGATCAGCGCTTGCAGCTGGGCGCGGGATAAGACGGTGCAGCTACAGTCGGCGTACACGTCGCTTCTGACTGACGCGCAGGGTCTCGTGTCGAAAGTGGAGAAGAATCTAGCGGACCACACTGAGTTCTTGAAAGCCAAGAAGGAGCTCGAGGATTGGCTGCGCACAGCACACGGCTCGGTGGAAGACTGCGTCGGTGTGGGTGACGTAGCTTGGGCCAAGGATAAATTAGAAACTCTGCGAGTAAGTTGTCGCGTAAAATAATACAAATTCTTGGATGATACAATTTCTCTCACTGATAAAGATGTTACACAACGATAAAATGCGAGTTTAAAAGGCGATATGATCTGAAAACAAAAAGCATTTCCGAACAAATCTGATTTTGTATTATTCCATCCATAAAATTAGTACGATAAATCGAATACGTAAAGTTTGATAAATACTTCAGAAATAGCTTGTATTATAAATGATTAAAAAACAATTACAATAGAATTATTTCACTGCAATATTTCTCTTTCAAACTAAATATATTATATTTATGTAATAGCTGGTTGCGACGCGCGTGACGGAAGGTCAACATTTGCTGTCGACGCTGCAGAACGCCTTCGCGAAGGCAATCAACGTGGCTCTTCCAGAGCAGCAGGATCAGTTGCGCTCGGACATGGCGAATCTACGTTCCAGTTGGGAACAGTTGAGCATAGATCTCAACACGGTTCAAGCCAAAGTGAAATCAGTTCTGAGTCGCTGGGAGGATCATGCGGAGGCCTACGGCAGATTTGCGAGATGGTTGGAAGAAAACGAGAGCGTCGTCCGCGGTTCTCCGGACACGAAGGGCGAGCTCGGCGAGATGAAAACAATGCTCGAGCGGTACAGGCACATTCAAGAAGAGGTGCGCGACCGGAAGTCCGACCTGGATCATTTGATAGCGGAGGCGACGGAATTATCGGCGTGGGCGAAGAACAACGCGCCGTTGAACGAGACGAAGCAACTCCTGGACCGATGGCAGGCGCTGGGCAAGCTCGTCGGCGAAAAGAGGAAGCTCGTGGAGAACGAAATGCACGAGTACAGCGCGTATCACGCCGCTCTGCAAGAGACGGAGAAGTGGCTGTTGCAGATCTCCTTCCAGCTGATGGCTCATAATTCTCTCTACATCACGAACAAAGAGCAAACGCTCGAGCAGATCAAGCAGCACGAAGCGCTGCTGGCTGAGATTCAAAAGTATCAGGAGGTGCTGGACGAACTGAAGGCGAAGGGCCACGGCCAGATAAATCGATACGTCGGCGCGAATCCCGCCATTAAATCGACAATAGAGACGCAATTGCAGAACGTTCAGGACAGCTACAATTCGCTTCTGAACACCGCGCTGCAAATTAAGAACAGACTGGCGGAATCTTTGACCAAATTCCAGGAGTACGAGAATACTCTGGAGAGTATCATGAAGAATCTGGACGCGTATGAGACAGAAATGGCGCAAGGACTGGACGTTCCGCTGGATAATCTGACGTACGCCGAGCAGAGCCTCGAGACTGCTCGCATTCTGCACAACAAACTGCAAGGCGAGAAAGCTCGACTGGCTCTGGCCGTGGAAGCTTGCGAAGCCGCGGCGGCGTGCGTCTCCAGGCCTGGAAGTCCTCTCGACGCTCCGCCGATTCAAGTTCCCGCGAGAGAAGTCGAAGTTAGAACGAGACTCGACGATCTCATCGATCAGGTGCGAAATAAAATCAGTAATTAATTTCTTAAACAACAATCAATTTTTTACCACATAAATATAAATGGTTTTTTTCTATAATTTCTCTATATTAGAAATGCTCTGTATTTCTGTATTTTTTTTACTTTAAACGCAAATTGTATTATTATGTACTTTTAATATCATTAGATGCAAACGCACTTGGCGAACGTGACGAAGACGGTGGGCGAGCTCGAGGAACGATCGCGGCAGAAGAATGCGCTCCGCGCTTGGATCAATCAGCAACGTGCGCTCTGCGCCGAATGGAAGTCGCGACCGGCGAAACTGAGATCGGAGGCCGCCCAGGCCGAGCTGCAGGCGATGAACGAGGTGCTCACCAACGTAGGCGAGCGTCGCGCTCGCGCATTGACGGAACTGTCGATGCACGAGGAGGACAACGACATCGAAGAAGAACTGAACAAACTGGAGGCCGAGCTGACCGACGCTATCGCCGGCAAGCAAGCGGCGCAGGATCTCATCCAGAAGTACAGATCGCAAGTGCAAGATATACAAGCGTGGTTCGATACTCTATCGAAGAAGGTCGATGTGATCGAGAAGGGCAGCGGACTCACCATCAGCCAGAAGATCTCGAATCTGAAGAACATCACGGCCGAGTTCGAGTCTCAGGGACCGGAGAAGCTGGCCGAGATCAAGAAACTGGGCGACCAGGTGATGGATTCGGTCAGCAATTTGGACTCCCAACAGATCGAGGAGCAAATTAAATCGGTGGAAAGACGGCACGCGGACATTGGCAAGAAGCTGCAGAGAAAAGCTCAGGTACTGGACATGACGGCGCAGGGCATCGAAGCGACCAGGCGGGAGATCGAGGAGAATCGCGAGTGGATCGAGCAAAGAAAGCAGCAGATAAAAATGCCCGAGCTGCTGGGCTTCGAGAGCAAACAGGCGGAAGAGAGACTTCTTTCTCTTAAGGTAATTCTTTTCGTCTAATTTGTGCAGTATTTACTAATTAGTTTTTAATCAACACTTCGCTTGCGCAGGCCATGCTGAAAGAAGCGGACGGAAAGCAATTGATCATAGACACGCTGGAGAAGAGAGTTGGAAATATGCAGAACGAATTGGAGACTAGCGAGCAGCAGCAATTGGAAGCTGACACGAAGGCGTTGCGCGGCGAGCAGGTTGAGTTGTGCACCCTCTTGAGGGAAGAAATATCCGTCGCGAGCGCGGCGGCTGACGCGCGTCGCAAATTGGAGGCCGACATCGAACGCGCCCGAAATTGGATACGATCGAAAGGCAACGACTTGAAGAAGCTGAGCGGATACTTGCCTTTGAAGGCTTCCAAGGTCGAGCAGGATATCGCGCAGCACAGCGGACTGAAAGCGGATATCAACTCCTTCAACGAGAGCAATCTGAAAGATATTCTTAAACAAGGAAATAATTTACTCAAAGACTGCAACGCGGAAGGTCGAGCCAAACTGCAGGCCCTTCTCGATGATCTAGTCAAAGATTACGAAGAGTTGAAGAAAGAAGCGAAAGAGAAGCAGGCCTCGCTGGCAGATCTTCTTCAAGGGCGCAAGGCTTTCGAGAACGAATTGGACAAGTGTCAACGATGGATTAAAGAAGCTGAAGTGGCCACCTCTACCGAACTGCGCCCTTCCAATCTCGACATTCTTCGGGAACAACTTGCTAAGGTATGTTTAATTGGATTAAGAATATAAATGTTATGATAAATCAGATATTTTTTTGCTACAAATTTTTTATCAATTTTGAATTTCTTGATTAATGAATATTTAAAATAATTAATTCTTGTAAATAAGGAATTTAATAATAAAGTTTCGAGAAAGAAAATAGACGGTAAAATCAATTCTAAATAAACTCTAACAGAATTTTAATAGGTCTAACACTTTGAAAAGGGTAAAATTTTAATTAAAAGTTTGTGTACAAAAATATGCAATCTTGAAAATTAACAAACTAGAAATGTTCTCAACATTTTTATCAACAAGAAACTTCTCTCAAAATTAATTTAAGAAAATTATAATTAAAAAAATATTTGGTAAAATTTTGTGGAATATCTTGAATATTTTACGATATACGTTTGAGGAATGTAAATATTTCTTTCACGCAGTACGATCGGTTGAAAAAAGAGGCGCAAGAGTATGGCGACGACATAGAAAAGATAAACCAGCAAGGAAAATCGATCTTGCCGACCATCAGCGACGCCGACAAGCAGGAGCTGAGCGAACAGTTGAGAAACATGAAGGAAGCTCACGGACGAGTAGCCGGTGTAATAAACGAGAGAGCGGTCGCGCTTCAAAAGAACATAGACGAGGCTGAAGAAGCTGCCGCGCGAGTTGCAGAGGCGATACAATTCATGACGGACATACAGAAAGAGCTTCACGATCTAAACAAGCCGATCGGCGCCCGCGTGGAAGACGTGGAGGGAATGTTATCTGCTTACGAAAGGATTCTCGACGACCTCAAGGCGAACAAGGCCAAATTATCTGACCTGCAATCGGCTAATGTGGGCAATCTGCACGGCGTGCTAGCTCAACAGGATGATCTGATAAGAGCTCTCGAGGCGCAGATAGCGAAGCTTCGTCAACTGCTGCTACTGCGACAACAATTTATCGCTTTAATCGCGGAGATCACCACCTTTATCGCCAAATATACCGAAATCATCAGAGATATTGAGAAATCCGGGCAAACGACCGAGGAAAAAATCAAAAGGTACCGCAATTATCGATCGCATAACTCTGAACAGTTTTTTTGAATGTAACAATAAATCCAATCTTATCGGTGGAATTATAATTATTTGATGAATTTGACAGGTATGACGACGCTATACTGAAGATTCAGGAATGCGAGGCCACTCTCGCCAGCGCGACGGACAAGGGACAGCAAATAGCGGCGGAAGGTTCGGTCGTGGACAGAAACAACATAACGGAGCAACTGCAGTCGTTGAAACAGCAATTGCAGGCCCTTCGCAGGGCGGTGGAGATGCAGAGGGAGCAGCACGAGCTGGCCGCGGCCGAGCATCGGAGGCTCGCCAGCGAACTGGCCGAAATCCTCAACTGGCTCGAGAGCAAAGAGAAAGAAGTCAAGTCCAGACCGCTGCTGGAAAGAGATCCCACCAGCGTCGAGGCGGAATTGAAGAAACACCATGAGCTCTGCGCCGGTGTGAACGAGCATCTCGACAGGATCAAGGATCTGAAGGAATCAGTGCGGCACGAGGAGGGAATGCCGGGTTCCTTGAAAGAGATGCTGAGCGAAGCTGTGTCCCTGCTGACGTCCTTGCCGCGAGAGATGGAGGAGCGTGGAAATTATCTCGAGAGTAATATGCAGATGAGGCTGGATTACGCCGCCCTCACCGACAAGCTTCACAACTGGGCGCGCGAAGCGGAAATACGGCTGGAGAGCAACAAGGAGGGTCTCGATTTCGAAAATATTCTTAGCGATTTGGAAGAGCACAAGGTGAGACATTTTTCAGATCGCGTGTGAAACTGATTATTCGAATTTCTGAATTTGATTGTTAATATTGATTGTGATTTTTTTTTAGATATACTTCAGCACTGAGCCATCGATACGCGAGCTCGTGTCGCAGCAGATTCAACAAGCGGCTGATAAAATCTGGCCGTCCCTGGACAGTTACGAGCAGGAGGAGCTGAGCGCCCAGCAGCAGCAGCACACGCAGCTGCTTAAGAACACCCTCAATACAGCCAAGTCGCAACGTTCGCGTTTGGAACAGGGTGCCGAGATGTGGAGGGATTACACGCAGAGCCTGGAACGTGTCCGCGCTGTTATTAGCAGAACCCGATTCACGGATGAACCGGTCACCACACTAGCCGGCTTGCAGTTCAACATTCAGAAGATCACGCATGCCCTCAACGATATTCAGGTGCATTGAAAAAATAAGAAATAATTGTTTTAACTTTTGTACAAATCATTATAGCGCTTTGCAGAATCTACAAAATTAAAAAAATTAATGGCTGAACCTTTTCGGTACTAATAATCCTTTTTTCTAATTTTCTTTATTTCTCACAGAATCAACAGTTCGAACTGGATCTCTTGAACGATCGCGGACGAGAGGTTCTCCGACTGGCGGACGCCAACAACAAGAAAACGATAGAATCGCAACTGTCCGAGATCAGTTCGGAGTGGCGCGAGCTAGTTTCTGGTCTCGAAGGGCGTAGAGACGCGCTCGAGGCGCTTTCGCAACATTGGGAAGATTTAGAAGCGCAATGGGCTATCGTCGAAACGCGATTGACGACGATCGAGGAGAAAAACAAACTCGTCGACACGGTGGTGCGATCGAAGCAACATCTGCACGACGTCATTAAAGCATTAGAGGTGAGCAATATATTTAAAAAAAATATAAATCATCTTAATTTTTATGAGAGAAAAAATCTCGTTATTTTTAATGGATAAATAATGGATAAATAAATGTGCATATTTGTCTTCTTCAATCGCGCAGAATAATTATTGTATTCTGCGAACTTAAATCAATCATATAAAAATAGTTGAAGATATAGAAAATAGGGCATCGGGTTAAGCGTGTTCTATAGTGATTATCGCGTGTATAAATATAAAATACTGTATAATAATAGAAAATATTAGGCGTCACGCGAGGTGCTTTTTTGGCTGTTTAAGTGGCTATACGATGTCGCATTTTATATGGATACACATTCTTATCGATTTGCTGTGCGCCGAGGCACGGATACACAATTAGTTCTGTCTTTCTCTCTTTCCGGTGCACCCTTTATAAATGCCGAACGTGTCAGACTTGCACGACCAGGCACCACAGGTGCGCGGCCCTCCAAAACCCAACTAGTAGTTTAGTAGTCGCTCGCGAATTATCAAGCCGCGATGAACGCTCGCGGAGAATTTACGTATCGGCAATACTTTCATTTTTACAGAAGCGTTTATATTCAGAAACAATCGTCATCTTTTAATTTCGGATCTAATATCTTCCAAATTAAAATACACACTAATGATTTCGGGACTGAGAATTATGGTGCACACTGATTGTCGAAAACAATTAACAAATTATTCGATTCCGTTGCGGACAGGAATCGGTGACGGAGGCCGAGAAGCTGAAACCTGTAACGGAGGAAATAAAAAGCTTGGCAGGACCTGTGCTCTCATATCTCGCAGTGTTTACGGAAGCGCCGGCACGAAGTCTCAAGGAGCGGCTCGAGAAATTGCAGAAATCGGCTGAATCGTGAGTCGAAATGCATCGTTTTGTTTTAATATCTGTTCAACGGACCAGCACCGCTACACCGTGAATATTGGTCAGCTAAGCCATTTGAGGACCATCAAATTTTATTTTATATAATGTAAACCGCGACAGAAGTATTATTGCGAACTTCGGACAAGCTAACAATAAGAGATAATTAAAAATATTTATACCTTGTAAATACTTAAATTTTCAAAGTTTTATTTCGACTTTATTTTTACCAGAAGCATTAACTTGATAATTAAATTTCTAATTTTTAATTAAATTCTCAATTAAAGTATAAGTTTAATTTTTAGCTCGACAAATTTATATCATACTTGTATTATTAATCGAATGTTACTTTTTTTTATACGCATTAGTTCACGGTCTTTGGGCTGGCAACGAGGGTGCTATAAAGGTCCTCCTTTACGAACAGATTTGCATGTGCATGCATAAATGTGCATCTGACGCTTTTGCTTATACCTTCCCTCCCTTCTATATACATTTTTTATTTCAGCAATTCTACGTTTCAGCGTTTTATATTTTTATTGATATAATTAGCCTTTATAGCATTTTTTTCAGGTGATCTCATTGTTTTATAATAAATATATATTAATTAAAAATAATATAATCGATAAGCAAGCCGATATGCATATATTTGTTTCTTTACTTTCTTGACGTTGCACGTTTGAGGGAAGATTGTACACGATTCTATAGAACATTTAAATTGTGTTTTCCAATTAGTAAAGAAATATCATCAAACTGCGTCTGTATTACAGCTTTGGCAAAGCTTTTTCGGAAATACAGTCCCACCATGTTGCGTCGTCATCCAAATCAGTGCCAAAACATATAGAACTGCTATCGACCTTTTAGTCACAAAGTCAGTGGCGAGATAGTTGGTTAATGAGCGTGGACAGTAAAAATGCTCATAATATAATAGTGCAATTATTTTAAACGTGAACTTGAAAGTTATTTTTAAAAGCTACGTTTAAAGTGCAAAACAATGACAGTGAGAAGCAATGTAGATATGTTTAAGGTGGATTTAAATTTTAAATCAATCACACAATGATATCACTCACATTATAATGCTAATGCTAAGTAATCATGGTGAAATAGTCAACAAATTATCTCTGTTGCTTTCAAGCGCATCATCATTCGTAAAGTTGGCGCGTTTTATTTGACAATTATGCGATATTGCAAAAAATTATAAATCAAATACATAATAACAGTTGTTGTGCAACGTGAATATTGGTCCAAATTCAAATGTAACGCGACGTAATGCGGCTGGCGCCTCAAAACTAACAATGAATATAAATAGAACGTAGAATATAAATACCCCAACAGACACTTGTATATAGCATAGCAAATGCAGTTACCTATCTTGTCAGAGCGCCCCGGGTCTAATGAATCATCTTTTATTTATGGGGGTTTTTAGCATCGATTTTCAAATTGATTTCACTTTAACGAAAATATCAGCTTTTATCATAAACATATGCGCAATTAATTCTTGAATTATACATGCAATATAAATATTTGAAGTTTCACAGCGTAAAATTTAATTTTTTTCAATTCATAAAACTTAGTGTCTAGATAATTTTTTGTTTTCAATGCTTCGTAACTTATCGGTATTCTTTATATTTTTATTAAAGAAGAATCGGCGCGTAATAATCATAAAATCGAGATTAAATCGCGAGGATAATAATAAAATAGTCGTAGAATTTTTTTAACATTCACGAGTTAATTCTCACGCACACACGTACGTTGGCATTTAATCATGATCGCCAATATTCATCGATCCATTCGCCGCTTCATTACACATCGCGTTACTACGTCACCACCAAATCCGTCCTGTGACGTAACGTTCTGTATAACAGCGTGTAAACAGTCGGTATAAGAAGGTTACACGGTCGTGGAAGGTCGATATGCGTTTCCGAGAGGGAAACGTGTGTCCATGGCCCCTACCATACTTTTCGTCTCGCCCGGTATATCACCACGCGCCGCGGTTTATCCAGTCATCCTCGTGCCGGCATTGACAGCACGTCGTGCGCGATACTCAATCGCATCTGTCCGACCGATGCATCATCGATGCTAATCACGCGTTTAAGTGATCGCGTTTGAGACGAATAAGCAGCACGCAACATGCGCTTTGACGTTGTACCAGGTGGTTGATCGTCGCCGAAGTATGACGTCTCGTGACGTATCTACGTCCGATTTCGCGTGTGTTGCACTGTCGAAAGTGGCATATATTCTATTTACATGTGGAACGCTATACGCGAATAAAAAAAACTGTCATAGACACTAGATACATTTAGGTGGAAATGAGCTTACGCTTTGGGAGACGCGTTCTCCCGAGGTACGGAATTTCTTTTGCTTTTTGTTATACGCCAACGGAGACAGTGATATCAATTCAATAAGAAGATATTTGCTGAATGACATCACTCAACTGCAAATTAATTGAGACGACGTATTGCTTAAATTTGTGAAACCGCATCTCCCGTGCGGCACAAACGTCGTCGCTCACATATGTATAGTACGCGATCTCGCATGCGCATAGAAGACGACAGAGCAGATTACCATAATATGACACACGTGTGCTGCATACAGAATTATGAATAACTTCCAATTAAGAATAATTTGTAATTGCAGATGAGAATATAGTTAGGCTACAGTTTTATACTTTCTATAAATGCAAAATTTTATATCTTGTAAAAAATCAATAAGAAAATATTCAATATTTCGCAGCGTATGTTTGTTCCGCAAAATTCTGTTCGATAATTGCGTTTGTTTCTTTCTCGACGATTGATTAATAATTAAAGTAGCAAATAGATTATTTGTGTGACACATTTGTGCATAATGTACTATTAATGATTTACGGAATGTAAAAAAATTATCATTTCGTTTAAATCTTCGCTTTCTTGCTCAATGAAAATGTTGACGAACAGGCAAAAAATTTATTTTAACCTTGAAATGTAAAATTACTTTTTAATTTTTGCATATTTTACTTATCTTGAAGATAAGAAGTTAAAAAAAAACAATAAACGCATTATGATCTATCAAGTATCTTAAAATCTTCTCTCAATTAATAGAACGCAAAGAAAAGATCCAAATAAATTTTGTGTTATGCTCTTTTTCTATACCTTAAGAGTCATTTATCTCACGAAGAAAAATTGACATAAAATTATAGTGTATGCAGTATAGTAACTTACTTTAACTGTCGATTCACGGTTCGCTGGCCGATTCGTAGGACACGTTCGACGTCAATCAAATACGGTGTTAAATATAGATTTGATGTCTGAAACAGAATGAAATATTGCTTCTAAATTCTGTGTTGTAACACACATTGCATATTGTGTATGATATAAGATCTGACAACACGTCTGCATATATGATTCATGACATAATAAGATGTGCTGTAATAGATGATACGCGAGTGTCGTAAATTTTTCGCCTAGCGAATGATTTTTCTTGAAAATCAATTTTTTAGATAATACATTTTCTCTTAATTCTCTTTCGGTTAATTAATACTTTTATTTATTTTAAATTATAATTTTGTATAACTTGAATCACGTTGTTTATTCGGACATTTTTAATTAGCAATATAGTCTCGAATCATAATTTCAATCGCCATGCCATTGTGCGATTGTGTAGTGACTCGCATTATTTCATCGTGATAGTCACGGCGCCGATCAAATATGGCGCGTAATACGAACGGACGTGTAAAGATCCGCCTATCCAATTGATTGAAGAATAATTATTTCATTTAATCATACGATAAAAAATTTGCATAAAAATATCCGCACAATCGGCAAACTCTGACCGTAACAGATCGCTGTAAATTTTTTTCTTGCAAATTATGAAATATGGGCCGCATTTTTTTACGTTATTATTTAAGATAACGCCGTGTAAGTTTTCTAACTCATTCGTAACTCATCGGGTTTACATCTTCAGCGATTATTCTTAGGACGTCGTTCTTGGCTGGCCGTGCCGATCTCAAGACCAGGCCGCATGCGTCGCGGCGCCTCGCCAATGCGGCCTACGACGAGCGTCTAAAGCTAGCTTTAGCGACTACATCCACTCTAATAACGTTTCGAACCGCGAACGCTGCTGTTTGGCTTGATAGTGCCGCGCCATATTGTTGTCTGGATAAACGCGATAGCGAGGACGAGGATTAAAAGGGGGATAAAAGCGAGAGAAAGAGAGAAGAAAGTGAAGAGTTCGCAGCTCGGTTCGCGCGTCGCCGATTGTATTTGCGAAAACGCAAATATCGCGCGATTAACCGCAGCCGGATACATAGGTACACGTTCGCTGGCTTATCGCTCGCTTATGGCATTTTATGTTCGTACAGAGAGATTAAGAGTGGTTCCGTTTCCATGATGCCGTAAAGGAGAAATTTTTATGGCACGGCGTTAGGCACGACGGATCAACGAAATAGAATCGCGCGGCACGGATCGCAACCGGCAAATTGCGTGATCGATGAAGTTATCGCGGATTATACAAAATCGCGTGCAAATGGATAATCGTTTCGCACCCGAAACTCATAGCGTCGAAAATAGATCGCCACATGCGAATGTTGATAGTTTCTAAGAGGAAACTCATTAACAATGAATTTGATTCGACTGTTGCAGCACGCAATAAGCAATTTATCGCATTGATTGTTCTTGATTTAGACGCATTATGCTATCTGTTACTATACGTACAAACACAAAACCAATAAATAATGAATGAAATAAAATTATCATTGTTCTCATATTCCGTGGATTCGAACAATTCGACGTTACGTAAAATGGAATTATTATGGAAACTTAAATCGAGAGAATTTTGTGATTTATAACTATTTTATTTTTTCTTACATTTTTTTCCGTATTGCCTGTTTTTCGGCGCATAACATCAGCCGGCGATCGTATCTCACGTTCACTGCGGCGCGACGATAATGTCATCGTGCGAAAAGAACAACTGTGCACGAAACTCGACATTGACATCGAGAACTCTAGTGATTACGTATTTCGAGAACGGCGGGACAAAATCGGCAAACGTGCAATTTATTATTATGAATATTAACGCAGCGCAGAAGGCGCTGTAGCGCGATAAATTTAATCGCCGTAGATTAATGAGATTTTGACCTTCAGCAAGTAGACTACGAAACGGAAAGAACCGTAATAAATTTAAAAGTCGCACTTTACGTAAGCCTTCCCGTGAAGTCCTAGTGAAAGTATGCTGTCATCGCTAAAAAATAGATCTTTACTAATCGAAGTTACATGCTTTTCTTCCAAAAGAATGATGACAGCATACAAGTTCTTAGAGGATGACATCAATGTTTAAATTATTCCTTATGACTTATTATCTATGCAACCGGTAGTTGGCGCGAAAATCATATAAGATTTTATCTTATATACTTTACGCTGCTTTTGTCTAAAGAGAAGATTTTTCTCCACATTTATTAAAAAAGATGAAAAGATTTTTTTAATTGATACAATTAAGATTTTATATTATAATTAATTTTTTTATTATAAGATTCGGCGATATTTCGTTTTTTTATTATTTTAAATAATTTATTTGCTATACACCGATGAAAGAATAAATATCTAAAGAATAATATTTCATTTCGAACGCGATTATTATTATTATTTTGTGTTATTGTTGAACAAAGTGATCCGTCTCGAAAAATTGTATAGCGCTTTTCAACAACATCTCGTATATAGTGGCTAGTGTGAACAGCCGACCAAACTGCCGTCGGTACATACTTCCTTCGTCTACTTTTAGCCAAGGCTGCCCCGACTTCGCGACTTCGCCTGGGATCGGGCCAGCCACGACCGAACCACGGCGATACGCATTTCCGATTCTAAATCCGTCTCACCTCGCCGCGAACGATCGCTTAAGGCAACTGATGGTTCCGTGAAATTCTTTTCTACAACTTTAAATCAACGCGTTTATCTACACGATTTATGTCCTATTATTATTCAGTTGCGCAATATTTCAGAGAAGTTACGCAAAAATTATGCATTTTATGCAGACAAATATAATTCCTAGTCAGATTCTATCGTCATATATATTTTATAAGTAGTTTTTAACCGAGATTCTCTGCCGTCATTCATATTCAATTCTTCAGCAGAAAAAATTACAGAGATAAATATTTGGATTTCGAAGATATTGAATAATCGTATTTGCTTTTCCATCCGCAATCTTCCCTGAAACGTCTAAATGTTTGTGCGCGCATTCAACGCGTCTGTATAATAAGAGCCCGCTCTCTGACCTTTGCGAGCGGCTCCCTCGCCGCTCGCAGAGAGTCACTGTACGAATCATCCTTCTAGACTCGTCGGCTCGCTTCGTGGCAAGTCCGAGAAGGCGAGCGAAGACTTGGAGACGCTCGAGAACGTCGAGCGTGAGATCGAGCGGCTGCGGAAGCGGCTGAGCGAGGCGCGCGAAAGCGCCACGTGCTTCTACGTATACGGCGTTGATCAAGACGCGACCGAGGCCGAGCTGGGCGAGCTGCGCTCGCAAGTCGAGGACCTCGTCGACACCGCGAAGAAGTTCTCAGGAAGCATTAAGGCGCGGTACCAAGCTAGCCAGCAGCTGGTACCGAGTGACATCACCCAGCACCTGACCGCACTCGAGCTCTGCGCCGAGGCGACGGCACAGGCGATGGAGGAGAAGCAGAGGGAGCAGAAGCGTGCCAGGACCACCAGGTCGGACTATCTGGCCGACGTGGACGAGGTGCAGGCATGGATACGCCAGGCCGAGCTGAAGGTGCAGGACAGATCGGTGGAGCCGGCCGTCCTCAGGGAGCACCTCAGGCAGATACAGAACGAGCTGGGCACGATTAGCGACAAGCTCGAACGACTGACGAAAAACGGGCAAACCATCGTCAAGAACACGAGAGACGACGCTGAGAAGGAGCTGATTAACAGCACGATCGCCAATCTCACAGAGCAACTGGCGCAGGTGAGGAGCTGGTTGGAGGAGAAGCGACAGATCGTGGGTGACACTCTGGACGCCTGGCAGAGGTTCCTCACGCTTTACGAAGCCGTCAAGGCGTGGACGGCCGAGAAGAGACAGTTCCTAGTCGAGCCGCTGAAGCTCAGCACGCTCGCGCAAGCCCGACAAAGACTGCACGAATACTCGGTACGTGAACGGAAAGCGTCGTCGGTCGTCGTCACACACGCCGCGTTCGTCTGACACTTTCTTCGTTTTGTAGACCGCGGTCAAGAGCTGCAAGCAGGTGAACAAAAATCTCAGCGACATGGGCAGAGAATTGGAGAACATCGGCCAGGTGACCAGCGTGGGCAATTTGCCGGAAAAGCTGGCCGAGGCGGAAGAGGGCAAAGTTCAGGTCGAGGGTCAGCTGTTGGAGAGGGTTAGTGGATAATAACGATCTCTTTGAGCGATAATTAGGTGATTTACTAGCCGGTTACGAAAAACGCGCCACGTATTGCAGAACGCGCTGCTGCAAGAGGCCAGTGAAGAATGGGAGCAGTGCGAGAGGAAGATGAAGGACGTGCGCGGCTGGATGGAGAAGGCCAGGCAGACGCTGGAGTCGCCGCAGAACAAGAAGAAGCCGTTGCGCGATCAGCACGCGATTCGCGAGAAGATGCTCAGCGACATTGCGATCCAAAAGACGAAAATTACGATCTCGGTGGAGAAGCTCGAGGTGCACTTCAGATCCGGCATCGGCGGCGACAATCGGGTCAAGGACACCGCCGACGACCTGATCGCCGAGCTTAGCGCCCTTCACAGCACCGTCAAGGAGCAAGCGAGTTCTCTGGAAGTCTGTCTAGCGCAGATCGATCAGTATCAGCAGGTTAGCGGATTAGGGAGACGCCGGCGTTCGCGGTTCTTTCGCCATCTGTTTGCAATTGTGTGATCGAGCGAGATCTGTCTTGTTTCCGTTTCAGGAAATTCAACAGTTGAGGCAGCATATCGTGCAGGTGGAGCAGCAGCTCAGGACGGTGCTCAGCCCGACGTACATGCCGAACGATCGGGAGAAGGCTCTTCAAGAGCAGCAGGTAGGCATCCCTCTTTTCCCCCGATTTTTCTACCTGCACAAGTGCGCTGAAGCAGCAGTTAATTTTTGCATTTGCTCGATACCAACTTGAGACCACCACCAGAAGAACGCGTTGCTCTTTGAATAGTCGCGTCGCGCGCGCAACTGCCGGGGGTAGTTTTCTGCGTTTTCGGGTGCGATTAGGCAAATCTCTCTCTCTCCTTCGTTTCAAAGAGTGATTAATTGTGCAATCAGAACGTATCGCGACCTTTGACTAACCGTCGACCGAGCCACTATTAACCATGTGTAACTAGAAAGCTGCCGAGTCATCTGCCATTTTATTTAGTACATCGCAAGATGGAATAAGAATTATTCTACTTTTTATTATCCGAATATATTTATATAAATTTGGAATCGGATAAAACTAATTACTCTCTCAACGCAAAGTGCTATTTAAAGAATGGCTAATGACTGTATGTGTAAGCATTTCGAAGCGGAAACATCTTAAACAAGTCAACTTTATCAAATTAAAATTAAACAATTCTTGTGAAAATAATTGCAACCGTTGAAATGATCAAGATGTTTCCGCCGTATATTGTACCCATCTTTCCTTCCACATCCTGCATCCTTTTACGTGTAAACCTCACCTTTGTACTTTCATATGTCGAAAAATTTTCTACATTAACATTACTTCATTATCGGAAACTTAATTGATTAATCTAACTTTATCGTTCATTGCGTTAATTGCGTTCGTTTCAAACACATCACCGAACGCGTAATCATGCACAAATTTTGCGCAGAATTTTCTCAACTACATCGTATCATTTTACTGTTGAATAATCTACAATATAATCTACTAACATTTACAAAATTTGCCTATCTTGCACTTTTTGTACCGAATGAAGATTGATAATCGATTAGGAAATTGTTTCTCTCTTTCTTTTTCTCGTTTGTACACGCGATAGGCGAATTTGTAGGATCTCGAAAAAATTTTCGGTCTCGTGTTCGTCATGGTGGTACACCGCTTACGGGGTAATTAGTTGGTATCATGTTCTAACTCTACGTTCCATTTTTTCCTCACACACTTGCCACCGTACACACACGTATAGTCCTCGAATATGTCCTAGCTGTTAAGTTCACTTAATCTCGCGACACTTATTGTACTATTGTTCCGAAGGGGATTACTTGATTTTGCTTGTTTTCTGTGTTTCTTTTCTCTGTTTTTTATCGTTTTACTGTTTTACTTGTCACGCGTGTACATCGCTACACCTTCGTATATATATACGCTCACACGTATATATGTATATTGTATATATATTTTTCTTTTCTCTTTACATATATCTGTCTATGTCTGCGCGCGTGTGTGTCTACGTAAATAAGCAATCACGCACATATATACGTCACTTACATTTTAGAATGAAAGACCACGTAGAAAAACGCGAAGTACTGCCGCACATTCACGTAAAGCGTGTCACGCACCGTTCACACGTATGCATTCCTTACGTGACTTGGAGCCTATACACACTTTGTATATTGGAAAAAAGAAAAAAAGAAACGTTTACATGAGTCATCAGGAAAAAATCAAGTGACCCTCCCGGTGCCGCGTGTTGTTATCACGCGAGACACGCAGACAGAACGCCCGAGTTTCTTTCTTCTTGCGACTTGCGTTAATTTCTGTTTATTATCATTTTTGTTGCTCTCATTTTACCAGTTATTTCATTTATGAATTTTTCTTTGCTACACCCCCTGTTCCCTCACACCCTCGCCACTTCCGGTCGCCTGTGCTTTTCTCTGCCACTATCACTCCCCCTCGTACGCTACCCTTCATCGTCGTCGTCGTGTTTTCGTCCCCTCTTGCGCACATCGTCGTCTACGTTCTCACCGAAATCGTCGTCATTTCGCTCATCATTCGCCATTTCTGGTCGTGACTTGTTCGTGCTCTTCTTCCCTCCCCCTGTTCCATCCCCTTGAAACCGTTATTACGCTCCAAACGTCCTCGATCCGTTCCTCTCGCTCGTTCGACGTGTTACGCTCTCGTCTGCGTTCGCGATTTCGCGCACGATCAGATATGCCGCGAGAAGATCAAATCCTTGCAAAGTAAAATCCAAGCGCGCGCCGAGAGGTCTAAGCTACTCGTGCAGCGAGGCACGCCAGATCTGGAGCCCTTGGACCCATCACAATAGAGACCTACCCCCGTTGAACGAATCCGGCTCTCGTTTCGTGATCTTCGACTTTATTGGCCTGAATAAAAATCGTCTATTTTCTAAAAATGTTACATCATATTTCTATTTCTTACTGTCGAAGAATGACGACGACGATAGCCGCCGCGTATTAAATACCACGTGCAAAACTCGGAGGCGGCGTAAACGACAAAGACGAAAACGGCGGCGTGAAACGATCCTCGTCTTCGTCGTCGACGTTCCTCAATCAGAATCGAACGACTTTGTTTTTAGTATCACGTAACTTTTTTAAAGTAAGTTTTTATTAAGCACTGATTTTCCAATAGATATATCACGCCACGAGACCGTGGACGCGATTACGTTGCCATGTATGACCGCGCGTCTTTTCTTCGAAATATCTGTGCTTCAATACGACGTACTGATTGAGTAAAGGAAATAAAAGGCCCATTTACCGCCGATCGATTGTTCATTCATGAAAACCCCATTCACTTTAATTACACACCGATAGAGATTTCTCGGTAATATTTTAACACGATCCGAATTCAAACGAAATCTTCTGAAAGATATGATAATCGTCCCTTCTCCCCCGCCCCTACAACGAATTGCAAAGAGACTCCTCGAAATTGACATAGTGTATGTATTCCATTGTTGTGCCTTGGCTGATCCCCTCCTGCGGCGGATAAAGCAGAGCCTGCAGCAACGGACGGAGGGTTGGAAGCAGCGCAGCAAGATGCTGGCGGATCAGATACACGCGGTGGATCCGTACTACGTACCCGCCAGCGAGTGCCGGTTCATCGGTCAAGCCTCGTACGCCGATATCGCAGCGGGGCGCACAAATAGTCCGAACTCGAGAAGCTGCAGCCCGTACAGGCAGCAGCGGGACGCCACCCCTCCCACGCCGGCTACGCAATTGTTACGTCCTACGGCTATACGGGCTCAGAAGTTGACCGCCGTGGAGTGTCCGCCGTCGCACGAGGCGCAAGTCTCGAAGACGCGGGCGCAGGAGAGCGACGCGAGTCTGAGCAAACCGCCGCAAACGGTGGCGCACGTGCGCACGGTGGACGATCAGGGCGCGATCGGCGCGAAAGAGAGGCAGCCGGACGCATCCGAAGTCGTCGTCGTCGTCGTCGGGTCGCCGACGGCTCGTCGCGGAAGATCGCCTACGCGCAAGACAAATTTGCCCAGAGCGAAAGATCCGCAAGCGTCGAGTCAAAGGGAGGAACGTGAAAGGTACGATGATTCTCGACCCAGGCGGGAAGTGCGAGCGGAGGCCGCGAGGAATACGCTGGCACCGCGCGAAGAGCGAAGAGGCCGTTCGCCCAGTCCCATGTGGGTCCCCGGCTCCACCTCTTACGCCGACATTCTTCGGGGATGTGCACAGACGACGCAGGTGAACGTCGCTCCCGCCGCGGAGCCGCCTAGGCAAGAGATGGTCCCTCTGTCCGCGGAGTCTCGACGCGGTCAGGCTCCACGCGCGGAACAGGTCGCCGTGGAGGTCGCCGAGGACGAGGCTCGAGTCACCGAGATTCAGCAGATCGCGCCGACGCAGGAGACGCGGGTGAAGAGCGTGCAGATCGCGGAGGCTTACTGCCAACCGTCTGAGGTCGCCGATGAGAAAGCGGAAGAGCAGAGCTACGTCGAGTCGACTAATTGGGCTGACGAGCCCTTGGAGGAGTACGACGTGCTGCACGTCGAACCTTACGAGAACGTGCCGGGGCAGCCGCAGCCGGCGGAGATCTACGACTACATGATAGCGGAACCGATGCCAGAACTAGTGGGCTTTATCGGATCGCAACTCGGCACGTATCCGGTCAGCTCGTACGTTTACGCGCCGCCAGGCCATCATCAGCAGGTGCAACAGATCGAGGCGATGAGCCTGCATCCGTACAACAACGGCGCGCTGGCTTACACGCCGGAGCACTACGTCGCGCAGACCGCGTATCTTTCAGCGCCGGATCTTTATCAGCAGACCGCGATGCAGCAGCAGCAGCAATGTCCTACGAGCGATGTGAGACACGCGACTTCGATGCTGGTGGAGAAACCGGTTGAGGTAACCAGACAGCCGGAAGTTCCGAAAGACGCGATCGTGACTAAAACCATTGAGCAAGCGCCCGAACAGGAAGAGTCTGCAAATATTGCGAATGTAGAAGCGACAAGTAAAACGGAAGGCAAGGATGCGTCGGTGTCGAGCAATGTCGAAACCAAAGGCCAAACCTTCTCGTACGCACAAATACTTTCGCAGGGACTCAGCCAGCGCGTTACGCCGACGAACATCGCCAATAAGTCGTCAGCCGCGAATAATCAGGGCAAAGAAAGATCTTATTCGCCAAAGGATTCTCTGTCGTCTCGCGAGTTGTCGCCGTTGCAAGAATCGAAATCCGACCAAGACTCGCAAGTGTCGATCGCGAAATCTGAGCAATTTAAACAGCCTAAGGTAAATGACTGGGATACGATGAAAAAACGGGAGGTCAAAAAAAGACAGCAGCAATCAAATGACAAACCCAAAACGACAGATGAGAAGAAACCTCGAAAACCTGTCGATAAACCGAAGGTCGATAAACCTGTCGAGAAACAGATAAAGGAAAAATTAAGTCCGCCGAAGCAGTTAGCGAAGGAGACGCAAGACGAATCAATGCCTGATAAAATCAGCGATAGCTCAGCAAATAAAGAAGAAAAACCAATGCAGCAAGAAAAGCAAACGGTCGATTCGATAGATGCAAATCAATCGCAGGAAAAGAAACGCAAGCAGAAGAAAAAGAAAGTAGATAAATCAGTGGGAGACGAAATCGACAAAGCGCTTAAAGAGATCGAAGATATGGATAAGCAGAAAGCAAAAATTCAGAAAGATAAGCCTAAAGAACAAAACAAGGAACAAAACAAACCTCATGATTCGGTCAATGAGACGCCCGAAAAATCTAAAGACGAAGCCAACAAAAAACAGAGCAAGTCTGGCGAAAAGTCCAAGAAATCAGAAAAATCGAAAGAAATAACGAAAGTAAAAGAAAGTACGTCTATTGAACAAGTAACATTGCCGCAGATCAAAGCAGAAGATCAAAATATTCCAAAAGATGAGATTAAAGAATCAGAGATTAAAAAAGATATAAAAGATGTAAAAGCTTCAGATTCCAAAAACGAAGAAGAAATCCGAAAAGAGATTCCCGAGGAAATTTTGAAAGAGCAAATTTCTCAAGCCGGTAAAAGTGTCCATATCAATTCCGACAAATCCGACACTAAAACAAAACGTAAGAACAAACCAGGTAAGAATACAAAAGACAAGGAACAAAGCGGAGAATCTTCGGAGAACAAAGTTCAGCAGCAATCTGATATTTTGAGTGATAAGAGAAAAGATAAAATAAATGTTATCAATGAAAGCAGCGTGGCAGAGATCGTAAACTTATCAGTTACTCCAAAAAGCGAGTCGGAAAGCACAGACGAAAAACTAAGCACGGCTACGAAGAATGAAAGCATGAAAAAGCAGAAAGATGCTTCGAAGAAAGAGAAGAACAAGACGAAATCGAAGGAGTTAAAACTGGAAACTAAAAATAATAATAAAAATCAAGAGAAACTCGAAAACGGTACCAAAGAGATAGTTGACGATAAATCTCTGAAATCAATTGAGCCAGTAATTGAGATTGAAATCAAAGATTCTAAATCAAAGGCACCGGAAACCGCTAATGAAGTAAATGGCAACGTGAAGGACAAAACTAATTCTCGAAGAAAAGATAAGATTTCTAAAAATAAAGTAAAATCTGAGACCGCTGTCGATCGTACATCATCGATAATTCCGACAAGCAAAATTCCAGATGAGACCGAAACGAATCTAAATGATACAGAAAATCTTCCAAAGAAAGAAATTCTTCCAAAAGCGGAACAGAAAGCAGAAAAATCCAACGAAGTTAAATTTGTGGAAACGACAATGATAATTACTGATAAAACCGATCTGAAAGAAATTCCAAAAGAATTGCTGCCTGAAACAGTTCAACAAACACCGGAAATAATACAAACTGATATTGCGTGCCAAAGTGATAAAACGGAACATGACGAAACTAAAGTTGAAAAATCAACAGAACGCAAAGAAGCGAAAGATCACCAAACGGATACCGAATTAAAAACGACAAGCTCTACAGTCGAGATTTTAGAAATTGCAGATACGATTGATGAGAATAAGGCTATTAATAAAGAGATAATTGAGACAACTGAGAAACAAGAGGCGGAAAAACGTCAGATGAAAACGAAAAAACAGAAAAAATCCGAAAAAGCAAAATCTAATGTTCAAGATAAAATAAAAAAGGATGTCGAAACACCGCAGACCGTCGAAAGCAAAAATAAATCTGCCGGAGAGAAAGATGAACTTAATGTCGAATCTTTAACTGCGCCTACAGTAGAAGCGTTCGTCCAAGAGGAATCTGCGGAACAATCCGATTTGGCAGAACAGCATATATTAGTATCTAATAGCAGTTGTCCCATTCAATCAAAAACGGATGCTGAAAATAAAACAGACGAGAGAGAGGACGCAGCACGCGGCCAAGTCAACAAACGTGCGCCAGAAACTTCCTCTAAGAGTAAGAAAAAGAACAAATCGAAAGACAAAGTTATCACTCAATCCACCGCACCGACGCATAATATAAAAGCCACGGAGGAATCTAAACCGAAAGATGTGCTTGAAACTGCAATTGTAGAGCCCGTTGCATCAATAAAGGAAGACATATCTCGCAATGAAACTGCAGAGCGCATCGAAGATGCTGCTAAAGCGGTGTCCGCGTTGGCTGCAAAAACTATATCAGCGCTAGAAACAGAATTAATTTCCACGACGCCTGAAAATGTAACTGAAATCATTTCCGTTACAGAAACTTCTCCTAAAATATCTGACGTTTCTCCGAAAACGAGTGATATCGCTACGAACGTGGAAGAAAAATGTCAGATTATTGAAAACGGAAAACCCGAGCATTCTAAACGAGAAGCAATTGTTGAAGAGATTAAGACCAATGTGATCGATCAAGAATCTTTAATAAAAAAGCAAGATGTCGGAAAATCGAAAGATCTTGCATCCAAAGAAAGAAGACAGAAACGCACGAAGAAGAAGGACCTGTCTTCCAAACATATAATTGAACAGACGAAAGATTCCTCTTCCCGCGATGATAACTTCCAACAGGAAATCACTCAGGACAGTTCAGCGAAAAGAGAAACAATTCCGGAGCCTGCAACTTGCGCAGTGGATCAAAAGTCCGAACAAGAAAATCTGAGCACGGAACAATCGTTGCCTGCACAAATTGATAACGCCGAATCGGAAAAAGCGCAACAATCGCAGAAAATAATTGAAATTGAGTTTAATCCCAAAGCTTCGAGCGATTCGGTCGACGAGGCTCGAGTACGCGGAAGGCTCGAGGAAGATACCACTTTAAAATCCGAGCAACCGTCTTCGAAAGGGAAGGCTTTGATCATAGAGAAGACGGTTACCACCGTAACAACGACCACTAGCGTTCCAGGATCGGTGAAAGTCAAGCCGACCGACGTGAAGTCCGTTAAATCGGTGGAGATTTTAGAAAACATACCCCTACCCAAAATTGTAAGCTCCAAAGTTACCGAGTTGATCACTTTGCGTCCCGAGACCGTAGAGGCTAGTCTTATCACTACTTATGCTAGGGTGCCGAACGATTCTCCCGTTAGTAGCTGTCCGGTGCAGGCGGCGGATTCTCCAAAAGTAGGTTTAACCTCCCCCGCGGTTTCCACCGAGAACATCGTGACGATCGACGAATCGGTCCTGTTCGGTAGCGTGCAGGATAGAAGGAAGGTTTGTCCGGGCGTTTCAGAGAGTCGCGATGCGCCGGTGATTCCTGCATTCGAGGAGAGGAAAGGAGACGATAATACGACGTCATCGAATAAACCCGTAATTGAACAGGCAAATCAATTACAAGCGGAAGTTCCTGAGAAAGATGGTGCGAAAAAGGAAGAGATACTTGATACTCTTTCGCAAAACGAAAATATTAATGACTCTATTGAAAAAGATATTATCACATTGACCGATAACATTAATCAAGTCGTGTCAAACATTCAAGCCGCAAAAGAGGAAAAACGAATGGATAAAGTCAAAGTTAATGAGACGAAATGTGAAAGTGCATCCACGATCGACGAAGAAAGAAGCAAAAATATATCCGAAAGTGTGAAAACAGAAAAGCAAATAGTACCTGATCATTTATTAGAACTTGTTAAGCCTTACGCTTTGGATCGCCATGCTTATAATTACGCAGAGAGTAATTTTTATCGCTACTTCAAAATCGTGAAAACGGTAAAAGAGCCGCAGCCGCCTGCCACGTCAATTCTGACGAGACCAGAGAGCATAGAGAGAATTGTACAAGAATCGGTGATGAAGCCCGTGGAGCCAGCGAGTCAAAGAATGCCTGAAGTCGATTGCAGGAGGCACGCTCTTATCATAGAAGCGCCGAAATATCCAATCGTCAATTTTTACGAATTTGAATCGCAATGGGTCAAAGCTAAATCCACCCCCGAAACATCTATATCTACAGCATCTGATGATTCTGAGATATCAAGGGAATCTGTAATTAAAAAATCTAAAGAAATTGTCGAAGAAAAAGAAACAGCAAGTGCAATATCCGATCTTAAAGAGGATGCGGCGTCGATTAACGTCGATCGGCTTGAAATAACAGAAACAAATGAGAATTTAGTATCAAATGCGTCAGTAACAATTGCGGAAGTACAATGCTCAGAAAATACCTCTAATCTATTACTCGATGAAAGTAAGGATAAAAAACCGACAAGTGTAGAGCAGTCCGTGCACTTAGTTGCCGACGATAGCTGGATGGATATTTTGGACGAGCCAATGGTTATTGAAGACGATTTTGACGACACACCCGATACAGCGTCATTTACTGAGGTAACAGATTTAATCACCACTACCAGTGATACAACATCGCAGATAATCGACAAAATTACAAAAGACGTAGCGCCTATTGAAAACATGAGTGTCAATCAACTCACAAATGCTGGAGAAATAATAAATACACAAGTGGACGAAGCCGTTGTGAAAGATGATGTTAAAATCGAAACAAAACCAATGTCATCGGTACATTTGAAATCTGATGATGATTGGATGGACCTTCTCGACGAAGAAATAACAATCGATGACGACTTTGACGCGCCAGAAATTCAAACAGCGAAGAACGTCACTATCGATGATGAAATTCAAAAGACGGAAGAAAAGATTGAAAAGAAAGAACCAACGATTGAAATTTTGAAGAATGCAACTTTAACAGAAATTGCTGTAAAGGATGAATATCACACTGATATAAAAGATCCTCCGACTTTGCGTGTAGATAATGAAAAGCAAAGCGACAAAGCGAAAAATCAACCAAAGAAAAAGAAAGAATCGAAATATGCTAAAGACGCAAAAGCTAAAGATCACGCGAAAACTAAAGCGGGATCCAAGAAGCAGAGTGACGTGGAAATTAAACCCGATGCTACTGAAAGCGATTTAACGCCCGCACAAAGCAACTTAGACAAACACAAAATATCGGAAGTTGATTCTAAAACGAAGGAAATAGAGAAATCTTCGATAGTGAACAAACAACAGACTGAATCGCCCAAGGATTCGGAATCAAAATCTCTTCCAGGTGAATCCGTCTTAAAGCAAAAGACGCACGAAACAATTAGCGAAACGCATGAGAAACCGTCCGTAAAACACGAGGAGCATAAACCGAAATCTAGTAAGAAATCCAAGAAGCAAAGCGAGAAGTCTGAGCCCATCCAAGAGAAATCAGCTAAACGCGAAAGTAAAGTAAAGGAAGACAACGATGCGCTTGCCTCTAAAGCGACGGAAATTAAATCAAATGTATCCGAAGGATCGATTGTGCAAGAATTAAAAGATGACGTGCCCACGTACGACAGTCGATTAAATCCGAATACCAAATCGTGGGCGGCCATCGTTGGTACGAAAGGTACAACGGAGATAGCTGCTGTTTCGAAAGACGATTCTCCGACATCCATCACTACTTGTCAAGATACAACAGATAGCGTCACGAACGTTATAACACAGCCATCAATCGATTCGTGTGAAATTCCAGTGAAACAAGAACCGCACGTGATAAGTTTACCTCCGGCAGAAAAGCAAATAGACAACAATATTATCGAAGAGAAAGAATTAAAGGAATTAAAAGCAGCTGCGACGGATGAGATCGTCAAGCCGATCGTAGAAAAATCTATTGAATCGCCGAAGCAGCTCAAAGATGGGAACAAATCTTACGCGCAAGTCGCAGCCTCTTCCCGACGAACTCCTCCGCAAGTTTCTCAAGAGGAAATATATTTAATTAAACCTATTCCGCTGAAATCTGATCATAAAGTGATCGATGTAAGAACATCTGCTGCCAACAAGGCGTGCGAAAGTTTGAATGCAGAAAAATCGCAAAGTCCAGTCGAACGAGACAATCAACAAATTGATAAAACAGCGGTACAGCAATTGCCCGATCACGAAACGACGACTGCAAAATCCGCTCCTCAGAAGGAATTAATTTCTTGGGTGGAAGAAGTGGAGGAAGAGGCATCGGCCATTCCACCCAATCCTATTAGTCCGCCTGTCGAAATCAAAGATAATGAAACGCACGCAACATTGGAAGCAAGTACGTGGGCCGCGATAGTCGGTAAAAAGTCTGTGGAATTGCCAGAAATTAATAATACTCGTAATCTCGAACAAAATCTTCGTAAACCGGAGCAAACTGGTGAGCAACGGCCTCCGACGCAGGTCAAGATTTATGTAGAGGAGACTCCTGAACAAGAGCCTATAGAAAAATTGGTGCAAGTAGACAAACAAGGTTTTATAGAATTTGTAAATCGAAAGGAATTGCGATCGAGACGTTCGAGATCGCGTTCTCGTAGTGCTAGGCGAGACGACGGACACGCAATCGCAGAAATCTCAGATTCGATTAAAGACAAAGAGACAAAAACGTTAGATGCAGAATCTCAAAGTAATGAAAATGAGAATAAGCAACCTGTACAAAAACACGAGGATGAACAAAAAACAGTTGACGCAAAGAGCGACGAGTCGGCGAAAACTAAAGAGCGTGATGAGCGAGAAATTGCTGTAGCGTCTGAAAAGACAACTGCATCTAAAAGTAAAGATAAAGCCAAGCAGAAAAAAGACGCGAACGAACGTAAGAAGGAAAATAAAAGACAACCTTCGGAGAGCGAAGCTCTAAGTGCTGAGGGTGAAAATATTCGAGAAACAAAACCCGAGGATGAAACACCTAAAGGCAAGAAGAATAAATCTAAAAAGAACAAATCTGCTAAGGATCAAGTGAAACAACAGACTGAAATTAATGAACAGAAGCAAATGGAAAAACCGAAAGAAGTTGAAAAGTCTGCAAATGAAAATAAAACATCTGGTGAGATTCCATTAGAAAACGCCGCGACTGAAAGTCAAGAAGCTAAAAGTATTCGCGATCAACCAACTAAAGAGGCAAAGTTAATTAATGATACAGAGAATGCACAAGAAAAGGGTAAAGATGTGGAAACGCCAGTCATGGAACACAGTAATGTTACGAGATCTAAGAAGAAGTCGAAAAATAAAAGGGGAAAAGTCGTGCCTGAGCCGCTTGAAAATATTCCTGACACATGTAAAACGACAGTTATAGCTGGAGATTTCGACGGGAAAATAGAATCACAAATGGAACCAAAATTAGATGACGAAATAAAAATAAAACTCACGGAAGCAATTACTACAAATATAACGTACAACGCATCAGCAGATGCAGAAAGTGAAAAAACAGAGAAAGCGAATAGACAAGAAGATACTGTGTTTGAAACTGCAGAAAAAAATGTTGAACAGACGATAATCGAAGAACCGAAAGATATAGAAGCATGCAAGGAATCTCATCAGGAAAAAACGGAAGAAAACGTAGCGGAACAAAAAGAAATTCTTAAACCCACGAAATCGGAGAAACGAAAACAGAAGAAAAAGGCGAAAACTTTCCCGCGAAGCGAAATAACTGAAAAGAAAGAAATTGAACATGCGAAAGAAGACGTTGCTCAAGATGAATCAATTGATCAATCCAGTGAGAAAAATATTGTTGAACACATCGAAATCGATGAGACAATTAAAGCGACAGAAGAAAGCGTAAATATTGCTCCATCGAAAGATAAACTAGATACGTCTCAATTAAAGGAGGATGATAAATCGATAATTGAAATACAAACCGTACAAACAGAGGAAATTAAGAAATCCGACGCTACAATCGAAAATAAAACATCACTTCCACAAATAACTCCGACAGGAGACAAGCAAAAACACAAAAGCAAATCCAAATCGAAAAAAGAGAAACGACAAGACGATAAAACCAAGTCTCTAGATTTTACGGCTGACTCTAAGAATATCGAAACTCCATCCGTTGCGGAAGACACTGAGATTATTAATGTCTCTAAAGACGTAGTAACATGCAACATCACAGAGGCCGAAGAGAAAAATGTTGAGGATGAAAAATTGGATGACAGGCCAACTGAAATTTTACAGTCTCCAAAAGACGTAATCAACAAGATCGATTTCTCTGCTACCGAATCAGAATCACTTGTGTCTCCCGCAGAAAAGAAAATAGATGAAGAGCCGATAATTAAAATCAAGGACCCGCTGCCATGCGAAAAGAAATCTAATCAAAAACAGGATACCAAGACCGATGATAAAGTAGAATCTGAGCAACAAAAAGATTTGACAAAATGCACGATGGAAATTACTACTGTTACAGATAAAGAAGTATCAATTGCAAACGAAACGATTAAGTCTCCCGAAAATGAACAGATCGCTGAGCAAAAAGAAAATCTCAAATCCGAAGAAGCTGCTTTGACAGTGGCCGACGCAGAACAGACTGCGTTGCCTCAAACAGAAGAAATCAAACCTAAATCCGACGATACTTTAGATACATCCAGTCAAATTAACGACATTCACACGCAAATAGAGTTATCAAACGACTCGACAAACATAGCAAGCATAAAGCACTCTCCACCGTTGGATAAATTATCTTCAGCTGCGGAACAATCATTCGAAGAGGACAAATTGAGGCATGCCGCGAGTGTCGATGAAGAGAGCTTCGATAGTTCGATCGAACCTCCCAAATCCAAAGTACAATTCTACATAGCGGATGAAATCTTAGTCCTGAATCCCGAGAGACGGAAGGACACCGTTCCGCCGGTGTCGCTCGTCCAGGAAAAACCACCTACGACCGATTTGCGTAATTCGCAATTCCTCTCCATCGACGATGGTTTCTGGCCCGACAAACGACCTTATCACGAAGCCGAGCGCGATCACTTCGAGAACTTAGCTCTACACGCGAAAAGGAGTCTCTCGCGCGAACACGACTTCGACGATCGTCCGCGCGACGACGATCGCGACGGCGACGATTCGGGCGGCGGCGGCGGCGGTAGATCGCGGGATTCTTGCGGAAACTCGTGTTTCCTCCCGGGCACACCTCAAACGGAGCGTATGGTGGCCGATCTGCCCGGCGGTATGTGTAGCTGGAGCGACTATAGCACCTATCTGTCGAGCGAGAGCGAGCGGACGCCGGATCGCAGTCTGCCGCTCGGCGCGATCGAGGATCCAACGATCGATTCGGGATTGTCATTGGATCACTCTCTGCCGAGCGACGCCCAGCCACCCGACCTCCTCACCTCGCCGTCCTCCTCTTCCCGCGAACCGCAAACCAAGTCATGCACGGAGCCGCTCGCCGAAGTAAGTCCGAGAGAACGTCCTGCGGTCGCTGCTTCGAGCAGCCACAAAAATCCCGATCATCCCAGCACTTGCACCCAATCGTCGACCTACGCCCATCTTCGTCCACTATCCAAACTGCATTTAGGTAAAGAGACGAGGGAGGGATCCGTGCGACGAGGCAGCCCGAACGGGGAGGTGGAGAGAGATACGGCCGAAGACGGGGCTGAAAGAAGGATACGCAGGATCCAGGTGCGATCACCGTCATAGCCAGTGCTCGGTCTTGTTTCTAGTCGAGTTTGAACCAAGTCCACTGCCATACGCGTATATATACATGCACAATGTATATATACTCTGTTGTACTTAGTTATCTGTGGATTGTTTATCGTTGGTTTTTTTTCACTCTCTCTGTCTCTCATTTTTGTATAACTACGACTACCGTTTTTCCTTTTTCACTACTGAGTCCAAGTGTGTGCGATTTTCTTGTGTCATGATTCGTCGGTTACAGCGCGCGTGCATATATTGCTGTTGCTCTCCCTGCCGTTGCTACTATCCCAGCAAACACCAAGTTACAGTTATATAATTGTTAGTTGTAATTTCCCACTCAATAATATAATTGTTATATAACACGTGTATTATATAACAGTTATATTGTTGAGTGGGAAATTACAACTAACAATTATATAACTGTAACTTGGTGTTTGCTGGGATCGAAGTATCATTATTGTAACTCCGCTCTAATCCCGCATATAACATAAGACATCACAGCTGATCTTTTACACCAGAACAAAACTGATTGGACAAACAATGGCAATAGGAAAACTAATGCAAGCCAATAACGTAATTATTCTTACGCAAACATTTATATTTTTTTTCAACACAAGACATTTGACCCACGCTTGTCAAATGACACTGACTTCCGCTGAATTTTCAGAAACTGAATGACAAATTGAATAGATTTTTATGAAATAATAAAAAAATTGCAAAAGTAAAATTGATTTAAAAAATAATAATTATAGAATTACAGTATTAAGAAAAGTCAGTAATTGTGCATCAAGTGCAGGTTGAATATTCCTGCATCAATGTGTTGAAAAGAATACACATAAAACAATTGCGTTATAGTTTCACACTAACCTTTCCTTGTGCTCGATTTCACTCAAGAAGCTTATATTTTTAATAACAAAATTAATTAATAGAATATATTTTTGCCGTTCGCATGAAATAATAATACAATTATTCCTCTCTAAAATGCAATCTGTATTTATTTGCATGCTTTTCCATTTCCAAATGTGCTTAGCATATCGATGTTATATTGTCTACAGCCTCTCTATATTGCGCAAACTCTAAGATGCTAATTTTTCAATCATTGTATACATTTATATATGTATTTAGTTTGTGATATTGAGGATCAAAATCATAAGCAAGCGATACTACAAGTATCGACGAAACTATTCGTGCAGAATAATAAAGAATCATCGCAGCAGCGCTAATAGGAAATCAAAATTAATACGCAAAGCAGTTCCCGATCCTTCTGACTTTTGGTTGCTGGCAACTTTACGTGACAGGTCTTTGCATTCGAATTAGCGAAGTATTCCAAAATTTGCTCATAATTTGCATGAGGATTTATCGCTCTCTGTGTAGCAACGAGTGACTTTGCGACTTCTGTAACAGGCGCTAGAAGAATTCACATGTGCCTTCATTAAATGTGTGCCATTTCGTAACCCCATATCGTGCAACACCTTCTTTTACAGGTTCTCAGAATTTTAAGCCGTTAGAGTCTCAGAGACGCAAATAAAATTAATACACACAGTGTGAGAATTGATTGGATCCCGTCGTGTGCACGGCATGGTTGAAATAATCGCAAATTCCGTTGATCGAATAGAATTGCTAAAGAGTATTTGTGTTTCAGGATACCGTCGAGGAGAGTCTCGTTTCTCTGCAAGCAAGACTTTCGAATCTCGAAGGAACGATGAGTTATTTGCCTCAGGACAGCGTAGAGTCTATGCTGTCGTCTCTCATGGTAAGAATGCGAAAGATTAGACGCGATCAATAAAGACGTAAATAAACCGAGATGAGTTAACAGAAGAAAATTGAAAAAGTTCTGTCGAATTCATATTGTTATCCTTGCCAGTTTAATTTTATTGTTACGGAAAAGCACGGTAAAAGCCGGCTAATCTATTACAAAACCGATATAGAAGTCGAACGATCCTTTTTATTTACTTTAGGCTGTATTGACGGAACTTGGCGCCTACGACGAGGAGGCCAAACAACTTGAAACGCGATTACGCGAGATTCCTGCCGACGTTGAGTCTCAAAGGCTGACGGCGGCTTTAACAGGGATTCACACGCGCATTACCGCCCTTCTCGAGCAAGCGGAACAAGGACGGACGACTCTTGAACAAGCGCGACAAGACCAAGATAGGCGCGGTCAAGAAATTCGTGCTTACAAATTATTCCTCGAAGAGACAGATGCGTGGCTGAGAAGCGTCGTATCGAAAATACACGAACAACATTCTCTTAACACCAACAAGGTTTGTGGGATTACGTTACTCGTCGGCAGAATTACTCAGTTTTGACCTAGCGTCCATATTTTTTTTTACTAAATCGAAGATATCGATTTAATATCGGTTTAGTACCAAATAATTATTTCACGATACGCGAAATAATGAAAGTTTTCGCAATGGGCAGGCCTTGCAGGAAGAATTAACGAGTCGCGCGCAACGAGTGTCGGAGCTCGAGCCGATGCCAGAAGTGAGCGCGCTGGCGGCTACACTGAAGGAAGCTCTCTTGGACGTAATTAATCGTCTTCAGCAAAAGCAGCAGGTATCCAACGCTTACCAGAACTCGGGGGCTTTCGCAAACATCACTCTTCTTGGTGCCTCGGTCGCTTAAAATAGTATTAGTAAGGGTTCGGAGAAATCACTTCTCGACAGAGCTTAAACTTAGTTTCGGAGCTTTGCTGTATCGAGAAAACAAGGAAAGGCTTGCAAGAGTTGCGATTATTACAAAGCTGGCCTTAAAAAACGGGTTAAAAATGTTATAGATAGCAAATTGATATAAAAAAAATCGTTAAAATCGTTGAAATTAATAGCCGTCAAAAAAGTTTCCGGGTGTAAATATCATAAGTCGAAAGTATTCTGTCTCTTATTCGAGCGAGAGTCCGAAATGATACGTTTGGATTTGGACAATCAGTCCGGATGCAACGTGCAGTGATTAAAAATGGTGCTAAATGCTTTGTAATAAGCGGTGATAAATGACGCAACTGTTCGCCGTATGATTCTAGTCGTCAAGCTTAAAATAATTTCTTTTGCACGCTTACGGACATGGATAGTTTAATTGTAGAGACCATTTTTCTGGGTATATATATATTTTTTTTTCTTCTTCTTTCTTTTATCACATTACCGCTGTGCAGACACATGCGCTTGTTATCACGCACATCGTCATTTCATTTAATGGATACCACGCATCGTACATTATTTCTTAGTTCACTGTACATTATTTGTATCATGACTATTATTATGTATTTTCATTTGTATCTTAAGGTGATGGATGTAATATAGGCATTGCATGTAATTAAGGAATGTTAATACATTGCTGTAATATTTCATGTAATTAAAGAATTCTCATTAATACCCCAACCTTTTACTCTCCATGTGTTAATCATTATAGTTATGCATTGTAATTAGCGATGTAAATAATAATTTCTATGTATACGTAACATGCCGGTTTACAAAGACACAATTTGTCTCAAAAACATTGTACATTTTCAAATTTTAAATGTATATAAAAAATGGTATTTCTATATAACCTTTTCTGCGCATATTGCAACCTTTTAATAATTAATGTGTAGAAAATCTCTCACACAGAAAAATAATTCAAACAATTTTTTATATTATAATTAAAAGTTATAGATAGTTTAATTATTGCAAGCCGTTTCTCACAAAAAATTAATAAAAGATTTGTCAAAAATATTTTATATTGCTAGAAAACTTATAAAAAGTATGCCGAATTAATATCCGAATAAGTAACCAATTAAAATAAAACTGATAAACTATGTAATATCCGATTTCAGCCTTTGTTTCCGTTTAATAAAAAAATTATATTGCAAAACTAATATCCCTCATCTCTCATCAATAATCAATAACAATCGTGACATCATCTTGAGCTCAAAAATACAAGCATTTGCATTAACCACCATTTGCGCGCTACAATGCCGCAAAGTCATATCAGCACATCATATCAATCTTCTCAAAACATTCGTTATCTCCGTAGGAGATTTGCGATGAAGAAGCTCAAGCTGATGACGAGTCGACAGACAAAGATAATGCTACTCTGGACGAAGCACCATCAATTCACTCCTCTCTGGAGGATGGCCCGCCATCTCTGGCCGATGTCTCCCTGCAGACAGGTCAAAGTTTACTGCTCGACGACGTTGTCGAGAAAAAAGCACAACTCACAAAGCAGACGTCCACGACGCAAATGTCGCCGCCGACTACATGTCATTCTCTCACAACGCAGACGACGCAGGCTTTACTACCGAGCGACGTTCCCACGCAGGAGGCTATAAAGGTCCTGAAGACCACGACGGGCGATCACGATGTGATCGAGATAGCGACCAAGTATGTCCCGCCTAGTCAAGAGACAGCTCGTGGGGAACAATCGAACGTTCTGACCGGCGAGGACATCGTCGTCGACATGAAGTATCAAGACGCAAAGAAGACCGACAGCGCGACGAGCGAGCTCAACATCGTCCACGCCGCGCCGCAGTCCTTCGAGACGATTCTAGTTGAGCCGGACGACGTGACCACCGAGGTGGTCGTCGACGCCGACGGCACCAAGAGGATCATCGTAAAGAAATTACGACGCACCACGGTGACCAGCAGGCAAACCACGCAGCAGCGCGTGTCCACGCTGTCGACGGCGCTCGGCGACGCCCCGCCGACGGTGCAAGCGTTCTCCGAGGCCGCGATGAGAGATCAGCAGGTCACCGTGACCAGAACGCGGCCGGACGGCACCATCGAGACCACGACGAAGCAGATGTACGGCGGCAAGGTCACCACAGGCGCGCCTACCGAGGGTGTCAATGTGGAGGAATACGAATCCGAACCGCGTTACACGCGCATTGTGGCGCAGGGTCAATTGGGCGACATTAGTTATCAGCCGATCGAGGAGGAGATACTGATGGAAGGCGGCGAGTATCAGACGAGAACGTCGAGCGTGCACGCCGTGGTGCAGCAGGTCACCAGGCGAGTCATCAAGAGGACGCGTAGGATCATTCGAAAGGTCATCATCATAGACGGCAAAGAGACCACCACCGAGGAAGTGATCGAGGAGCCCGAAGAGGTGGAGATAGACGAACAGGACATACCGCACATCAGCATCAATGTGGTGAAGAGCGAGGATCAAAAGTCCTTGCCGGCGGTCGAGATGGAGCAGCAGAAAGGTACGATATCGGAGATAGCAATAAAACCGTGTCCCCCCGATAGTCCGCTGCAAGGCCCGTTCTTCGGGCCGTTTGCTAAGGATATGAGCACGGATCGACAGAAGGCGCAAGAGAAAATATCAATTTTGATTGCAGAAAAGGAAGATGATGTCATGGAAGTTGAAACTTTGGACGCTGACAGTCGGAAGAAGGAAGCTACGATATTTGAAGAGCCGAAATTAACAGAGGTAGCGGATGCTACGATAAAGTCAACGGATTCCGCGCAAACTGCTAAAGTTGATAAAGGAGTTTCTACCGTGCGAGATGACGAAAGTGCGATAGAAATGAAACCGCAAGCGGCGGACGAACAAAAATACGAGCATTTCCCTAGCGAGGTGAACGGCACCGGTGCACTCGCGATCGATAGTCAAACGCCGATCGATGCTGAACGATCCGCCGTGTTGCAGACTCCCGTCGAAGAAGTCTGCGCTACGACAACACAACCGGAAACTGTAAAATCCTCATTAGAACCGGCCGCGGCAGATGACGAACCGGTGGTCACCAAGGCTACTTGTAAGTCCGATGATGCACCAGTAAAGAGCGAAACACCCAGTATCGAGCTAGAAAACGGCACGGTAGAAGTAGAGACGCACCATGGCGGTAGCAGCACTGTAGAAGCTGATGTATCGAATGTCGTTGTATTTGAGAAAGAGAATAAAACGGAAGAGAAAGACGCGTCTCTCGAGCCGTGCGAGAGTAAAGAAGAGATAATTTTAGTGTCGCCCCAAAAATCGGAACAGCAAAACGAATCTGTCGTCCCACCGAGTGGCTCGGATGTTGTTAAACCTGACGAAGCCGCAGAAAGAATTGTTTCAGGATTGGAAGACACGGAAGCATCTCCTGAAGAACGAGAAGTGTCGTCAGAACTGTTCGCAAGAGAGAACGAAGACAATTCCAAGGACGAAGCGCTGAAACCGGAATACAAGCCGATGTTCCACAAGGTCGGGATCTCTCTGTCTGTGCGTAAGGACGACGAAGAGATGGAACCGCTGGTGTCTATCAGAACGCAAGCGGAACGTCCCGAGATCGCTCCTTACAGCATCGTCAAAGAAGACATGGACATCAATCTTCCCGCGGACAGGGAAACGACGAAAGTGGTGCACGACAAGATCGTGCAAACCGTCGCTTTCCTCACGGCTGAGAAAGAAACGGAGATCTTGCAGCAGCAGGTGGCCACGGCGGAGAAAGAGGTCGAGGTTCACATCGACTTGTCGGAGAGGAGCAAATCGGACACGACGAGTCACAAAAGTAGAAAAAAGAAACGGCGCAAGGATAAAGCGGAGCTCTCGGAAAAATCTGCAGATTCGGAATCCAGCACCTCTATCGCCACGTCGATCGCTGAATCTATGGAGATTAATATTCCGTCGTCCGACTCGTCCAAACACGCGAGCGAGCAGCCGCAGCCGGATGTTGCCGAGATCATGAAATCGATCGCTGAATCCTCTCTGAGTTTTGACGACAATGTTTTGCCCGAGGACGACGGATATCAGGCGGACGATAGAACAATGGATGAACTATCGATCGCGCTGGAAAATGGTGATCGCGCGAAGCAAAAGAGAAAGAGGAAAAAGAAGCAGAAGGTGCGATTAACTCGAAACGAAGATTTGACTCAAGTGCCTAAGACAAGCAGCGACGACGCGGCGTTCACGGAAGACAGCCTCCCTCTGGAGGTGCCTGTATTGGAAAAAATGCCTGAAGAGGATAAAACAAAGGAAGCTGACGTAATAATGAAAAAAGAGGATATAGAAAAGCGACAGGAGGCGAAAGAAGTTGAACCCGAAGCGATATCGCAGGAAGAGAAAATCGTTGAGCGCAAAGTCGTGCTGGACGACGCGAACACTCAAACGACTGTCGAAATGTGCAACGTATCGACTTCGCTTACCCCGAAAGCGGAGGAGGAGAGCCTCTCCACGTTCATGCAAACATCTCCCGAGCCGGTTCCGCTTACTTTGGAAGAAGAGATCCAGACGGCTAGAATCGAAGAGACGCACATCGAGACGCAAACGGTCCTGGAGCCCGGACTTGATTTCAGCGCGCAAACCATCGCGGAGGAGACTCCGGAAGTCGAAGATTCGGGTGTACAGACCATGACGCCCACGGCGACGCCCATGGAGGAGTTCGCTATTCAAACGAGCCCAACGGATGACGCTCCCGCCGTCGTCGCGGCCGAAATGAAAGACTCTCAAGCGCAAACGATCGAAATCACCGTTCTCTCCACGGAAATGCAGACTTCCCCTGTCGAAGTGGCTCCGATGATGGCGACTGAGACTCAGACGGCGATGAACGCGATGATGGAAGTCGAGCAACAGACGACTCCGCCGCCGGCGATAGAGAAAGTCATCGTGCAGGAGACTGCTATTCAAACAATATCTCCGGAAGTACCGAAATTTCTGGAGAAAGACATGCAGACGAGCACACCGGCCAGTCCGGAGCAGCCGGATGTTTCGCATATAGATACGCAGACGATTGCGGTGCCGGAAACGTCAGCTGAACCAACGGAGACTCAAACGACGCCCGAGGAAAGCCCTCGCAAGGTAGAGCTGCAGGAAACCGAAATGCAAACAAAATCGCCTGAACCAACGAAAGAGACCACGATGAAGACGAGCCCGATCGTCTCCAGTCCCGAACAAGTGTGCGAGGAGTCTGCTCAAACCAGCATCGAGGAAACGAAGGAGACCATCGAGGAAGAATCACAGACCTGTCCTCCGGAGAAGACTCAAACCTTTGACAGTTCGGTGCAAATCGAGACGGTAGAGCTGATACCGCAAGTCGAAGAGAGCGTGCAGAATATTCCGGAAACGTGTGAAATCGGCGCACAAACGTCACCGAAGGAGGAGAAACAGTCGCCCGGGGCAACGTCGGTGTCGCAGCAGACTACGCGAATTCCAACTCATACTGTTGAAATATCCACGGAAGATTTTAAGGCAGAAATCGCTGAAAAAATCGCGCACGAGACGCCTGTTCCAGCGGAAGCAATTTCTTTGGAAGAAACAAAGACAAAAGAGGAAGTAGTGTCTACGGAATTAATAGAAACTCCAGCAGCACCTGATGTACAAGTACCTGATGTACAAGAAACTGTGAAATCTTTAGAAAAAATAAAAGAAATGGAAATTGCAAATGATCAGCCAATACCAGAAATTTCCACGACAGTTTCGGAAAGTATCGAACAAATGGAGGCACCCGTCGAAAAAGAGGCGAAATCTCAACCTTCCGAAACACCCGTGAAAGACAGTCCAAGGTCGCCGGAGGTCAGCGCGAAGACAAAAGAATCTACGCCGTCTTTGGTATCGGAAAAGGACACTACTTCGGACACGTCGTTCGAAATTCACGTTCACGCGACGATAGAATTGTCCGCCAGTGACACGCTCGACAGCGTTGCATCCGGCAGCAAGGAAACACCCGATACTTCGCGAGACACCACGATCGCCGAAGATCTCAGCAACGACGCGAGTATTCCGGAGAGCGACAGCAAGACGGCAAAACGGCAGAAGAGAAAGAGAAAACACAAAACTATAGAGATTAGTTTACCGAGCAAGGATAAGTCAGAGCCGGGATCCATATTCGGGCAGCCCGTGGAGTCGCAAAACGGCACCTTGAAGTTGTCTTACTGCGACGTCGCCAAGAAGAACGCCAGCAGGCAGACGTCTCCGGTGGGCGACGACGCGGTATCCAAACATCCATCTGAACCTCAAATCGAACCAGATATAAAATCAGAGGAGATCGCGTCGACAAGTGTGATAGGAAGCGAGATTCGACGTGAAGAAGGCATTCGGGGAATACCGGATATTTCAACTACCTCGAAAACAGTACCTACAGTATCTACGAGCGATCAATTTGCGATCGACTCGAGTCACAACATTCCAGAAACGACAGCAGTACCTGAAGTAGCGGCGGCGCGAATGCCATTCGGTAAACCGACAATAGAACCACTACTGATGTCGTCGGATCAGCAAAGGTTGTCCGGAATCGTGCGATCGTCGCCCGAGCCGATGGACACCACTGAGGAACCACTGACGCCCATAGAAATCGAGCAACCTCTTCTGAGCAAAGAAGCCGTCAAACCGTTCCGAACGGAGATCAAGACGTACGCTGATGTGATATCCGAATCGCAGAAAAAACCCACAGCACCGACCTTGCCCGGCGAAACATACGAAATGAGAGAAGCTCATCTGTGGAAAGAGCCTAAAATGCCATCTGCTCACGCTTTGTCCTCGACTTTCCTTCTAAAAGAGTCCTTGGAATATAGCGCAAAGCCGCAACATCAAGGAACGCAAACGGTGCAAGCTGCAAAAATAATCGCTGATCGAGTGAAGAATCTACAGAATACCAACGAATCGGATCATCTCGGTAACATTCTGCACATCGCGCATTTGGAAGAAGTCACTACGGAGAGACTCGCGGAAGAACGCTCGTCCGATGTTCGCCGAGAATTGGCGCAATTGAGAAACGCCGTGCAAGAGAATGACGTGGTGATTGTCGAAGAGAGTCTCGTCACCGTCGTTGAGACGATTTCCACGTGGCTGGAGACTATCGAGTATCGAATCTTCTTGAACAGAGAATGCCCGACTGGACCGTCTCATGAGGACGCTAAGACGTTTATCGAATTAAAAGACGAGGTGAATCATGTGGAGGAAAGTATTCGCGAACTCGACAACATTTGGAAACAAGTGGAGCCGAGTTATTCGGAAGAAGAACGAGAGAAGCTGAGAGACTGTATGGATGCTCTCGAGTATCAAATGAAAATTATTGAGAATGTTACTACTGACGGAGAGAAATACGCTAGCAAGCAACTCGCGAGATGGGACGAATTTCTAAATGGCGTGAACAATGTGTACAGGTGAGATATCATCCAAAAGTATTAATTCAATTCGGAAAAATAATTAACAAATTCGCTGCGAACCTAAAATCACCGATCTTAAAATTCTTAACAATTTTGTTTCCAATTTCAACAATGTTATTTTTTTATGCTATGTGAATCGAAAGAAATAATTTTGATAAAATAAATCAAAAGTGACGAAATAAAAATCAAAATTATTTCGTTATTTAATGTAATACTTTTTTATATCTGTATTTAATTTTTATCACACAGGTTAGTCGAGGAGCAACGTAAACAACTGGATCTCATAATCGAAAGCGAGTACTCTACGCGATGGAAGCTGCAGGAGCTCGATAAATTAGAAAACACTAATCGCTGTCACATGTGGAAGACGAGTAAGCTGCTTAGCTCCGCCCGCGGATTATTGCGCGATCATCCCGGCAAGATCATACCCGAGGAAACATATGCCGCGCATGAAACAACAAAGATCATCGAGTACGGTATATGCGTCGAACGAGAGCGGCTTCTCCAACTGCTCGCCTTAGCCGAGGAATACGAGCAAACGCTGCAGGATTTCGCGCAAATTATCGAGATCGCGGAGAATCTGCTGGACAGTCCGATATCCGTGATGAGCCTGGAGCATCTTCGCGAGGAGATGCAGAAGCACAGAAAGTTCTTCGTCAATCTCAATCATTGCCGCGCGATTCTCGAGTCGCTGGAGGGCAATCTGGACCCGGAGACTAGAGCTAAACACTCCGGTCTACACGAAGAGCTTCACGGCAGAGCGACGGCGTTGCTCGATCAAGCGGCTTCGCGTGCGCAACAAATGGCCCTAGCCGCATCGCGATGGATGCTGCTGGAGCAGGGTGTGAAGGAGGAGAGAGGGTGGCTCCAGGTCGCGCATCAACGCGTTCCCGATCTTCAAACCGTCACTTCGACCGACTACGATCAGTACATTTCCTTATATCAGGTTGGTAAATATGCCAACGCGTTACGCTCTTTAATCTTGTGAATTTAAATTTTATAATTTCTTCATTTATCATGTTTTAGTCTTTATCGTCGGACGTGGCGACTCATCACGCGCGATTAATTCAATTGCTCGACGTGGCGCGCAGCCTGCGCGATCTCGTCAACATCGAAGATCCCGAGGATCGATACGGCGAAGCTTTAGACGTAATCGTGAAACTGCAAGATAACATCGAGTCCTCCCTGAAAAGGTTATTGGCGTTCAGGGAGAGTTGGAACAATCAAGAGACACTGATGGATCGCGTGGAGCACTGGATGACGATGGCTATGAAGGAGCTCGCGACGTTGCGCGATCCGTCAGGGAGTTCCATGCGTCAATTCTGGGTGAGTTTCATCCTCGAGGTTTAATCTGGAGAATCTTGCAGAGATATATTTATAACGCGATAATCTAATAAAAGTATTCATCGATGAATCGCACACGCCCGTGTATCTAGGTCGCGATTTTTTTCAACGCCTTTTGGCCTCGTGTCATCGGAAAGACATGTCTCCTTCGTCGCAAACCGTATTTTCGGCGTGATTAAATTTGGAGAACGAAAGCATTACACGACGTTATCTCCTTGCCGCCGTCTACTTTTTTTTTATCGAAACACTTGATCTGTGAATCCAACTCAATACTTATCTAAATTCCATCATTAATATTTCTTAATGGAAAAAAAGTTTATGCAATTTTTTCTTCTAAATATGATTGAGCGAACGATTAAATCTCCTTCCGCGCGAGCCGTATTTTCGGCGTGATTAAATTTGGAGAGCGAAATTATTACGTAATATTATCTCGTCGTAGCCAGCTATTTCTTTTTTCATCGGAATCTTAATACTTTCGATTATGTAAACGATTTTCTGCTTCTCAAGTCATAATACAACTGTGGCGAATAATTAGTTATCTTAAAATAAATTAGCCGTCAGAATTCGACCTTCGAGTTGAGAATGCATTCAACATCGGCGTTAACACGCTTGCAGGAATTGAAGGCGCAATATGAAGTCCACAACAACATGCGCAACGAAGCGGACAACTGCTTCGAGCAGGCTCTACGAATCATACCTCTGTCGGACGAAATGCTGCAGCGGCAGTTCTACTACGAGCTGCAGGATCGCTGGAACGAGGTCACCGACAAGATCAACGAGATTCAGAAAGACGTGACTCGCAGTATTTCTTCGGAGGAGATCTCGTCGAACGAGAAGCTCAAGTTACTCGAGAGAGAACTGAACGAATTGCGCATAACCATCAACAGCTTCCACGGGGTGCTGAAAACGGAGGAGGAACTCGACCTGTACGTCGAGAGACTCACCGTGCTGTTCGACAGGATCTCCTTGATCCAGGACGAGATCGGAAGACTGGGTCTCCTGCCGGCGGCGGAGAGCGAGAGAGTCGGGATTTTGTTGTCGTCGGCGCGTTGCATCGAGGGTCAGATAGGCGAGGAGCTGGACTCGGCGCAGCTGCTCAGAGAGAAGATCCAGGCTCTTCAGCGCGGACTGAGCCGCTTCAGGAAAGCGCACAAGAGATTGTCAGCAACACTGGATCAATGCGAGGGCAGCGAGAAGCAGGAAAGCGACCTGGTGGCCGCGGCCGTCGACCGTTGCCAATCGGTCGCCAACGAATTGGCGGTTCTCTGGCAGGATCTCATGGCGTTGAGGCAGATGCTGCACAATCTGCCGACCGGCATAAGAGTGACGGTGTCGCCGGTCGGCATAGAGAGAGACTTGTCCAACGTGCAGGACACGCACACCGAGCTCGAATCGAGATGCGCCCGGCTGCTCTCGTTGCTGACGAACAGACTGGAACTGTGGCGACGATTCGAGAGGCAGCTGGAAATGGTGCAGCAATCTGTGCAAGAAGCCGACTACATGATGGAACTGTTGACCGTCCAAGACTCCGTCGATTACGACAGACTGCTGAAGGCCACCGAGCGACTCGAGGTGAGTTGTTTTTCTTTTTTTCCTACGTCGTATTGGTTTACGCGCGAAAGTGGAGCAGTGCGATTTACGCTCGCGACGCTGCGGGACCGATCGATGAAGTTATCAACGGCTTGTAATTAGTTTATGGGAGACTCACGATTCTGTCAACGTCATATACATACATATATATATACTAAATATATTTCCGCGAGCGAATAGATGCGCTAATTAACAACACGCGAACCAAATCGGATAATAAAATAGTGCCGGATTATAATTTCGATACTTTGGAGCAACTTTTCTTAAAACTTGCGAAATTACAACCAATTAATGTCTCCTCGCTCGATCCTACGACGTCGTTGAACAGCCCCGATACAAGTGCAGGACGATCTTGTCGATGATACAGATCATACACACGCGTTTACGTCGAAGCGTCGGGTTCGAGCGCGCGCGCAGGCGTCGCGTTCCCGCTCTCGCTCGTTCAGGCTTTTCGAGCCGCGTTATCGCACCGCGCCGCGGTGCCTATCAGTGCCGCGAGATCCGTGGTCACGTTTACGTCGTCGCCGAGAATATCCGGACATCATTTCGAAAACGCCTCGTCGCATCTCGACCCGCATTATCGCCCGGTCGCGGCAACCGATAAGCACGAGTCATCCGCCGATCGAATGAGGCTCCGCGATCGTCCGCGAACCGGCGCGACCCTCCGACGCTGGAATTCCACGGCGAGAACGAAGCACAATAAATAGCCTCAAGGTAACGTCGCAGACGCTCGAGCGTTTTCCTGAATGGCACAGTTGTGTTTCCGTTTCGGCGCCGCGTGCCAAAACGCCTTGTGCCGCGCGAAGAATATTTGGAGCAGGATTTCCGGAGCCGCGTTTCCGCGGAAAGTTACCGCCAACTTGGAGTTTAAACGCGGCGATGACTAAGTGCTCGGTGGCGGCGACGTAAGGAAAAACAGTGTGATAAAACTAAGTGCGATACATCTCTATGCGAAATGATCGGAAACGGCGTATGGCGGATACTGGTAGTTCGCACGCTTCGTAGACTGATGGATGGAATTTTTATTTATTTTTTTTTTTTTTTTTTTAACGTCTCCATCGACGCAAAACAAACGCGCTGTCTGCAAAAGGAAACCGGATGTGTCCGTTCGTGCGGAGCCAGCATGGACGCTGTTGTCTCCATACGTGCAGTGCGTTCAGCGTTGAAAGCTCGAGTACTAGAATCATTTATTGAGTAGCCTTTGCGGTTTTCCTTCGAAGAAATTATCATCTTGTGCCGTTCTTACGGTAATCGGTTTGCGGTCGCAAATGGACTTTTTTTTGTTTTCTTGCAACGCGTAATTGTCCTTGCTGCAGCTGAAATCGAATCGGCGCGCGTGGTATTTATGTGAGAAAGTTCGGTAAACATTTCATGCGCTGCCGACATTCCGTCATCCGTGAAGATCGTCATTAATATTTCTGTCCAAAAACGATCGGTCGTTCTCCGTGAACGTGCGAGCGGATGCGATAAAACGATTTCGTAAGGATCTATTTCTATCGCGCTCCTTCTTCTTTTTTCTGCGCGCGTGTGGGATCATTGCGTGTGTCGCGAGTGAGATATCTCTAGTAAGCCTATGCACCGTTATCCATCTCTCGATGCGCATTAAATCAGCATATATTAGTTGAGGTGTGAAGTCGTTACAAGCAACAGGTCGTAACGAGACGTAAAATATTCTGCACACGCAGATCGCCATTTCTTCGCGCGCGGTCGGCCGAGATAAACGCGCTTATATTAAATAAATAGACAGTTATTATTACAATTCCCTTGTGATCGCGCAAAATTATGTGTCGTCACGGAACATTTGTGATTAATTGCAATTACGCGCACAGTGTAAATACAATAATAAACGTAATGAAAGCCTCGGATTATAAGCGGCGTAATTTGTCGTGATTCCAAGTTTCACGTAATTTTGTGAGCGGAAAGCAAATTAATATGGAACAACAATATTTGTTATAAATCATACGTAATTAATTGTAATTTTATTTAATCGCAAATAATGCCAGGCGGTTCTCGGCTTTGCGAGGTGCAATCACTTCAATTGACTTTAATGACATTAAAGCAGATGTAATTTTCCGCGTAATTTTCTTTTTGCCGTTATATAACAAAATAGTTTTAATAAAATAATTTACAAGCGCTACAACGCCTTTATTTGCATAATATATGTCTCATTATAAATGCGTGCACTTGAAAATTCTGGTCTACATAACAAATGCTTTATATTAATGATGACTGGCGATTGTTTTATTCACTTCAGAAATAATTGTGAAGGATGACAAACGAATAGAGCTGTGAGAGTGATACGACGCGGTGAAACGATATGTAACGATATGTAAACTATAGCACGTGGAAAAGTACGCGTCTAAGATAACCGCGATTCTACCTAAACATATATTTACGATTTTCTATTCTAAGACACTAATGATGTCGATTTATCTTTGCGCTCCGCTAGAATTTCAACACGTCAGAGATGTTAATGAACAGACTGTCAATTAATATTAATTTCATTTAGCATACAATAGTGCATAAAAAACGGAAAAGAATGAAAGATTGATGATAAATAAATAGAACAAATTATTTGCAAATATTTTTGAAGATATTTCTAGAAAATTTATGAAGAAAGTCGCGTATTATCATAGATTTTTCTATATTTGGCAAAAATTGATATTTGACGTAAAACAGCTTCCACGTTTTCTCGGAAAATTCACAGAGAGGTGAATGAACCCGAGTACACGACACAGAATTAGTTGAACCACGTCCTGACCGAATTCATGTCGTTAGTCTCGAAATGTACCGGTCTCGTGCCGCGAATTTATTTATAGCATGTTTTAAGCAAAACCGGCATGCCTAGGCTTTCTTTGAATTGTCTGACGCGAAGCCGCCAGACGAAGTATGTGGTTTTTCAAGTTGAAATACCTATCGCAATGCTGAATAATTAAAAATTTCTTTCTAAATCAGAATTTTGACTGTCTTATTAAAATATTACTTATCAAATAATTAACAAAGTGCACATGTGTGCGATATTGATAAAGATACGTGGAAATTATTTTATGTTTTAACAATTAATAGCGTATGACTTAAAATTGTATTGGAAATACACATTTTAAATCTATTCGATTAATGTGCTTTAAAAAGAATTCTAAATTTTAATGCTCTATTTTGGATATTGAGAATTACGCAGATTCTTTTTCATTACTTTATTAAATAATAGTGTAATCTAACATCTAATATTTTGATATCAATATTCGCATATATTAAATATGCATTTTCTTTTTCCTAAACAGGGTCTGAACGGCGATTTGGGTGCCCGTGAAGTTCTCATTGCTGAATTACGTGCCGCCGCCGAGCCTTTGCGGGAGAGCTGCGCCGCAGAGGTCCGCGAAAGGGTCGACGCGGCAGTAAATGAGGCCGTACAAGCTTGGGAAGGCACGAGGGCCGAATTGGATGCCCTTTGCACCCGATATCAGCACGCGTGCAGGCTCTGGCAACAATACAGGGACTCCAGCGCCGCGGTGAAAGTCTGGGTGGACACTCAAATGAATAGCGTGGTGAACTTGCCACCCGAGGAAGCAGTCAAACAGGTCAAGGTGGGTAATACTGACTTAGGCTTTTCACCACTAACACAATTTACACGTGAGGCCCTTACTTCGAAAGTAGTTCACTTTCGAAAATTCTACCGTGCCGCTTTCGGCCACCGAAACGAAAGGCGAGATAAGGAAATCTGTTAAATAGCTGATAAGCATTAGGCAAATAAATTTCTTGCAAACGACGAACATTTCGTAAGAATTAGAACTTTACGTAACAGATTATGTTAATTTTTAATTTTTTAAATAAATATTTGAATGTGGCGTGTGTGTGCGCGCGCGCGCGAGAATGAGAGATTCACATAAAATTTTAAAATTGGTGATTTCTGCCAGATTTCTCTCTACTCTCTATTTTGAAATTCAAAGTACGAACTTTAAATCCTAATATGAGTTATCGAAATATCATTATCTTAATCATTAGAAAAGTATTTGAACAATCCCACATTTCGTATGCAAACACACTTATCGATGAAAGTTAAGAAGCAAAACAATTAAAATTAAATATATTTTTAATTTTTATTGTCAATATAATGACAGATATTTTTTGAGGCACAAGTCAAGCCGACTCAAGCTTATCTACGCGAACAACTGAACAACGGCATTTAACTAAGCATACTCGATAACTAAGTGTACTCAAGATTGTGCGACAGATAATATCGGAATACCTATCAACGTTTATGCTCAAACGCTGGCTCGATGTTTTATTCTTACACGCGTTTCAGGAATTTCGCATATAAAACGATGCAACTAATTCAGCATTTTCAATGCGCGTATTTTTTGTTCACCATCTTAATTTTTTTTACCAATGCAATTAATGAATTTTCTGAATATTAACGTGCAAGGAATGCTAAATATTCTTATAACTCGCATACTCTACACGTTAACATATCGAAACGGGAAAAGTTCTCTCTTCTTCTCGCTCTCTGTCTCTCTCTCTCTCTCTCTCTCTATCTCTCGCGATAACGAGCGAGTCGGTCACGTGCAACAGACACGCTTTCATCCCCTGAATGGAGAACCGTATGATGTCATCGCCCCCACCGTCCGCGCGCGCATACTGCTATCGCTGTAACGATGCTACTGCGACGCACACGAAGGATCCAACAAGAGGTCGACTCATCATCATCGTCACCCCTCGCTCACGCTCGCTCGTGTAGTCACAGGCGTGTCTGGCAGGGGTGGGTCGTCGAGAGAATACGGGGCAAGAGGGCGATCCGCGCGGACGCGCGCATCGATCCCTCGGTAACTACGCCAGTCTGGTCCAGGGCGTTGCGGCGTTTACAGCATCCGACTACGCTTTCGACGCGTGCTCCTTGAAAATCATCTCGGTGGAAACGCGAGCTCCCGTTATCGCTTCCGTCCTTATCAAGGTGATTTTTAAACATTTGCGCCGCATATCTGTCACGCATAACGTGAGCAAACACGCGACTGCGGTGTGTAGATGTGATTGCGTTTGTGTTTATATGACAGTATGCGCGTGTGTGAATGCGCATCGGCGATTCGAACCATGTGCTTAGACGGGAGACTGTACAGCGTCGCACGTGTACGCCTCGTTTCGGAGCGGAGCTTCATAAGGACGCGCGTGAAAAAACAGGAAGCATGAACGACGACCTGGAATGAAGACATGTGCACGCCGGAGGAAATAAAGGTAAAGCGACGACGAGCGGAATGACAGAATGAGAAGCCGTGGCCGTTTGTTAGAGGCTGAAGATTCCTACTGATTATAACAAGGGGACAGAAATAACTTGACCGTCACAAAAAAGACGCGTATACCTCGCATATATAAATATTCTCTCTGAGCGTCTGCGCTTCGATATAAAAAAAAATATAATGAAGCAGTGAGAGAGAACTGAAGTAAATATTAATAGCAAGTTTTTTTTATTAGAGTTAATATGTTATAAAGATTTTTAAAAATTTGGAGAGTACGTAAGAGAGAGAACCTAAGATAGTTTCAAGGTCGTTGAATAAAAATTCTCTGTTCCAGTATTCTTATGATATTAGTTCTTTAAAATTATGCGCAAACACATAGTCAAAGTTAAGTACAGTCAATATTTGTTTCTTTTCACACTAAAATCAATAAATGGAAAACGTAACAGCAGTAAATCTGTTAAAAATCTTATACTAAATTTTTTAAATTTTTATTTATAATTATCAAATATTGAATATAATAATCTATCATTATTTATAATTGATAATTATTGTGCACTTAATATTCAAAATCAAAATTTGAAGTATATTTGCTTTGGTGAAAATAATTTTCTGCAAAATTTCGTATTTCAAAATCTCTACAATAAATATATTTGAAAAATTTTTGTTTGCAGCGTTCATTAACTTTTAATAAATTTAGAAAAATTTTCATTCGCATTTAATGCAATGTAAAATATTTGCCGATATAAACGGAACAAAAAATCCCTATGCTTTGCGTTCTGCAGAGTGAATAAAAAATATGCCACTCATTCTGCTGAAACGAGCGCATTTCATTCGTTCGAATGTGCGAAGGTCTTGCCCCGTAACTGATAATGTATGCGTGTTGTATGGATGTAAAACATTTGTCCATCTGTTTAGTCATTGATAAAAGAGGCTTACAGAAAGATAATACTATTTTTAACCATCCGAATACCTCTCAATTGCTTCGTTTTTATGTTAGAAAAAGAGACGAGAAGATTGTTGTCAGCTTTACCCTTGGATATATTTCATCTTAACGTATGTAGGACAAAGCGAAGTACTATGCTACAGCAAGACATCGAGTAATGGAGATTAAATCGATATCGTATATCGCGTGAACGTGACTACAACTATTCAGGCCTCTTCGGATACGAGTTACGAGTTCGAGTATTTAATTATCGGGATACAGGTCGCAACAGACGTATCGATCTCTCTTGCGACTTCGAGCGCGATTAAGCCGACAAAAAAAATTTTTTGATCTGACGAACATTCATCGCTGCATGGAAAAAGAAATCGACAGCGCGAATTGCAAAAAAAGGAATGCATAAAAGAAAATATTTTTCGCGCCAACAACGTATCTGAAATAATCGCATTCTTCGGAGGGAGATAAGATGCGCTCCTCAACAAAAAGTAAAGTATGGTAATGAGAATTTCGGGAAAGTGTACGGCACCACAGACGTTTTCATGGTAAACTTTGTTTCCATATAGAAGGGGTAATAAATACACACCGCACGTGTCTATAAATACCGATAGAGAGGAATAAACATGTGCTCTCCATGTAGACGACTCTAGATCCGTTCTAGATCCGCCTCGCTTAACTGCATCTTGAGAAGATGGAGAAATCTCTGCACGCGCAATTAATGATTTTATATATAACATCTGATAATTTCATACTAAATATGCGAATTTAAAAATTATTTTCCGGAGCTTATTTTAGAATTCCAGATAACTTATCGTTAAAATGATATACGATTTACGCGCTGGCTGCAAAATGCTCGAATAGATTTCGAAGAACGGCTTCCGATAAATTCGAGCCGGCGGCGCTAAGCTTTGAATATTTGTTTTAGATTTGCGAGGAGACACTGGCGGAGCACAAGGAAAGACTGGCAGAGCTGCGCGGTCTGGTAGCGCAGATCGCATCGGACGTGGGTCTGGACGCCGGTGGACCGTTGCACTGCGAAGTCGAGGCGCTCGGTCAACGACTCGAAGATGTTCGGGAAACCCTGTCGACCCTTGCGGACACGGTGGACGCCCGTGTCCTCAACCAGGAACTCGCGCGCGGCGATCTGTGCCAAACGAAAAATTTCCTGGACTCGGTCCAACAGGTACGTGCTACCGCTCATACCGCAGCTGTTTCTGCTTAACTATGTGCCAGTCAAATGTCTACCATTCCGTAAAACACTCGAGCGTTATGAACGTTATGACGACGTGTAAAGACTTGAGAAAATTGTAGGCCTTTCTTCAATGTAGAAAAAGAAAGGAAATAATTTTTCTAAATTATAATAAGCGAGAAGTATATTTCTCCAGGTTTTTTTTCGGTTGTACATTTAGAAGCGAAGATCGATATAAAATTCCCGAAAATTTTCTCGAGGTATCCGACGCGTCGATTAGCCACCGCGGCACGTACATGCGAGGAAACGGATTCAGGACCTTGGAGAAACGAGACCTTCCTTGAATTTCTCACAGTTAAAACATTTTTCAAGGATCAATGTACACGTATCCCCGATGCGCTCGGGGAACGGTGATCGTTAGGCGTTTTAGGCCGCTTTAGTCTGACGCATCCGTCAGTTCTCGAGCGGCGCACCATTGGTGCTTGGCACAACCTCGATCATCGCTTCGCACGCGCGTTTATATTTTAATCGCGGTAGTTCCGAAACAATTTGTTATGTCAAGGCCGAAGGGCTTAACCCGGGGTGGCAATTACATCAGTCACGAAATCCGCAACAGCTGAATGGCTGCAACACCCGTGTATGCAGTTCCGTCCGCCCGGCGAAAACTTTCGGACTCTGAGAGGCGGCGCCGCGTTTTCAGAATTTACGGGCGCGCATCGTCAACGCCGATCGCAGATAAAGGCGGCGCGATACGATCCTACTTGCCGAAACAGCTTGTATATAACCATCGTCGCGTCGTTGAATCATGTTTCGCACGTGTTTTCGAGGCTGGCGAAAGCAACACTTAACTTAACGGCATCGATCGCGCGTTGCCGCGCCAAGATTCGCGGAAATCAGCGCGCGCGTCTAACGAACACGATCATAATCAAAAGAACTTGTCCGTGTGAATTTTCAGAGTCTGACGGCGGTGGGTCAAGGCGAGTCGAACGAGCAGCTGACGGTGCTGCGGAATCATCTTCTCGCGCTGACTCGCACCGAGCCGCAGCTTCAGTCCATCAAGGATCGCGCGCTGGACGTGTCCGTGCAGGAGCCGTCGGTGGTCGAGGTGGTTCAGCTGTGGCAGCGCGTGTTTCAGGAAACTTTCCAGCAATATCACCGCCTGTCGACGCGGCTGATCCGCTCGCAGGACGTGGCGGCCGCGCTGAAACTCTGGGAGGAATACCTGACGCACGTGCAGGACTTCCTGTCGGGCGGCGTGCCGGGCGACTACAACGGGCTGTCGGAACACCGGAATCTCTGCGAGGTGCACCGCAAACTTCTGCCCGAGCAGCAGAATCTCATATTGACAGTGCGACAGGAAGAGGACCGCGACCGATCGGTCGCCGAGCAGTTCAACGCTCTAACGAATCTGCACAATGAGACGCTGGCGAGGATATTGGAACGGCACGCGGCGGTGCGCGACAGAATATCGGCCTGGGACCGGTACAGAGTGGACCAGAGCAAACTAATGACATGGCTGAAGGAGGTCGAGAGGGAACGACAACGTATGCACCTGCAGTTTATTCACCTGCGACGGCTCGATAAAATTCTACAGAGGATACAGGCGTTGCTGGACAAGCTGCCGGCCGGCGAGGCGCAGATACAATCTCTTCAGGAACAACAAGAGCACCTGCTGACGAACTGCGACGAGGCGCTGGCCGTCTCGATACGCATGGAGCACGCCGCGAATGTGCAGCGCATCGCCAATCTGCGCGCCGGTCTGGAAACCTGGCGAGATTTCGTGCAAAGGGTACGGAAGCTGCACGAGGAGCATGTCGAGCAGTCCGGAGCGATCACCGCGATTTTCCAGGAAGTCGGCCAGACGCTGAGCGCGGCCTTCCACGCGGGACCAACGAGCCTGTCCAGGACGAAGGAGCAGCTGGACTCGCTTCAGAATCTGAAAGCTCGCCTGGCCGAGGCGCAGCGTAATTTAGAATCGCTCGGCGTCGTCACCGAGCAGCTTCGAGAGTGCCTAAGCCCGAGCGACATGAAGACGCTGAATCAACACGACGCGCTTCTGTCGCAACAACACGGCGACCTTGAGTACCAATTAGCCTTGTTAGCGTACAGACTTGGAGAGCGTTGCGGTCTTCACGGCCGATGGGAAAGTAGATTGAACAAATTCTTGTCGTGGATGGACGACGCGGCGAGCAGAACGCAGGAATGCGACACGATGGCGCTGGACGAGCCCGAGGAGACGGTGAAGAGGCTCGAGTGCGAGCTGCAAGCGGAGATGAGCTTGAAGCAGCGCGAGCTCGAGTGGCTGCAGAATACCGGGCAAGAGTTGATCGCGGTCGCCGAAGAAGCGGAGAAAGCGGCGCTGCAGCGATCCTTAGACGAGGTCAACGAGAAGTGGAAATGCTTGATAGCCGGCGGCAAAGCGAGAGCTAACAAGCTGGTCCACCTGATTCAAACTATGAACTTGTTACTGAAGAGAATAGCCGAGCTGCGAACCTGGCTGACCGGCATCGAGGGTCAATTGTCGGAGGCTCTGATAATCGAGAAGCCCACGCAGAGGAGCATCGACAAGAAACTCGAGGATCACGAGCACCTCAAGACCACCATCGAAGCCGAGAGCGGCAGCATCGGCGAGGTATTGAATCTATGCGAAATCCTGCTGAGCGACTGTGACACGTGGCGGGCCTCCTTCAACACGGACGCGATAAGAAGCGGCATGGAAGGCTTGGAGAGACGATGGAAAATCGTGTGCGTCAAGTCCACTGAGCGCAAGAGGAAGATCACGATGATCTGGAAGCTGCTGCAGGAACTAGAGAAGGTCAGATGCGAGCACGAACCGTGGCTAGTCAAGACGGAGACGTCTCTGTCCGATTTGGAGAGCAATATGATCGATATCTCGAAGGAGAAATCGGAGAAAATCATGGAGAAGGCGAAATCGATCGCCAAGGACATCGAGGCGCATCAGAAAGCCTTGAAGATCCTCGAGCAGATATTCGGGCGTCTGGCCAAATCCGGACTAGATCCTGATAATTTCAGATCGCTCACGAGCGACGCAAGGAGGACTATCGACCGATGGCTGGCCCTCGAAACGAGGATCAACGCCATCGTCTCGAGTCTTCAACGAGAGCAGAAGACCTATCGCGAATTCGTGACCACGCACGGCGCCGCGCTGGTAGGTTTGACGCAAGTGGACGTTCGACTGACGCAAATGCAACATCTCGCCACACCCGAGCAGAGATTATCTCTACGACGGAGACGTCAACAGCTGAGCGAGGTCGAGGAGGAACTCGATACTCAAAATGTCACGCTGCGAAAAGCGGACGAGCTGGCTCTGCGCGTTATGCAGGAGAGCAATCCCGACGACGTGGCCGCGATTCAGGAGCTGGTGGACGAATATCAACTGCTGTGGCGGGACATCAAGGCGCGGGTGACCGCGCTGAAGGCCGAACTGGAATCGCAAGAGAGATCGGAGGTCGACGAGGCGGTGCAGGTGGAAACCTTGAAATTCGAGCGGGACACCGCGGTTCAGGTGGACACCCTGCCACGGCTCGTTAAAATGACATCGTGCGACGCCTATCTAATGGAATTAGAGGCTGCTCTGAACGAATGCAACAACGCCCTGAACGCATTGGAAGTAGCGGTGACGCCCGAGCCTGTTTCCGGTCCTGCGCTCAACGCGGCTGCTAAGACTATCGTAAGATTTTTCTCACTTTAATTCCGTGTGTTGTGTATTTTATTTGCATAATCGTTATACGGTTTGTATTTTCAAAAAATTATTCATCTTTTATATAATGCAATGAGCTTAAAATTGAAAAAGTGTGATAAAAATATAATTATTCCACGGAAATATCGCGTTTAAAAAGTGAAAACGAATTAAAAACGGCAAGATTAAATTATACTCTGCAATATTTCGCTGCCTTGAAAATTCACTAACGGCTGATGCGTCTATTGCAGGCTAAATTGATCGGAAGTTGCCAGTCCTCGATAGAACTGGTACGCCACCTCCATAATCTGCTCATGGAAGACGGCAAATTGAGTTTAGGAGCTGCTAAGAGTAGCGAGGTAACGACACTAGTAGCTCGATACGACACACTCATTGCACTAGCAAGAGCACGTGAACAGCAAATCAGAGAGCTCAGGTAAAGTTTCCTTCACGCTCACTTCAATGTTTAGACATTTAGCGTTCCGAGATTTATAATAAACAAAGAGTCCAATAACGATGAGTTTTCGAAATTAATCCTCAACACGTAGCACAAATTTTGTCAAGTTTTTAATATTATAGAGAATATATATTCTACTTTAAAAAATTATTTTAGTTAAAAGATTTATAATGAACGATTTTAATTATTTCGATTTCCGCTTTACGCGCAAGAACTAACTATATTTTACTATTAATTACAGTACTAATATTGTTGTTATATCTAAAATTTCATGATACTTTCTGAGGTTGAAAAACAATATTTATCAATTTATGTGCATTACGTTATTAATTTTTTCATTTAAGACTCAATTTTAACAATACTCTGTACACAATCATCCATTCAGGCGCAATGCTATTTTCGTTAATTTTTTCATGCTACTAACATCCCATAAATAATTTAATGAAATATAATGAATCAACTGTCATGTCATTCATAACGATTTCGCGAAAGCTTGTTCCTCTGTTAAACCTTTTATCTGTTTGCAAATATAAGTACACTGCCCTCCTTAATTGAAATGTCCCAACTCACATTTTTTCGAGAAAAATGAAGATTAAAAGTGCAAAACATATTAAAGTACAAATATAAACAAAAAAACGAAAAATGAGAATTTTGCAGATAGGACATTTTAACCAAGGAGGGCAGTACAATAATAATTGCCTCGCAATAATATTTAATACAGACAGTAATGCTTAGCCAAGCCGATTAAAATAATGCTTATCCCTTATCCCGTACAGATCACCCGTTACCGACGCTTATGCTTTTCCATGCGACCAGTAAGTAAATAATCATATAACAATTAAATTCACGAGAAAATTAATTTACCGTTGTTAATAAGAAACGTTCCCGAAAAGTTCAAAGATATATTTCGAACATTTAACATTTATTATTAAGGCAAAAAGTTACGTTAGTAAATTACACAGCAAATTCTTACAGCTTTTGTAAATATTAATAAAAACACGAATCGTAAATTTTTGCAATTTTTCAGCATGTAAAAAATATATGCTAAATAACGAAACACTTGTCCAATGATAACGGTTTTGACTTACGCGAAATTTTAATTGCGATTATAATTGTTGTAGCAATAGTGGCAGATTGACTTGTCCGCTATGTTCTCGTCGCAACTGGGCTCAGCTGGACAATGATCTCTGGCGTTTAGACAAATGGTTGGAATACGCCGAGGGTACGCAGAGCGAGCAGCACTCGCCGCCCAGCGACATAGAGCAACTCGAAGACGTGATTCAAGATCATCGCGAATTCCTACTGGATCTCGACAGTCACAAGAGCATCGTGACGAGCTTGAACATAGTCGGCACCCACTTGGCCGATCACACCGAGGACACGGAGCGTGCGAAGGAGCTCCGCGATCGATTATCCGTGGCGAACGGCAGATGGGAGAAAATCTGTACAGCTGCCGCGCAGTGGCAGGAGCAGTTGCAGCACACTCTCATGACGAATCACCAGTTTTATCGTATCATAGATGAATTGTTAGCGTGGCTCGAGCGCACCGAAGTCAGTATTCGAGCGAGCGAACCGATCGACCTGACTGAATCCACCAACATCATAGAAGCGAAATACAATAAATTTAGGTGAAGATTCGATCTGCCTTATATTCGCGATTAACCGATGCGACAAATGGAAATACACTTTGAATTTATGTATAGAAAAAAATATAGAATATGAAATATTTTTATATTTTAGGGAATTACGAAGCGACCTGGAGCGCTGCGAGCCGCGAGTAATATCCTTGCAAGAGGCGGCTAGTCATCTTTTAGACGAGCAAACAGAAACCAGAACGCGACTACAAGAATTACGATTGAGACTGCAGTCGTTAAGACGACTCACCGGAATTTACGCGCTTAAATTGGGAGCCGCTCTCGGGCTGGACCCGCGAGACGTCGGTCTCGCCGCTACATCTACGTCTCTCGCATCTCTCTCGCATGACGTAAGCAAAACTATTTACATATGATAAATATATGCCTATTTAAAGCAGCGATCACCGTATAAATTCACTAATTTAATGAATATCGGACTCGCATAGTTTTCAAGTAGATCTTGTGTAACATCGTTGCATTTTCATGCATATGTTAAACATTTTTAAATAGATATTTTATAATTAAACATAAAAATATTTTTTAACCGCGTCAAGTAAAATTCTCGTTTAAAGATGCGTTTAAGATAAAAAAATATTACTCTTCAATCACGTACATTTCTCATGTATATATTAAATAGTATATTTTGAGCATTTTAAAAAGGTTTGTAGATTTGAGTATTTTAAAAAGACGTTTATATATATATAAAATATGTTTAATTATAACGAAATAATATAAAAGTAAATAAATAGCTGCTTGTACAAAATACAAATTCTAAGCAATAGCATATTATTACCATAATAAATTAGACTAAAGGCCATCGCATATAAATTGAAAAAAAATAAGCATAGTTTAGAGATTTCGTAAAATTACTTTTTTGATTAATATAAAAATAAGTTTCTTCAACAAAAATATCGGAAGAAAAATATTTTAGTTTTTTCTCTCTTTTTAATTTTCAACATATCTTTGTAACCAAACTTTGAATTAAAATTCTATAGAATAAAATCTACTTTAATTAATTGAAGAATGTGAATTAATTATCAATTAATTATCAATAAGTTATTATCAATTATTATCATAAATTATAAATATCCATAGATTTTCATTTAAAAAAAAATTAATTCCAAATTAACCAAAAATTCTGCTGGTGAAAATAAAAATAATAAAAAGATTATTCAATAGTTTTTAGGCATTCTGTACCTTAAAAAAAAAAATAAATAAAGCGCATATAAGTTCTAATAAAATAATATGATAATAAATATAATGAATATTATACCAAACAAAATTAAATTGATTAAAATACTTATATTATTCATTACAATACAAATGTTATCGATATTATTAATATTTATATATTTATGACAATTTGTATACGATGGGCCTTTAAATATAAAGAAATCAATTCAATTACTTACCGCCATCCAGCTATCTCTGCCATTTAATTGCTACCAACATATTTTCTCAATCGACATCAACTTCTGATCGAAGCGGTTCCGCTCCAACTTCATAAGAGACGCCGTCCGAGTAGTTAACCAAGCACCTGAAATAATTGAAGAAATCGTTGTTAATTACGATACTGCACATTAATTAACATATTCTAATGATAACTTACTACTTTACTCGATGTTTGAAGTACATATTTTCACACTCGATTCACTTTTGCCGGATATAAAACGCGAAAAAATGCGAAACAATTTCACTTTAGTCTTAACTTGGACTCATTGCGGCGCAAACTGAACCGAATGTGGCAGCGCATGCGCACGTATAGATTCGTACAAATATCCGTACAAAACGGTTAATATTTAGTATTTACATAAAAAATATTATATGTAACAATATTAGACAGAAAGAATAATTTACAGTTATCGCGTCAAGGTCAAAAGTTAATGACAGATTTTTTTACAAAATATTTTTTAAATAGATAAAGGCGTACTTTTTTCACTTTTTTCTAAATACTTGAATTATAATCATTATTATTTATTAACTTTGCCTCTCATTTTTAAAAATATTAATATCTTGACATTTTGATTAGAAATTTTATATTTGAATTTTGGCTAAAAGATTTGCTTTAAATGTTGATGCGGTAGAGATCGTATATTTGAATTTTATAGTTTTTATAATTGTCACCTTTATATATATATTTCACTTGATGGAAATCTTTACTTTTTTTTGTTTCTATATAAGTGTATAGCGTAGATTATCGCACAACTTAGTAAAATCACACGAAATAACTTTTAAAAGCGAGAAACGCTGTCCAATGACCGGAAATGAAATATATCGCAAATTGCATTCATTGGGTGCGTTTCCGCGCGTAAATTATCCGTAGCAATCACTTGCACAGTATCTTATTGTTTGTATTTTCTGTTTTGTTGAACTGTAGCTGCTCGACGAAGCTGCCTCTGGGACTGCTCAGCCTCACGCCACCGGCACAAAGTATGTTGTCTCCTTTTTCCCTTTTCTATTGCAACAATAACTGTTCGATTAGTATTGTAGTAAAACTTTTTATGTATCAGGACATTTTAAATAACAATTATATCAGTACTGCAAAGCGGCGTATGCATCCGGATTCTAATAAAGCTCTATCGCTTATGATAAAATAATATGACTCTCTTCAGCAAGAAACCCCATTTAATTTCCTATCACCGGCCATCTGTTTCAGTGGTGACGAAAGGGACCGAACGGTGCTGGTGCGTGGATATCGCTTCCTGGGAAGAGTCCTGCGAGTTTCTCTCCCGATCCAAGCACTGATGTTACTGCTACTTGGCGTCGCGTCGCTGGTACCGTCTACAGAAGAAGATTACAGTTGTATGCTGTCTAACAATCTCGCCAAGAGCTTCACGCCGATAGCCTTTTATCCGAACGGGCCGCCACCGGTGTAACAGTGAGAGCGATATCCCCGTATCATCATACCACGAATTTGAAATTAATCCTTCGCGCGGAGCACCAACGAGGCGAGGCGAATACGAAGCGTAACGATCGAATATCATTACCTTCACAGCCAGGAGACGGAAAATTCGTACTGCCCTAAAAGCTCGCCTCGTTGATGTTTTCCGTCGACTGCGGCCGCAGTGCGCGCATCGCAGGAACCTTTATATTACGTAGTAATTTTACACACGACGAATTTGTACCTTCTTCAAAAATGATGTAATGGACCAAGCGGTGACTGAGAATATGTAACCGATGAAAACGCATTCTTAATTTATTGTAAACATATTGTATTGTATATCGATCCTACTCCACCAGCGCGAAGTATGCACGGCCGAGTGTATCTCAGTAATCATAGTAAATGATTATCTCGACGAAGTATTCGTTGTACAGAAAATCGGCTGATCCACCTTCGAAGCATATTCGAGTCATATACCGATCTTATACCTAAATCTCACGATGTAAGCGACTGAGACGCTACTCCGCATAATGTCACGCTTTGCGTTCATCACTTTCTGTTGTATAAAGAATTTATTTTCGCCTCCGGACGCGAAACCTGATGTCACGCGGAGTACACGACAAAAAGATGGAAGAAAAAATTCGAATGACGCCTCTGATATGTAGAAAGACACGTGTATGCGTTAAATCTTGTACTAACGCATTCCTATCATATGCAACATTCGTGATAGAGGATCGACATAAGAAATAACTCGCCTAACTTTATTTTTTATACATTGTGTTTATATCGAAACATCACGTTGAATCAGTTTTGGAGAGTCGAATGTCCGGCTCTCTCTCTCTCTCTCTCTCTCTGTCTCTCATTCTATCAACTTAATGTAATATTGCGGTAGTTAATGGTGCTAAGTCAAGGCGTAAAACGACTTCTGTGAAAATAAACGACATAAAAAGAAACATCGATCTGTTGCAATCGTTTTGCTGTTGCGTATTAATATTCCATCAATAAAGTTAAGAGAAGTTACGAACGTGTGATCTATTTGTGTAAATATAATAACAAGAATAATATCAACAACGCACAGAACTAGTGCACAAATCCATGCTGTGAAGATCAAATAATTTTTGATGCTCACCAATTACGCTTTCAACGTTATGAGTTTCCTGCTTGTTGCACATTGTGCTTGTTAATGTATTTTTATAAAGAAAGAGCTTGAAAGGTTGTGTATATTTATCAGTATAATATATTATAAATTTATCTGTAGAGCATACACGATCATTATTCTCGTGTTCACGTCACTTTCCTAAAGCCATCTATTGCAACAAATCTGTATTACAAAATCGCATAATTTTTTCATGATAAAAGCTACTGTTCTGAAAATTATTTATTCTTTATAATACAATTATATGAATTATTAAATTGCAAATGTTATCAAAACTGTACAATATTATTTCGTGATATCTGTGAAAATATACAAGATACTGTCTGAAACAAAAAACGAGTTTACGTGAACTGTTAAAGTAAAAAATTTACACTGTCATGATTCGTCATTAATTAATTTGATTCTTCAGTGTCGTTAATTGCTCCGAATACTCGAGATATAATCTTTGCCAACGAAGATGGCCGCCGACTACGGCCAATACATCGCCCAGTAGTTTATGCTTCCTTATTCCCTATACACACATTTGATATGAAAAACATGAATCAATTATACAATCAAAAATTAACAATGTATAAAAGATATTACCAAAATAACGGGGTCCCACAAACTTTTGGAAGCTGACGTGTGACTTGGGCCCAGAAGATCGTCTAAGATTAGCCTCAAACGTTTCTCCAAACCGTCTAAAAGACATATTGCAAACATTATTCAAAATAAATACAAAAAGACATGATGCAGCTTGCGCACCTTGTGTCAACAAGAATGATACTAAGGCCATGAGCCAGTGAACGTATTCCTGTGCGCTTCCAAGAGCTTTAGACGCGAGCAATTGTTGCTCTAAGTAGGAAATCACGCTTGCTGCGCTATGTGGTAACCGCGGATTTGGCAAAGTATTCCCGGCAGTTCTAAGTAATCCTTCCTGCAGTGATGATAAAGGTCCTCTAGGAGTTCTATTTCCAGAACTGCTCAGCACATTAAATGATGACCATCGCCATATAGGATCTTGGCTGTCTCCAATTAATAGCCACGTTCCTGAAAAAATATTTCATAATCATTATCGTATATAAATGAAAAAAAAAAGGTAACAAGTATGCCATACCCATGTCTTTATGATATACATATGCTCGTGCATTCGTAAACGCTATATGAGGCATCCCGTTGTACAAAGTACATGATAAAAGAGACGTCCCAGGCGCTGCCAAGTGAGCGGCTGACGTTGAAACGATCATCCTGCACGTATTGCCTATTTCCCATACACGAACTGCTCCGCAGCTTGATATCACCATCACCTATCACATTATTTTCATTTTGCGACTTAACACAAGAATGCAGAATAAGTTCTATATACTTTTCGTAAAAAGAATTAAAAGCTTTCTTTGAAAAATCCGATATCAATTGTATAAGCGATAGAAAATGGAAAATTACCGCATTTCCAACAGCGTGTAATTTTGCTAACGGTGCCGGTGGCGCTAATGGTGGTGCTGGCCGACATCCTTTCGCCGGATGAAACGTGTGAAGACTTCCGTCCTCCAGACCCAAAGCTATCACAGCCGGCGATGCTGCCAACGCTACAGCGCTATATCCTAAATAAAGATCCCACGTCGGCTCAGAGTCCGTGCCTCTGAATACTTGTAAATGGGCGAAGCCCTGGCTGTTGGTGACCGTCACGGCGTAATGGCCCGCTTGCTGGGACAAGGAACTGGACGGTTTCAGCGGAGGCAGTAATACTTGACCTCCGTTCCTGTCGGTCACGAACTTAGGCTTTTTATGTAATAAAGAATGCTGTACTTTCGGCGTCGTTTGTTCCTTGCGCTTTAATGTCAGAGAGGATCCCGGAGTATCGATAATGGCAGACTTGACGGATGACGACACATTGGGTGCGACAACGTCGTTGCGCTTCTCTATCACAATCGAACTTTTCGTTTGAACTTTACTCGTGAAAGTTGGTGTGCCTAAACTACCGCTGATATTTGTGTCCCTAAAAAAATTGACATAAGTATTGCGAGATCAGATGTCAAATTCAAAATCGATAAATTTGCAACTTACGTTGTATCTGCCGGCGGTGGAATAAACATAGGTGTAATTCTTCTTTTACCATCTGAAGTCCTTGTTTCAATTTGCTTATTGATAGGTCCTTTAACTGGAGTGGTCGCAGTATTAATGACCGGTGGAATACTTGGAGCAGATGGAACCTGAGGAGTTAGATTTGGTGCTGGTGGTTTTAAATTGAGCAGTTCTGGTGCTTCCATCACCATACAACCTCCTTGATTTGCTAATGGTTTGCCATACAATCGTTCATGGAGGCTACTCTATAGACGCAAGAAAAAAAATCACGAATTACGTAAAGTATATAAAAGTGTTGAAAGCTGCAATTACATGTATAATTACTTGTTCAGCAGGATCAAGAGGTTGGCCTAACTCCTGTTGGGTGAATTCAACAAATACAGCTGTTCCATCCCAGGAACAGGCAGCAAGACGAAGGCCACATGGTGACCAACTAGCATCCAGCACAGAGTGTGTAAATAATTCATGTATTACGACTAAGGGTCTTTTCAATGATGTCAACCATACAGATAACGAACGATCTCGTGATCCTATAGCAACACAGCAATACTGTTGTGGCTTAGAAGAACCTGGCTGCTTCTTTTGCAGAATGTTGCCATTAAATTTCTACAGAAGAAAAAATTATATGTATACTTGTACAAATACTCGTAAAAAATTATATGCAAATTTAACACTTAAATTCCAATAAAAATCTCATTTCTAAAAACAAAATATTATCAGTACGTACAACACAAGTTACTGCTTTTCTATGTCCAACAAAATCTTTATCCTGCGTCCAGCCATCTCTTTCTATTATTTGCGCTGTAGGTCCTCCTCCATTCATGGCATGAGCAGATACTAAATACTGACCATCTGGACTCCAGGAGAGTCTCAAGACATGAGTGGTCCCACCGCATTCGTCAAAAGGTTCAGATATTAATGCTGCTTCTGTCCAATCTGTAGTGCGCCATACCCTTAATGTTTTATCATCAGATTGAGATGCTAAGTATTTTCCCACAGGATCCCAGGTAATCCCTTTCACAAAACCTGTGTGGCCCTTTAGAACAGCAACCACAGCAGGAAATTTTGAAGCATCCCATACGATAACACTGTTATCTACGGAAGCAGAAGCCAACCATGGGTTATGTGGAGCCCATGCGAGATCAAGTACATCAGCTTCGTGTGAGCGCAATGTTGCAATGCATCTCCAGGTTTCCACACTGGATTTGCCACCAAAAATAGAACTTCCTCCTGATCCGGATAATCTCCAAATCATAATGAGCTTGTCTACACCACCAGATGCTAATAATCCACTATTGCTCCATCTTACACAATTTACACACGCTATATAAAAAAAATAAAATATATATTCTATATGCTCCATACATTAGTTTATAATAAAGTAATTCAAAATTAAGTAAACTTTTACCAAGATGGTTGTCTAATTGGCAAAGCATTTTTGGTACATTAGAATCCAACTCAGCAGTCTCATCAACTACTGGCTCCATGTTCCAAATAACAACCCTTCCAGAATCACCACCTAGAATCAAAATATAATAACAAGAATAAAATTAGTATTATTAGTAAGTATTATCTTCATTTTATAACCATTAATATTATTTTCACTTTACACATTACATTTTTACTTTAAACCAAAATATAATTAATATTATAAAAATAAATATACCTTGACCACCAGTGGCAAATCTTTTCCCATTCGGATGTATATCTATGGAAAATATTGGGTACCCTAGTGAGAGAAAAAAAGATTAATATAAATCGTAAGAATCACAATTCATGATATCATACAAAGGCAATAAATAATACAAACCATCATGAGTAACCCAATTCGGTTTGACCAGTTTCATTCTTTTCGTTGTATGAGACTATGTAATTATCACAATTTAATCAACGATCCTTAGATCTGATTACATCTTTGATCTGTAATCTCCATAAAAAACATGCCCCCGGCAGAATTTAAAAATTCGCACGACATATAACCTCACTCAGTATACACAAAACATGTCGCCGATACTGCACTTAGAATAATGGAAGATTCATACCGATTCACATTGCGTTAGCACATCACATGCCAACAAGATACATCTTTAACTAGTGAAGATTCGAACCTATTTAATGAAGATTCCTACTTTATTTAACGATGATAAGAAATTTGCTCAACGGATAATTAAACTTCTTTTAGCAGAGACCTTCTTTTCTTTTTGAAAGCATATAACATGGCTGCACACGTCAATTGACAGTATTGGATTGCATTGAAGGCATGTTGAGTGCTCTTTTTGCGAATACAACAGAATAACTAAGGTCATAGCATGTGTACATCAATGTAACTTGTTCAAATTTGTTCTTTTTTTAACACTATGTAATTTTCTATAATAAGAGAAAAATGTGATTGTTTTTAATGTATGTGGAGATATTGTGTGTTTAGTAAATAAAATATGAACCAGTGTGAAATGCATAGTGAAAGTGAGGAAGGAGAAATAATCTCAGACTTTGAAGAAAATTTTACAGAAGAATTATGTAATTATCCTCACATATTAAAATTTATACATAAACTGCAGGATCTTGTTAAAAGACAGCGAAAGAAAATCAACAAACTACGAAACAAACTCAACGAACAGGTATATTTTTGATTAAACTAATATTTTTTGTGGATTTTATAATATGAACTCCACACACATTTGTCATATATATACTTATCAATACAACTCAATTGCTCTTTTAATATTCCTCTATTATAAATTGCAATGTATTATTTTTTAGAGACAACAAAACTTACAACCTGCAAAGACATATGTAGATTATGGAACTCAAACGGATTCCTGTGATCCTGACAAATCATTATCACAAAATTGGGATATTAGTGACAATGTTAAATCATCTAGTATAGTAGACCAAGTGAAGCAAGTAGCAGAATCAGTTTTATTACAGACTGGTTTTGTTTACGAGCAGACATCAGGAATGTATTATGATTATAACACTGGATATTATTATGACACGGTACGTATTATACTTAATAAACATTAAAACTTTATATATCAAATGCTATTTTTTTTCTTATGAAATAAAAAAATCAACACCAACTTATAGAAGTAATGTTATTTTAGCGACAAGGTCTATATTACGATGGAAATACTGGAACATATTACTACTATGACGAGACTAGCAATACATACAAATTCCACAGTCAAATCTGTGCGAATGGCGCTTCTAACCTTTCCATCTCTCAAAAGAAAGAAGAACAGAAAACTGGGAAAACACACAAGGTTGCAATTCACAAAATTGCTGCTATATATTTTAACATTTACTTTTGCAAAGATGTATTATATTTGATATAATACTTTCAATTGCAGGTTTCAGATGAAGTAAATGAATTAATAAAGGGTCTTTCAAATATAACAATTTCAAGATACAGACAACAAGTTTTAGGTAATTGTCCTAGGCTTTTAATATGCATACATGTCTCTCTTGTAGGATGACGTAAAAAAACGAAAATTTGTAAACGAAGAAGAAAACTCCAAAGATGTAGAACCTGAGGAAGGTGAATGTTCAGAGAGCGAGAAAGATGATGGCATTTCTGATGAAATTACCCCTGATATATCAATTAATAGCGAAAGTGACCACGAAGAGGAACAAGGTTGATTGTTTATATATTTATTTCTTTTTCTTTTAATTTTATTTTTTAGGTTATGATATTATGTTACCATTTCTTGTTATAAAGTAAATAATAAGTAAGTAAATGTTTAAAAGTTAATAATATAAACTTTAACAATTTTTTATTATATTTAATTATAACATTATTTTATTGATATTAATTTTAAAATTGATATAAAAATGATATAACTGTGATATATCATAATTTAAAAGTGGTTAATACAATTGCATTTTACATTGTTTTTATAAGGGTATAGTTTATCACAGAAATCTCGATAAAGTTTCTCGCTGCTGACTTTATCGATTCTAAATTGATTCATTCAAAATTTTGCGAAAAACATTAATTGTGAAAACAAGAATGTTAAATTATATTCTTGTGAAAATAAAATTGGTTCTATGAAATTTCTTTAATGAATAATTCATATAAAAAAAACTACATTTTGATGCACAGTTTAATTGATAAGAGATTGCCAATGTTTATCAGTAAATGTATGTGGATCTCAGACTCAAATAAGATTTTAAGATAACTTAAAATTAATAACATATTAATATGTTATTATAATTGAAATATTTTAATTTTAGATTTGGCGAAAAGTTATCCACCATGTATACGGATTATTGTTAAGGAAACAAATTTAGCGAAATTAAAAACGGGTTCTCTTTTTCTTGTAACATATACGGGTGGTTCGTTAGGCCGCGAAGGAGATCATTCGGTATTGATACCGGATATAAATATTAGCAAGGTATGACTAAAATATTGTTGATATGTTATTATCATGACATTAATATATCATAATTGTATGTGTTTACAGCATCACGCACGCTTTTCATACGACGAAACTAAGAAACAATATCAAATGATAGATTCTGGTTCGAGAAATGGTACGTTCTTGAATGGCAAAAGATTATCAGTAGCTAAGCAGGAATCCGAGCCTCATGAGATAACACATGGCTCGGTTATAAAAATCGGCGAGACAAAACTGCTGTGTCATATTCATAATGGGAATGAAACATGCGGCCATTGCGAGCCAGGTCTTATTCAACAAAATATCAACCTTGACGAAAATAAAGTTTCAAAAAAAGAACTCTACAAGGAGGAGTTACGCCGTTTGAAATATAAATTTGGAATTGAAAAGAATAATGTTTTGTCCGGTAGTCAACTAGCTTCCGGTTATCAAGATAGAGCGCAAGCTAGAAGACAACATGTAGGTTCCTTGCATCACCATGCTAAGACACAGCAGAGTTCTATTCACACGTAAGTATTGTAGCATTTAAGTGAAACAAAAACGCACGCGTTATGTATAAAATATAAAATTCTAATAAAAATATTTATTTAATTGCAGATCGATCACGAAAGATAATAAAGGATTCAAATTACTTTCCAAAATGGGTTGGTCGGAAGGTCGTTCCTTGGGCAAGGACGGAGACGGAAGAACAGAACCTGTAAGTCTTTTTCTTGCCATTATTTTTTTTTTAATTGTCGCAGTAACGTGCAAAATTTTAATGTTTTTTTTCGCATTCTCCGAGTTCTCTTTGCTAGATAATCAAAATTTTATTACGAGAAAGTTGACTCGAAACTTATCGCAGAATTTCTCAAAAGATGATCATATAAAAAAATGATCATATAAAAAAATGGTAGATAGTTCGCTTACATATATATATTACATATTAATTTGTCATAAAGAAAGGACAAATGAAAACGGCGATAAATAAGACTCGGCCGTTACTCTGCGACTCGAGCTTTAAATTGTGTACCAAGTACGTCTAATTTAGCACAATCCAGACTAGACTGTGCAGCGCACACGTGCGCTTGAAGAGGAAAAAATAAAGAGAAGAAGCGGATACACACTCGACTCATTAGCCGGGGCGGTCGCGGGAAATCCGTGATCTCCCCTTCCCCCCCAACCCTACCTTCGGCCGCACCGCATCGTACCGATCTGGTCCTGGTTGCCCGCCCGTCCGTGTCGCATTTCGACGGCGACGAAACGAGCGCCGTCGGTACGAGCAGAGCATTCGTATGATAACGAGCGTAACTCTGCGAAACGCGGAATGGCAAAAGAAGAGCGCGGATCGCGGGCCGTGACCGGGGGAGAGGTGCCCCGGGGTAATGAATGCAAATGTATTGAAATCCAAATCATTATTTTGTCTAGACGCATCGTATGCCCCATTGCATACGCCGGAATACAGTCGGCGGTGGTGCTTGTGCGCGTAAAAGGATTAAAGGGTGGGATAAGGGGACTGTTATTTTCTCTCGTCTATACTCTTGTCCACTGTCGCCTCACCACCCATTTGCTCGTCCTGTTGTCCCAGCGGTCTCCTCCCCGTCCGTCTTTTTTGTCAAATTTGTCCGCCGCTCTAACCGTTGCTTCCGCTAGAGCCGCTCGCGCTTTTTGCTCGTAAAATACAGTCACTGTTAAGCGACGGCCGTATTTTCTGCGCAACATCCTTCACGGACTTTTCTGATTTTCTTGCAAATGAATAATATGAAACAATTCGAATAAAAATGCCGAATAATAGCGCACTTGAACCTCTATATTTTGAAAATTTAATTATCAATTATCAAAAATTAATTGTCAAAAAATGCAGTTTTATTTGTCGATTATTTCGTATCTAGCAATTTTGTTACATATTGTTTTCATTGTTACATCATTTTATACTTCATTATTTTGCCTGCTGCACGAAATATCTCGTTTTATTGATTTTTTTTTATTGATTTTTTTCAGACGTAATGTCTTTCGGTGGGTTTTTGCTCATAAAACATCACACTTTCAGACAATGTGATATTTTATACATTAGACGTTCTTGCAGACGGTCGTTGGTTCACGACCGTCTTGGTCCAACTTTTTTTTAATACAATTGAATGCGATGGAGCGAACAAAAGACATGAATATCGATCCTAAAATAAATTTCAAACAAAGTTTGCGTCAGGCGCCGCACGCTCGAAAACTAGAAATATTAATGACGTCAAGTTTTCTTTCGTTTTATTGTATAAAGAACTAGTAAAATTTAAATTATATACCGGCAAGATTGTTATATTTTCCCTCTTTCTTTTAGTATCAAATAGCATATGATTCGAATCTCCACCTTGTTTATAAAATGTTCGACTTTTCTCATCTTCCCCGATGTTTTACGATTGCAAGAAAATAAGAACTAGATCCTACATTCTTCTTATTTTCAGGGCTTTAATCTTACTATCGTTCCGAACTGAAAGATCTAATCCTGCAAAAAAACCTCGCCGGGAAAAAGTTTTGATTCACCCTCGTACGTCGATCTTATCCGGCGTATTTCGTTCACTGTCGCTGTCGTAGACAGTCATTCCGCTTTTACATCGGATTCGTTTTTTTACGCGTCGTCTTTACGCGCGACGCTCACGCAGTTGCAGTCGCGCGTAATACCCGCGCACCGTTTCTCGAATACGCTTCGCGGAGATGTGACCTATATCGTAAACAACAGAGACAGAGGAGGAGGGACCCACGGGCGCAAGAAACGGAAGGAAAACACTCGTTGGGAGACGATGCGCGTTGAGAGCCCGTAAAACAGACATTGTAAAGTTCGCGAATGGCGATTGCCAGTAAACCGCGGGAATGCGGTAGGCATAAAAGCGTGGAGGTGGGCTTAACGCGGCCTACGTACGCGAAGCCGCGCTATATCTCGACGTGTAAAATCTCGGCGGATTCATTTACCTAAGTGCTTTATATCGGGCGCTAGTGTATTATATAGATAGCAAATTACGATTCTCCACCGCGCGCGACACGCGCGCGGATAAATGTATTCATTCGCGCTACATTGTGCCGAACGTTACCGCGACGATTGCGCCGTTCGTCGATGACAAAAATTGCACCAAGCGCGCAGATTGATCAGAAAAATCAGCGGCTATCTTAATACGAAAGCGCTCGGCTGTGCGTCAAAATGGGCGATGATCGCGAAAGCCAACATCTCTTATCTACTCTTGTCTACTTTATTGAGTGCGGCGGCTGCACGATCTCGGAATTTTACGCATAGACCGCAATCAACACTTGTAGCGAATGCGCGAGTCGCAATGTAATCGCGAGCTGCATCCGGAAACTGCAACGATTTCATTTTATAGACGTCCCTGAATATCGACTGCCGTGGAGCCATTTCACGGATAAGAGCGCGGGCGCGTGTGCAACACACCGGCGCGCAGCGCGGTCCCTTTTACGATTTACATTCATCTCCATATTGCATCTGTTCGCGGTTTACAATCGACGGCGGGAAAAACTTCTCGTCTGATTAATGACACGATAAATAATTTCAATCCTATCAATCGTCTCCCCCCGCGGCTGGGGGGGGGGTAATAAGGACCTCCTCGTGCTTCCATAAAACGAATCCGCGCGGAAGCGGCATCTTCGGATTTTTCACCGCGGAGCATAAATCGGGGCCGCATGCAAATACATCTATGAAACGAACGCTGATTAATGGAGGAATGTGGAGGCTGTTTGTCGAAAGGGAAGATATATTTTGCAAAACAATTCGCTGCGCGACAAGTCGGCTATCGAGCAAGATAGAATCGGTTAATTAATCTACCTTAACATTAAACTTGTATCACTGTTTGCGGGAACGGTCCTTAGTTATATGCTTGTTTGTAGGCGATATCTCGGCATTAATTGGAACGGAGAGAGATGTTTTGAAAGCACTGCTCTTGCGCGCGCGAGTGCAAAAACAACGGTGGAACGTACACGAGTGTACAATTCGCTCTCCCTCTCTCTCGCCGCTCTCGCTCCGCGGATTTGTTCGCGAAAACTTGTTGTTGCCATTCACACGCACACGCACACGCGCGCACCTCTTATTTCTCCGCTTATTTTCTTAGTGCCGCGCCGTCTATTTATTCGCCGTACCTTTTTCTTCGGACGAAAAATAGCGATAAGAAAAATAAGAAGAAAAGAAGGATTTGCGCAGCGGAAGCTGACCGCGAGATGTGCATAAGCAGCTCCGCCGCGGGCATTACGATGGAACGCAAGGTCGTTTCGATATTACGTAATACAGAAAGGTAGAGACTGCAAGAAAACGCTAAGGATCAGGCTTGTTCTATCCCCCCCCCCCCCCCCGATTGTTTCGACAAGTCCGCGTCGTCCGGCGCACTCGTTCAAAGCTCTAACAAACGACCGTCGAAGAAAATTGATTAATTTTTGTAAGCAAGAATATATTTTTATTTCTATTTTACCGCACTCTTCGTCGTTATCCGCGCATCGTGAATCATTTCCGTCCATTTTATGCTTTGTGGAAGCGTGTCCATTTTATATGCTTTGTGAGCGCGGAAAGCTATAGGATCTCTATAAATTTTCATCTTGAATTATGTTTCTATTAGGAGCCATCTGAAATAAAATAAAGCCGCGATTTTATCGTCAAAGAATCTCACAATGTAGATATTTATGTCTATATTTACTGTTCTTCGCGGTCTGCTATCAGGATTTAATCCAAGTGGAAGAGAGAATGTTTTGAATATATTACTCGTGAAAACAAGGCACGTATAAAAGCAAATCGCAGATGTTGATTCCCGTGCCTTCGATTACTCTACGATAACTTGTTGTTGCCATTCATCTTTCCTTCTATCTTCTTATTTGCCTCCTGTCGTCTATTTATTCGCTGCGCCCTTTTATTTTGGCGACAACGAAAACAGCGCTAAGAAAAAGAAAAAGGCAGAGGTCGTAAATGCTCATCGCGAGAATGCTTGCGATCCGCGCCAACCGCAAGAGCGAACGGATTTTCAATGTTATCCTAACGCTATTTTTGCACACAATCTATCGAAATAATTCTACGTATTCTGTTTCAGTAAATGGTATCAATTTCGTAAGATTTACCCGAATAATCATTATTTTATCTGCCCTAAATCGATTTATTTATAAATCATTTAAGCTTCGAAAATTCTTGATTAATTAAATGCCAGTATCTTTCCAATAATTTCTATCAATAGCAATTCGATCTCAAATATCACCGTTAAATTCCTCACTCCAGAGAGCAAAAAATGCAAATGTATATTCGTATATATTATTCCGTGTATGAGAATCAAAGAGCGCTGAGGAAGAATTGAAGGAATAAGTGATAATGCGTGAATTCGATGATACGTTAATGGAACAAAAGAATAAGATAATAAGGCAAAACTGGATGAAAAGAGAAAAGAGGAAAAATTGGAAGAAGAAAGAAAGAGGGAAGAGAGGACTTTTGGCGGCGCGTTCGGAAGAGACAGTTGCAGGAGGCAACAGGTGGGAAACTACAGAGTCACAGATAAATCCACACAAACATCGCCGCTGCTTAGATATATATTCGTTGACTATCGCAGATATTAATGCATTCTTTTTTAATGTATATACTACAGCTGGAAGAGTAAATGAAATGATCGGAATGCGAGCAGAGGGAAAAATTGGCAAGAATACAGTAGAGCGAACAACCCCGTCAAATCGTCAAGCGTCAGAAACTTCGCGGATATCGTTACACATGATTCTGGAATGCAAATGTATCGAACTTAATAGTTACAATGGATAAATTAGATTACTGGACGACTGCGATCTTGTTTTTTTTTTTTTCGTACAGCACTTTGATAAATTTCTGCACACAGTCGACGAAAATTCGAAGCAAGCGGTATAATTCACAAACTTTTAAGATATTTGCAACGATTCAATGTTACTCCTTCACACGAGGGATTTGAAAGGAAAAAAATCTCCCTTACGTTGCTGCACCTGAATTTTCGGAGGTCGCGCGATATCGCACGGAGAGACGCTCGTGAGATGGCCTTTGAAGATATCAGAAATTTCAAGCACGTATGGATCTCCGGCATTGAAGATGTGGGAGAGTAAGGATCATTTTCTGCATGCAACGCGAGATCTAACGGCACGACTCTCCGGGGAGGGACACGCGGGGACGGAGCGAAATTAACCATAGCACAGCCAGGAGGAAACGGACGCGAGTGCATAATTCTGTGCACACAGGAGATCCGTATACACGTGTGCACGTATAACCGTAGCGTCGGCTTAACAGTCGACATTGCCCGTGCGCATACACGTATACCGTTTGTTTGTATGTCGGTTGTCCGTAACGTTAGTTAGCTAGGAATATACAATCCGGTCAGAGCGGTCGATTGGTCTAGACGAGATGCGTGTGTATACGACCGCACGGCACACGGTGGCCGAATAATCGTCCGGTATCGACATACAAATATGTACAATAAGAGATTTATTAATTACGGCGCGACGCCGGTGCGCGCGATACGTCTCGATTAACAACAAGCCGTGTGACGCTGGAGCGCGCCATCGAAACAGACGCGGCGGTGCAACGCGACGCGACGGAGAGAAATGTGTGCACGATGCACGATTTATGCTTTCTTACACATTCCTTGTGTTTTAAATTGAATCGCGTATTCTGCATCCGCTTTTTTATCCATTTCTCTTGATCGTCTTGATTCATCGCGTCAGTATTTAATTTCGAACGCAAGAGGGCTCGAGATACGCGGTAAATAGAATAATAACGTTGGGCATTTAATGTTATTGAATTGACAAACTGCTGGGCGACGATTCGTTTGCTTTTTACGATCAAGTGCTGCTGATTTGCCGTTTTCATACACACGTGCACCTTTTTAATGGTTTAAGTAGAGCCGACGTATGAACCGTGCATACCGCACGGGAGACGTCGTCGGTTGCCCTATCGCCGCCAGACGGCTTCCGTCTGGGTAAACACACCGATATACCGAACGGTCTGGCCGGTAGGGCTTACCGACCACCTAGGGACATCCATCACAGGATTATCGCGGGAGGTGCGCTCGCGCGCGATTAGGATGTGTGACGCCTGTGTATGCATGATCGGTATGCATAAACCTCTGTCGTGTACCTCGTCTGCGTCCACATCTACGTGCTGAGCGTATGGCCGCTGTCGGTCCTGCGCTATATTTTGCCCGTGCGCTAGTTACTTCCGAATTATTCCGGGCTATTGTCCAAACAATACGTTTATCGTATTAACATTATGCGGTGAACGAGCAGAGGCTTCTAATATAAATTCCATTTTAATCCATTTTCGACGGAGAAAACGAAAATTGCCTGTCTAAACGAGCAATCGTTGGCGAATCATGTGCCTACCAATAAGTTGGTGCAATTGCTAAAGATTGATGCTCAACCGTGCGCCTTTATTTTAGCTTACATCAATTCCGTGCAAACATTTGCAATTTGACAAACGTAAGATTGGCGATTCCGATGTAGCCGGTTGCAACAGTTGGAGTCAAGTAACCCCCAGATTTTCTTATTTTTCGTTATTTTATTTCGTACAATTTCGGCACAAATCACGACAATATTCTTAAGAGATCCATCTATGCGACGACAACTCTTCGGATTAAATCTACCGATTGAACAAGTCTAGTCTTTGCTGCGAGAAGCCATTGACATGTCTGAAATTCGCTCGCGAGACGATTCGAAATAGGATTTTCTCGGCGGAATCGCGTTACTCTCTCCGGATGTTTCGGGAATATTTCGATCACGACGAATGCGCAAGGAGGGGGGGGGAGGGGGAAGTATTAAAGGAGGAGGAAGAGCTTCGGGGGACGTTTATATTTGAGAGTCGCGGCGCGGTGCAGTCGACGTGTATTCGGAGATAGCGGAGGTGGAGGAAGAGGCGGCAGACGGCGGCGGTGGCAGACACACTGGCAGCGTTGTAAACGAGCAAAGTTTCGAACCCAATATGCTGTCTCCGCGTTGGAGCCCATATTCAAGCTGTCAAGGTGCGGCGCACGTGCGTCCACGTCGCTTCCCGGTATGCCAGACGGGTAAACCGGGACAAACTTTCAAACTGGCACAGACCGTCTGGCACCCTACCACCGTCAGAGAACCCGCGAATTCCTAATATGTTATTGTACGTCGGCACCGTTTTGTTCGCGCGCGATCGACCACCACGCCCGCGGTGGTGTCTGGGTTCTCGACCCAGGAATTTCCTTCCTCTCTCTCTCTCTCTCTCTCTCTCTCTCTCTCTCTTTCTCTTTCGCTGCCTCTTTCTCTGTCCGAACGTATCGAAAGTTTTCCACCGCCGACGCCGGCCTGGGTTAATCGCGCGGCATGTATAATACATTCCGTCGCGCGCGAAAATAAAACGGCTTCGCCGAATACCGATAACTCTGACGGGGCGTATCGTATTCCCCGCGTCGTTTACATTTTTTTCACCGGCCTAATTGGCGCATTGCACCCGATGGCGACGCGTCGCGATGTGCGTGCCCCTTGCCCGGCGGCGGCCATTGCCGATGGAGTTTCGTGCTTTCGCGCCCTACGCCGTTCACGCGCTCACACACACACGCGCGCGCGCTCGCGCACATACGATGCATCGACGAATCGGCGTACGCATACGCATTAAACGCGTCTGGGGTTGAACGACGAATTAAGCGAGAGAAGCGCGGGAAGGGCAGGGACGTACGGCAGACGTCGCGACATGTCTGCACCATCTAATCGGTAATCACGGTGCATTGCCTCCGCTCGGCTCGATGCTTGGCCGTGTCGCTCAATCAGCCGGTGTGGCCTATTTGCCTATTTTCTACCCTCCCACCTTTTGCCCGCGCGCCAGACGAGACTGTCAATTTATGCAATAGCGTTCACGTAACATCTGCACCATTCAATTCGGCAAGCTGCAACCTTTCGGCTCCACACGCCACGCAGAGCGTGAAATCCCTTTGAGTGAATTTCTATTCGATAAAACAAGCCCTCGAGAGAATAACGTAAATACACAATTTTCTTTGCCCCCCTCACAAAGCGTCACGATTCACGTATTTTTCCGATAATCCCAATAAATTTTCGGGGGGAAAAAAGTGGAGAACGTTGAATAATTTTTATCTCCGTCTCGATCTTCGACGTATATAAACAATGAAACGGTTAATATTGACGTTTCGCCAGCTATTACGACTAATTTGAGCTTCCCACTTCTGTTAAACTTACGAAATCTGGGTCGTGCTGCTGGAACAGGACAAAATAATTCAGTGATCCGATGGTGGTGCGACGGCGATCCGGCGGGACGCTGTTTAATGAATATTTCACACCGCTCGTCTTTTTGCCATAGTTTACTCCGCCATGCAGACCTCCCTAATATCGTCGGCCCTCTCCCTGCGTACGACTGATAATTATCCCGATTGATGGTCTCGAAATAGCTATGACTCGAGCGCGATAAATAATCCGAATATCCTCCCTTTCGGGGCGAATCGTTGATCCGGCGAGTAATTCAGTTAAGTAATAACTTTAGACTTCGCCACGGTCGATGGCCTGTCGACATATCGCCTTTACAAGATTGGATTAAGTCAATAAATTGTTTGTAAATACTTGTCAATGAATGACCGGCTCATCGGAAGCAATTAAAGCTGAAGTCGTGCGGCGTCAGCGAAACCGACACTAATGAACGCAGCCGTCTTCCTACAAATGGATTCCTCCGTCTGGCCGATGTTGGCCGTAAATGAGAAAAAGAGAAAACGAAGCCCCGGCGAGCGAGATATAATATATAAGTGGTCTAGACAATCCAGACGGATGCATCATCGCTATCATCAAGTGAGAAAGCGAAACTCGAGTTGAGCCTTTTCGCTCCTCGACATCTCGTAAGCTCGTCAATCGAGTAACGACCGGTCGTTTTACGTGCTCTACGCTCGTCACACAGTTGTCGTCAATATGAATTCTTCGCGTTCCCGTACACGCGATTCGTTAAAAGAGAACCCGCAAGTCCCTTAACGTTGCGTCAAAGAGCGGCGAGAAACTCGAAACTGTCATGTACATGTCGAGACCGCGTAACGCTAATTTCCGTCCAGAAGTGTGCAATATTAAAGGCAAATAGAAAATATTAAAGCGAAATATACGTCTGGCAAAAATCTGTCTGGCGACTGAGACGCGATAAGAGCGTGGAGGAAGCGACTCTTTTCTCTCACTGTTCTTTCTCTGTATTTCAATTTTTGTCTCTTCTTTTCTTGGCTAAGTAAGTCAAGTAACGATGCTAGCAGATACCGGATGGGAGATGGCACTTGGCCCAAATACAGTCGAAGAACGACGTTCCGCCGTGTTTCCGCGAGAGAAACTGTTGCGCAAAACTAAAAATGTAACTTCTTTCTCGGAAAGCACACCTTTCCGCGATAAAAATTGTTCAGCTTGACAAGATTTAAAATTGTACAATATGTTAAGTAACAGGAGAATCGCTATTTTTGTTACAGTTACCAATCGCCTGCAATCACAGCAAAGGCGGTCTTGGTTCGAGCGAAGCGGATTTTCCTAGTATCGAGCTGGATTCGAAAGTGGAGAAGAAACAGGCAGTATGGCGAAAAACTCAAAAGCGCTATAAAGAAATAGCGGATTGACTCGACAAATAATTTATTCGTCACGTATAACCGCCTAGTCACAAATTGTAAAAATCTGATTAACTTTCTGTATAATAATTAATATTAATATTTTAAAAAATTAATAAAATGAAAATAATTTGTACAGTCCTATAGCAAAATGCAGTCACAATTAAATATGACTCACAATCAGTGAATCCATGTTTCACTGCACATATTTATTAAATAATGGAAAATCTATTTTTTTATCATTGATAAAAATTAAATTGAGATTTATCGGGATATTTGTTATTGGGGATTTATATTCTTAATAATATTTAATGTATTTACTCGTACTTATTCGTTCTATAAATAAAGACAATTGTGATCCCTTTTGCTGAAACGATGGTAATCTGATGATTATCCCTACCTCTTAAGGAAAAGATTTATTGAAAGACGCAGTTTTTCGGCTTTGAGTCCATTACGTCGGTACAGACGGAGACAAAAGGATATTCGATAGTCGACGACGAGACACGTCTTCATAAAAAAAGAAGAATCAAAACGTTACGTTACGCTGAGAATATTCGGAAATATCGATGACTAATTTCTAGTCGTTCTTTTATTTCTTGCGAAAAAAAAAATAATTTTATATCATTGAATAGAACAAATAGCTTGGCGTTAAATTAGTTTCTTTGTTCTCGCCGTGCATAGATTTTATTAAGTTTATAAAAATGGCAGTTTTTAGCCGCGGGGGGGAGATGACAAAAAGATGATGATCAGAAATCTCGCGGAGCGAGTCTCAAACTAAGTCACGAATTCGACCGTTGCTCGGAGAAACCAGCGCGATTTTTTACCGAGGTAGAAATTGCTGATTTCGCGGAATTGTGTTTCAGCTTAATTTACGTTACATAAGTGACCTCGTGGACGCGACAAAATCTCGGTGAAGGCCGTCTCGAGGCAAACTCGTTGCCCTTTTAGCAATAAAAACGATATTTTACGTACTAATTTGCTTCTTGTAATTTATATTACTCGTATCTTCACTTTTCATTACAATTTATATACGGTTTTGCAGTGCATTTATATACGGTATTCCGCGTTCGAAATGATTTCACTCTCTTTAACGAAATCTCAGTGGAAAAATTCACAGCATTAATCGCATCGATGATTTTCTCCTCTGATAGTAATGTAAGTTGGGTCCACGACAATGGTGCGCGCTAACATAAACTTTGATGCGCGTTCAAACTTTTGACACAATAAGAGACTTAGAAGTTTAACTATAGGTATGCACAAATGGATGAGAAAGAAGAGCAGTCGGTGAAGAAGGAAAGGAAGCGAAAGACCAAAGGGAAAGAAGGCGCGCGGATAAATAAGAAGGCAGGAAATTGGCGAGGCTAGAAATAATTAGCGCGGTTATTTATGAGGCTCTCCTCGCCTTTCAATTATGCATTTCCGGGCATATGCGGGAACGAACTCACGGCAAGACGATGAACGCAGGTCGCGGTACAGGCACTACGCGTTTTATGTCGTGAGCACAACTCGAATCTGCTAATTCCAAGCAAAAACTGTGGACAACTATTTCGAGTGCTCGCTCGTCAGCGTTAAATTCAGAAAAACAGTTTAGTATTCCATTTGCGAAATCCAAGAATAATGTTGTCATGATATTTCGAGTGATTTTTCTAAGATCTCCGTGTTCAAAATTTTTAAATTCACCTTTCGCATGCAAATTTTCTTCAAACGATGGATAATATAAACAAAACGGCGCGCGAATGTTTCTTAAATAATTCTCGCGTATACGCGACTCTTCGTAAATATCGCAGTGAGGCATTTACGGAAATGTATCGTACGGGAATAATAGAAGAGGATCGGCGCGGCGGACCCGGGCAGACCTAGCTGTCTAGACGCGACGCGGTAACGCCAGGGCAAATCGGTGTTAACAAATGGCTCTCGTTTGTTGTCTGTCAGCCATTTTTCGGTCCCCTTTTACTAGTGGACAGGCCTCATCTGGCCTTGATGCATCCCTCTAACTGGCTGAAAGAGAAAAAGATAGAGAACCAACTTGGTCTGGCCGCTCTCGTTTTTTCCCTATTTTTCCGAAACGATCCACCCATCCGGCAAAATCGTCCACCGAATCCGTTTTCCGCGTATTACATGTTCTCTTGTGTCTGGCTTATATCGTTAGTTATATTATCAATAGAAAAGCTACTGAAAAGAGACTTGTGTAAAGTCATTTCCTTGATCTCGACGCAGCGATAACGATTTATCGCGTGCGTTATATGTGTCACAAGATTTTATTCAATCGCACAATCAGATTCGACAATCTGCGTACGTAATACAAATAATATATCCAAAATCTTTGTGTTAATTTTATGTTATTGCCATTGATAATAATGTTGTGTCGCGAAATAAAAGAGAAAAAATAATTGAATTTTGTTATCCAAACTTCATACTACCGTTCGCGACAGGAAAACGTTAACAATTAGTATTTTGACGCGAGATAATCACGGAATACTTATTATACTCCGATACGTGTGACGAGACAGATACGAAGTGACAAATTGCGACCGCGAGTTCGTCGAGTAATTCGAGACGATATCTAGCATGTATATCGCGAGACAGCAGATCGAATTCGCGAGCATTGTTCATTGCCATTAAACGTATCTGGTGATCACACTTTCATGCCACCTGCGCTTTAAAGCAACATAACGCAGCCGCAAATGTTGCAATTCTATATAATTTCCATGTGCAGGTGGTTTCTCATCGATATGATAATATTAAATCTATACGCTTAACTCTCAATACGCGCGTAAATCATTGGTCGTAATTATAATATGTTACGCCTTGATAATGTACGTTTGAAATTTTTTCTCGTCAACGTCGCGTAGATCGCAAGCTAGACGGTAAAATCGTGATTGTACATTGTGCATTCCAATTAGAGATTGCGATGAATGGACTTAATAATGACTTTTGATTATCGCGAAATATTCTAATGATGAAATGACTTTATTGCATGCATACAGTCGAAAGCGGAAACTGCCGATCAGATATATAATTTCACACAGATAATGACCAATAATAAGGCATATTTCTACGATCCGTAAGTGCTATAACGCGGCTACCATGCATCGCGGGTACTAATATTATGCTGCCGCGTTTAAAATCCAACGGTCGGCTTTTTTAATATTTATCAACTATCAATTATGTTAATCAAACAGGTTCTCCCGCAGAAATACTCCCTCAAATCATTATATCTCTGCGTTGCGGCAATGATTCTTTAGGCTAATACGCTCGAGACACGTTTCGGAATCGACATGGAACACGAATCTGCCGTCGAAAATAGAACAAAAGCGCAGTGTAGCGTAAAATGGATAGCGATTGTAAATTGAAACAAAAATAAAGGAAATCGATAAGTATTGCAATTCGATTCATGATTTAACGGTGAACGTAAAGTGCTACGAGAAAAACGAAACTCGTATGCGCAACGGAATCGTCGCGCTTCAAATACACATCGGATACGAGCGTTCTCCATTCGAGATCAATATTGATAAAAGGTTCGAAAAGAATTCCAGTGAAAATGATACGACGTTCGGCACCGGTCGCCGAGCCGGATGTCGAGTGTAACACCGGCAGAAACAACAAAAGGTCCAGTTCTGGCTGGGTAATAATCCGTGGCCGTTGTTAGCGTTTGTCCACCGGCATTCTAATAGACAAGCGTACGCGCGGACACACGTGTGCGTACGTTTACGCGGTTTGTAATTGAAGGGGCTAGGAATGCGGACGCACGCATGAAGTAGCAGCCGGTAGACAGTGCAGGATACGCTTTTGCAGCGTACCGCGCATTTATGTATGTCCCTATTAGCGGGGAACGTGCGTAAGCTGCGCCCGTGTTAATTAACGATAGAAAAACAAGTGTTCGTCGATCTTGATCTCGGTGGCCGCGACGGCGGCGGCGGCGACGGCGGCGGCTGCACAGCGCACCGGGCGACTTTTCGCTGGTACGAAATAACACTGTGCGCGCTACGCACGTGTATTTTCTATTCGGCGTATCGACAACATGCGCGCCAGTTCTATTTATCCCGGGTTCAATCACCTCGCGAGAAGGGCATGTGTCTGCTATTACTAAAGACACGTCACAACAATATTAGTAAGTAGATTGTACGACTGGTCAATTTGTCGCACGGTGCGTGAACTACGCCTATAGGATCACATGCCTACGAAAGGGCTGCCTAATCTATGACAAGTGGATCTTCCTGTTTTGCAGATTGGTCTATGCTCGCACCACCATATTGACCTCACGGCCGCGCCGTGCGTTGGTCCGGATCTCGTCCAGGCCGAAAAGCAGTGTTTCTCAACAAACCTCTCGTACATACTTTGATTCCGACGGCGAGCTGCTCAACAACAATCGAGCCTGGGTTGTTATATCGCTTGTGCCGCTTTTTCACCCGCAGACAGTTCACAGCTATGGCATCAGACATGCGAGAGCTCGATCGATATCGTATTAGTATCCCGAGCGATTCAAATCAAATATCAGTTAGTTGTGTCTTGGTTGTCTGTCGAGAGACAAAACATATGTGCATATCATAGCATCCACATATCGATACTGTAAACGTTAATATTACACTACGACACATAACTCAAGAATTCGTACGTAATTATATACATATAATAAATATGTAGATTTACGTAATATCTCGCATTTGTACGAGTACGGCACTAAATAATCTACGAAAATGAATATACAACAAAATATTAAAAAATATATTTAAATAACAATTATTTAGTCGATAATGAATTGAATATTTGTCAATTTCAATTTTCTCGATCATTAAGTTTCTTATTGAACCCTCGAGCGTTTGCATAGATTCTAAACGCGAGGCGCTCGTAACGGCCAATAGATAAGGCTTAGCTAAGAGAAAAGTACGATTATTGCATGTGGAAATGTTCGTAACGAATAGATAACCCGTTCATTCAGCGGATCACCAGCACAAGTCCTATAAATAGTTTCGCGCCGCTAAATGAGACGAGTTCCAGGAAGGCGAGACACGTCCTCCGGTTCAGGCGCTTCTGACTTGTTGGAGACAAGAATATCGTGTAGGTGGCCGGAGGTGGCACGAAGATGAGACCGTAGAACAAGACGAGCAACCGCCAAGAAAGTATTAACTCGAAAAACTGTGCATCGTAGTCACATTCGATCAATTTTACTGCGCACAATTTTTCGGAATCAAACGTCAAAATCGCATAATAAGCTTGTTATCTCCAAATCATATTTTACAGCATTAATGTTATGTATTTAGAGGAACTCATTTATTCAGATAATTTTCAATTTTAATTATCATTCATATTGGCTATTTTTCTCCCGACTGTATCAATCGTCACAGTCGTGATT